CTCTGGGGAGGATGATATGAGATGTGCCACGCCGTGCTCGTCGCTGCTCGGAATGTAGTACCAGTCGGACAACCCGAAGTGCCAACCTTCCCAATCCTCAGACGACGCACCGGCGCGACTCTAACCGGCTGCAGGGCCCCTATGTCACATTCAGTGCTGCCGGGGAGTCCAGTTTGTAAAGGTTGTAGATAATGCACGCTGGTGGTGAAAGCACTTGCACCAACAAGATGGATAACCTCGACAGCAGCTGGAAAAGGAGGGTGCTCAAGTTTAGGATAGGAAGTTGTTCACAGAAGCTTCGCATGGATGACAGATCCTGTTCTGTACTGTGCCGTTTGCGACCTGTTCGCTCTCTGGTATGCCCAAACTCCGCCAAGGGGCACTCCGAAATTCTGGGTCGTGAATCGGTGCTCTGGGATGCCAAGACCCCAAAAGCCTCGCTGCAAACAATGAGCGTGAGCTCCAGAGCTCGCAGTCAAGCCATTTTCCAATCCATCAATTCAACATTGTATCACATTGATCTTATCGCCGTTCTCAGAAGAAGGTCGATTCATCTTTCCCGTCAGGCTCTGCTAAGGGGAAGGAACGCTTTAGTTTTCCTGGCGCGCAACCTGACCGCGCGCGGAGACGTTCTCTAAGCGTGGCTATCAGTCGAACAGTCGAGCTCATGCTTTCTTGCATCTGGGTTGTGAAGTTCTGGCCGGAAAGGTGAAGCAGAAAGGGTAAACGTTTGCCTACGAAGTGTTGCACCAGGCGTTGTGCTTAAACACGAGACGATACGACGAGACAAGGAGGAGGATGAGGAATTTCCTACTATTGCTGTGGTGACTGTCGTGTTTGTGCTGCACTTCGTGACATATGATAATATGTGCACTGCATTCAGAAGATGTCAATAGCTTTACGGCAACCGTGCTTACGTCTAGTCTTGCTGTCTTGCTATGATTTCATACCCCGCTGATGTCGGGCTGAGCCTTTTTGGCAAACCCTTTGGATGACTCCCATGCCCAGATGCATGGGAAGATCAAGAACAGTGGATGAAGGCATGCTGTTTCACCCTTTCTCGCACCATTCACCCAACAACAAGATTTGTTTTCAATAATGGTCCATTTTGAGCGCGAAACGAGCCAAGAACAATGCTTTTGCTGGTGCCACGCCCTTCGAGCCAACGGCTTACAGTGCTTCCTGGTAGCGGTAGGTATTGCCAGCGATAGGGACAAACGTGTCTGCCTGCGGCGATTGCATCTTGGAGTGAGAGCGACTACTTCGCAAAACGCCGGCTCTTGGGACCTCGCCTTCTTGTCCTCGGCCGAATACATCATCATCTCCCGGAAGTTGTCGGCATACTCGAAGGTGCCACCTATTTCTTCAGCTGGCTCTTCGCCATCTTCTGGAGGATCCTCACCCTCCTCGACGCTGACGTCCTGAGTTCAAAGCTTTCCAACTAAGGCCGCTCGAAGTCTGCAGGCTGTGTACGCGCAGGGATCGTAAGCGCACACTCAGTCACAGCCACAGGGCTCCCACGAGCTATTCTCGAGCAGCTTCGAGCTGGGATGCATGGCAAAGCCCGAACTGAGATTCCGCGCGAAAAACACTTTGCCATCAAGACTCCCTGGGAGAGTCTAGCAGCTGCTTCTCGTCATCGTTCGGTGCCGTGTGGTGAGCTTCCGACATGAGTTGCCTCTTCAGGGATGTTGACAACATGAACTGTACTGCAACACTTGGCGAGTCCTGTCATCCAGCAACCTGAAAACCAACATAGAGCAGTAACACCGAATTTGTGTCGTCTCGACTTGCAGATCCTCTCCCTGGATCTGTCTGCCGTACAATTGTCAAGAGTCCCCCCACTCAACAAAGGCTAGAGCAGCGTGTTGGTAACCTGATATGTGCAGAAGGTTGGAATTGAAAGTGCAGATCTAAGCCCTCATTCACCATGCACGGCCTTGAAGATGCTTGACACTCGACGTCGATGCTCTCGGTGTCGTCCTCCATATGCACGAAGAGAGATTCTTGTAGAACTGCAACCTGCATGCCCCGGCCTTCGCATTTCGGAGTGCCGTCGCCAGCGCATATCGAGCCCATCTCCTCAATAGTCAGTGAAGCTTCTGCATGATATGACTTCGCGGTCAAGGCCCGAAATCTTCACCTGGCCCGGCCGAAGGCCAAGGCACGGCCAAGTCTTCTGTTTGAAGCGCAGGGGCATGTTCTTGGTGAGTCGAGTCCGGTGCACAGCAAGCTGTCTTTCCCCTAAGAAAAGCTGCATTTAATGTTGGCAACTCAGGTCTCGGCTTCTGAGCGGTGTGGCTTGGAAGAATGGGCACCCGCTTCCCCTGAACCGAAAAATCTTGCGGAATGTGGCAAGCATTCACCTGTGGCAGCCACCTATAACTGGCAAGCACAGACAAGTCAATTGAATGTCAGATTCCTGATCTCATGCGCTGAGCTCTAAGCTTTTCATCTGCCGCTGGCTTCTTCTCCTGGCTCTTGCGTACCGGCAGAGCGTCTGGAGGGCAGTGCTTGCAGCCACTTGAAGTTAATGTGCTTGCAACGGAAGCATCACCTACCGCAAGACATGCATAAGTCCTCTTCGTCGGACTCATCGTCGTCGGAAAGTTCATCCCACTTAGTGTCGTCCTGTCTCTGGCCATGTTGCTGACTGTCTGAACTCTGGCATCTTGTCTTACGTCCATTCAGACAACCATGACATCATGTCGGGCACCGGCCTGTGCAAATCCTGTGTCACCAAATCCGCCACCCACATCAAGGTCGCGCCTCTGAGGCCTCGCCCCCAACAGCACTTGAGATGCATATCAGTCTCCAAGTGTTCAAAAAGCTGACCAAGCGCTTGTTTGGAGCCGGCTCGTCAGGATTCAGGCACGAGCACAGCCACTTTGCGGGGATTTACAACTCGCTGAGCGTTCGGCTTGATGATCTCCGGCGCCTCTAGCGGCTCCTGACTTTTTCCAATACAAACCGCGTTTCCCTCTCTCACGTGGAGTCGGTGTAACGATTCAGGGGCCACGACTGTGCAGGGCCGAAGCGAGCGAGCAGCCCTTATCTTTTCTCGCATCGCAGGGAACTCGTCCGAATCTACTAAGAGTGGGAGGGTCCCAGCAGGCGAACGAACTCCAAGCAGAAAAGCCCCGGAGCCCTTATCTTCGAGAGGAGGGTCCGGAGGGCACACTATCCTTCCAAGCCAAAGCATGAGGTGGTTGCGGACGGGCACCCTCGGCGCCGGAGAGCAGTCAGCACGCCACTTCGGGTTTTCTAGGCCCCCCATAGTGCCGTGGCCTCACGGAGGCCCGTCGTCTGCCAGGCTTTCATCAAAGCTTCGCCAGCCTTGTCCAGTTGGCGATGTCTTGATATCAAGTGGCTGCCGAGACTGCTGGGCCACGTGATGTTGCCATGACCAATGCCAAGGACCACAGAAGCAAGGTTGCCAACTCACAACTAGAAACTGCAAAACCGACAGCAGCTTGGACATGCAGCTGGCCTGCCTCAGTTACCTGCGCATCTGTGCATGCAACGGTCCATGCCTGCCAGCGCTACATCCTGCCCGTTCTCTCTTCTTTGATTCCTCGAGCAATCTTAGCCACATGGCCTGTGTCGCGGTCAAGCATCGGAACAAAGAGAAAGGATCCTCAGCATGTGATGGAGGTTCCGCAGGCTATAGGTTTCCGCAAGCCAAGGTCTGCACGCTGGGCAAATCTTCGTACATGTACCCGCCTTGCTCTGCGACGGCCTTCAGGACCTCCAAAGAGTCTTCTGGCCGACTGTACAGCAGACACGACGCTTGAACGTGCCTCCAATGGCAAAAGATGTTTATCCTTGATGCACCAGAAGTACGGTGGGTACCTCGGAGCATCATGAGATAGACGTTTTCTGTGCCCTCCGACTCCCACCCTTCCCCTCAAAATGCTTCTCGGGCACTCTGCACTCTTTAGTGACGACACAAACATGTCCGTGTCCTCGTGGTAGTGCACCCTGAGAGCAGTTCGCGAAAAACCAGCCAGGTCAACACAAAACCAGAGTGCGCACCTCCAGCCTAAATTCTTGTCTACGACCTTCAAGAATGACCTCTGCAGCAGTGGCTAGTTCGTGTATGCATGTCCTTTGCAGCCATGTGTAGCAACAGCTGCGAAACAGCACCCGGGTCTGCAGCTTCAGCGGATCAGTTACACGCAGCTTACCTGCCTGCAAGTGGAGCTGAGCAACAAATCAGCTAACAGTGCACTCAAAGGCACCGATTTTCAAGGCCTGAGCGGCCGAAAGCAGATGCAAGTCCTTGGTCTATGCGGGGCTACCTGAACCCGAGGTGCCCACAATATCCGGAGGCTGAACTAAAGCTGCAAGAATTCTTCTTGGGGGAAACCGTTTCGTGAAGGCCACCTCTGCTGGCAACATGACAGCACTGCTTGGGGCGGCGGCCACTGGAATCTCTTTCCTGGTCAAGACTTCGGAAGCACTACTTCGTACTTGATAGTCTCGTTGCTGTAACGCTTGTCTAGCTTGTCCCGTGAATGGATGACATACAAGCCAACCGCAATGGAGAAGTAATGTGCAACCAAAACATCGAATCAGAATGCAACGACAAGCCCCGCACAAAGGTGACATGGCGCACAAGGCCGCCATCTTCACAATGTCCTCTCACGGAGCAGGAATCCCGGCATGGAATGACTCTCCCGTTCGACGAATGTCAATGTGCCTCGGCCTTTCGAAACATCCTTCACAGCCTTTGCCCGAAGTGAAAACGTGTGGGTCAACAGGGATCGGTGCGAATCTTAGGCTTGCAGATGGTTTAGCGCAGCATAGCGTTCAGCAGATATTCATTGCTTTGACCGATTCGCGTCCTCTGGCAGGCCAACGCCACGTGGAATCAGGAGCTGCTTCCGGGACTTGCGAGAGACAGCCGAATTGAAACAGGATTTTCTAGATGTCCTCCTAGGGCACTCTTTTTCCTGCGACTAGCAACTAGGAGCACACGTTCCAACTGCTGCCACACTTCACTGCACACCCTTGCAAACTCGACAGCTCAGAAACAAGTATTCTCCATGTCGATATCCCGAGGTCTCGTCCGGCTTTAGCACTTGCAGCGTCACCAACTGGCCTGCAACACGGGAAGTTGCAATGGCCCTGAGGACGGTCAAGCCCACCAAAGCGTAGCGAAGACACTTCCAGGAGTTGGCAAACTTACTCGTGGATGCTCTTGGTCGCTGGCTCCGGCCGTCTGCATTCACCTGCAAGTATCACAAAACCCGTAGCCTTTCCATACTTATGATATACATACATATACATATATATATATATATACACATATGTATTGTCATCGTTATATCTGTGTATACATATGTACACACTATATAATGTATATAAACAAATGAACATCTGTAGGTGTGCAAGCGCTTTATATTAAATTATGCAAGACTCAAGCACGTCATAGCATTGCATTATATATTTACACACATCACATTGTGACATTGTCCTATCCATGAACCGCAACCCGACATGCACTCGAACACTGCGCTGATCCCCGCAGCCACAATCTAGACTTTGCCAAGTCGTCTCCACGAATGGTTGTTGGATACTACTGACGCTGATGGACCGAGCATCATCGGTCGGCAGCATGAAGTCGCTGGTTATGGATTGCAACACGCACCAGCACGAAGTGTTTCCAGCCGCGTCACTAGTCCTTGACCACCGTAGGACGCCGTCAGCTCTGGCTGGAAAGCCGAGAAGATCTAGCAAAAGTGTGGAGGCAGCATGTCTGTGTCTCTGGCGGTGCATTGTCTCAGCCTCGCCTCCAACACATTGGAGATTTGCTTTGTGAAGCTCATCTGATCTCTGGGCGACAGAAATTCGAGGAGCATCTCAGCCTGGATCAAGCACATCACAACATGACTCAGGAAACCATTCCTTAAGATCGGACGCCTTTCATTTCCCTTATCTTTTCACTTGGTGCTGGACCACTTCCGTCAGTTCGTACTGAGCATATGCCTCCTCCTGCCCAGCGTCACTTTGTTGTAGGGCATGTCTAGCTGGGTTCGACTGCACCACTCCCACCACATCACAGATGAGTGCAAGAATCTCAAGCAGTGCCGATGCCACAATGATTGGGTGTCGTTGCCTTTCAGTATGCTCCGGCAAAAGGCCAGCAGCCTCTCTCGTTCAGGATTCGTATGATTCGTACGCAGAATTGCACTTCTTTCACTCACAGTTGACTTTATGGAATTTCGACTCGAAGAGCGTTTCAGGAGCTCCTGGTCGCGGTAGTTTGGTCCTCGTCGCTTGGTGACGTCAAAGAGGGTCTGGACCTGGAAATGGTCGAGGGCGAGGTCGTGAGTGGGGAGAGGGGGGGGGTTGCTGATACCAAAATTATTGTCCCACCCGGCCTGCAGCAACACCCAAAGCCCCTGAGCCACTGGCAGTGCCGACGCCATCATGGTCACCAGCGACGGCGTAAGTGTAACTCCTGGACGCTCTCTTTAACTTAGTGGCCCCCAATACAGCCCTAGAGGCTTGGAAAGACAGGTGACCCGAGGTTCGAAAGTTTCCTGGGGTCCGGACTTCATTCCGCCGAAGGCACTCTCTGGCAGCTTGGCGCCCGTGGTGCCCGCACGTGCAGATGGGGCAGATGCTTCCTCCAAGCAAAACCACTGGCACGGACGGCCACGAAAAACATGCACACACAAAGATGCTTCAATCTTCCATCCGGACATGCCTGTGGCACCCCGACACAATAGATGTTCGACGCATCCTGATACAAGTTCGGGACAAAGAGGAGCCAGGCAATCAATTCACTAAGCTTGATGCGTGCAACATACAGAGTGCGGGTCCTTCCGCGCTCGAATGACCAATTCAATACTTCTGAAGCACGACAACTGCATACCTCCTGGCCTCCTTGGTCCCGAGCTCGACGGCACGACTAACGCTTGGTGCATAGACGCAGTGTCCTAACAAATGCAAGGCCGCAGAGTGCTGCCGCACAGCTCAAGGTCAGAAGAAGCGAAATGGCAATAGAGGGTTGCGTAAGCCCCGCGGACAGGCCTAGGGACTGATTTGTGCGTAGCTGAAGCGGCCCGTCCCTCAAGCAGGCAGAACAGATCTTTGGATCGAAACCGGCACAGTGGGTGCGGATCGCTACGGATCGTTTGCCTCGGGGCTGCCAGGATGGCTTTCTCCCACCACTCCCGGAATCCATCGGCTGGCTCCTCAAACACCCTCAGACACACCCTAGACATCTCGATACACAAGCTAAGAACTCGAAAGGCTCTGCAGGTCTCCTGTGTCTTCACTTCCAGCTGCTCCGTCTTCCCGTCTCTCAAGAGTATGTCGAGCCTGCGGCGCGCAGAGTTCAGCACAGCCGCAATCCGCCTCACAGGCATCTTCACCTCACCTGGTGTCAGCAGGATCTCTCCCTATGTTGAAGGCCTTCTGCGCCTGTGCATGATGCCAATGTTTCAGACGTGCCAATGCGTCATCAGGACTCACTAGCAGTTCGAAACTCACTGCGCAACATGTGGGAGCAATCCTCGTCCAAGGCAGTCTTGACCATCTCGGCATTGTCTCCCACGGATGTGTCAAACCTGCCCATGCAATGCTGCTGACATCAATTCTTTCTGCTTGCTGCTGACATCAATAGACATTGTGGTTGTAGCCAGCAGGCTAAGACAGCGTGAAACCAACTCAGGGCAGGGCTCCACCAAGGAAGCCTTGCTTGGATAAATGCCCGATGACTGCGTTTCAGGTTTCGTCCTTTTTGCCTTCTCCATTCAAAGCACCGTCGAAAAACTGACAACGCGGCAGATGTGCAGAGCTCGCCGTTGTTTGCCTGAGGATGCGAGACTTGATCATCAGACATGTCGGAAACAGGAGAGAAAAGTATCGCGCCATGGCTGCCCAGCACGTACCACGTGCCACAGCTGGATGCGACCTGGGCTGAGCAGGCTCAAATCACTGCCCGTCCTGTGCAGTGACTCAGCCCATCACACTGAAACGTTGTCCAACCGAACCTTGTTCAATCCGCTGACCTGCCACGCGATCCATCGAAAATGCACGATCGCGAGAGTTCCAACCACAGGTGGGCTTGATCCGGCCCCACCCCCGAGCCAGCCTCGCCGGCGTGCTCCATGCGCAGGTTTCCCAACTCAAGAGCCTGGCGATCCACGGGTGGGCTGGGTGCTCAAGCGCTTCAAGAGGCGTGCAGACAAACATCCGAGGCCTTCAAAACAAGGCTCTTGAACATGGCCGAGGAACCTGTTTTCAAAAGAACATGTCCATGATTATGAGTGGCCCGGGCAGCAGGCCTGTGAACTGCAAACGGTCCACTTGCCTAAGCGCCTCGTGTAGGACCTTACCGGCGAAACCAAGCAAAGACATGCGTTCGAAAAGGATCCTTCCGGGCACTACAGTATTTTTTGTATTGAAACATGGGCTTCTCTTGTGAACTACAAAGCAAATTCAATGGCTGTGCGACCTCATATATGCCACAGCTTTGAGTGGCCGCTGCGTGGTATCTGCTGGCTGGAGTCTTCCAAACGAAAATTCGCACGCGGTTGCCCTTGGGGCTGACCTGTCGTGTGGACGCATGTTTATGGATCCAGGGCGGCCTCTGGATCAGCATCAGGAGTGATGCCAGGCAGAACCTTCTCAAGCGGAACATGACGGTGGTGACATGTTGTTACAGAGCGCGCCTGCAAAAGCGCACGAGACAGAAGCTCCGCTTCTCAGGACAAACCCACTAGCGGGAACCTGCCTCGACGAGACCGTCTGGCAAACCGCAGCTGGCCAAGTCTAGCCTGGTCCGCGGTCAGATGAATCCGACACTGTTGCAACCGCAAGTGCCGATTTGGAAGCTGCAGGCGCGGGCTGTATTTCCCGAAAGTGAGGGAAAAACCGTGGCTGCACGATGAGGAGCACCCGGAAACCCTGCATCGTTGGCCCGAGGCCAGGGTCAGGGCGAGTTCAGGATCACCAGTATCCCTAGTATTCAGCTTTCATTCCTTCCTTCATGCTCATGCCGGCCGTACGATTCAGCAGTGGGGGGTGGAGGCTCCGGGCTCCCGTTCCGAATCGCCTTGGGATTCAACTTTGCGTGTTTCTGTTTGGGTGGTTTCCGGATGAGTATGGAAGTGAAGTGCCAGTCCGGCCTTGAGCAGCATGTGAAAGGTATCCTGCGGTGAAAACCACACAGAACATGTTGGTGAAAACAGGTGGCGACAGCTTCCAGTCGGTCCTTCAGGCCCAGGAGTGCGAAGTTAGAAGGTGGCATGACCAAGCAGTCTCGACCTCCGTGAAAGAGGATGCAGGAGATGTTGAAAGTGTCTGCAACGTGAGAGTAGCAAAACTTCGGGCAACACATCCAAAAGCTTCTCCGATGGCCTTCACCCTCTCGGCTTACCTCGAACTGAAAGTCCGTCTTGTTCGCCTGGCAGCTGGGCTTCTCCCGATCGCGGTCACTCTTTCCGGTCGCCAAGCGCAAGTTACAACGATCAAAGTCCCAGGAAAGCCTAGAGGCAGCTGACATCGCGACACATTCACAGGGCAGTCACGGGAGGGGCCTGCAGCGTCGTCTGATAGGCCTGCAGGTCTCATGCAACCGGGTCTTGAAGTCTCCGCCCTCGATCGAGCGTTGCGCTCCCTGGAAGCTGGCCTTGAGAGATAATCGCATCAAGGCAGCCACTTCTCCGAATTCGCCCTCACTGTCAGCTATCGCCTCCAAGGACAGAGGGGAGCTGACTGCTGGCCAGGCGATGAGCAGACACATCGGCGTGGCACCTTGGGTCCCCATGCTGTCAACAGCGCCACATGGTCGCTGGCTTTGCCAACGAACTTGTCCTTGAGATACCTGGCATCTCGAAAGGCACTTGCAGTGACAGCACAGCCACCGGTCTCACGTCTTCATCCTGTGCCTTGCACTTCCAGCCCGAAAGTGTGCAACAAAGCTTTTCTCATGCCAGCACGCGACCAATAGAACGCCTGTGTCGATTGCAGTCTCGCCCTATGCCCACCGAAGCATCCGAGATCCGAGCGGTGGGACAGTCAGGCCGTAGGGCTGTGTAAACACTGCCACGGCGACACCCGCAACCAGCACCACCGGCTGAATTTGAGTCAGACCGTTGGACAGAGCTATCTGCGAAACCAGGCTCACGAATTATGCAGCTCATAAGGAAATGGCCGCTGCATGGAAGCCTGCAGCATTCTTGTCTGCTGTCAGCGGCAGCAGCTCAACAGCACATGCCCTCACGATCGCGGCGGCCAGATGATGGACTCATAAAGTCCTACACGCAGCACGAGCTGGTCGAGTGGCCCCAAGTCCACAAAGTGCTAAATGCTCTTCAGACAGCTGGTGAACCGAGCAAAGGTGTGACCCTGTCCGCCACTGTTGAGCCATAATCGCCGCCTTGGAAGATGGGACCTGCATGAGGCACTGTCGGAATTGCAGACAACTCACCATCCACCAGTGCACTTCCATGAGCCCCTTGACAATCATGTGTTCCAGTTGCCTGCCCCTGGACTACATCATTACTCGCAGCTGACTTGCACATGAAACCTCCTCGAACGGGCACAGGTGTAGCACGCAAAGTCCAACCCACAAGCAAGAGTCATGATCCCATGAACTATAGACTCTGTCTCATCAGGCTAGATTAGCCAGCTAATGGAGTGGCCTCCCTCTGATGTGAAGAGGCGGTCTGCAGCTTTGTCCTTCGGAAGGCTCTAGGTCAGTAAGGCTCAGTGAGGCTCTGTAAGGCTGTAGGGTTGGGGAGTTTTGACAATGGTTGTAATCAGGGCTGCAGGTTTCATCCCCACGACCAGCTGGAAATGCGACGTGCCACTGTGCCACTCCAGCGTCGCTTCACCATTGGCGTATGAAGTCGCCCATTTTGGTTTAAGTTTCTACAAGTATCTCGTGTTCGGATTCTCCCGACCGCGACACCTCGCGCAAATCCAAGGTCCATCCATCCCGAACAGTGGCTGGAACAAAACACACTCGGCCTGGCCTTCACTTACGTTGCTCTGTCAAGTGCCCGTGGCGAGAGTTCGTGCTTCAGGGCTGTGAAAAACTGGACTTCAAAATGCAGCTGAAGCACCAGCATACTGTCCGATATGGGCACTTTCGCCAGCGGGTCGTACTTGGCAGCATACTTGCCCTCAATCGGTCACACAGTCATACACTCCAAAAGCACTCAAAGGGCTGAACAACAAGCACAATTCTGCATTCGTGGATAGAATGCTTCATTAAGGATATATAAGTCGTAACTTCGAGCCTGGGACCTGGGCCCTAAATTTGAATCACCGCAGCGTGCTGACGCAGCAACTATCTGAAGGGTTATGCCATGACTGCCGGTATCGTGTGTGGGCGTTTTGAGGCCCGGATATCACCAAACAGAAGCTACTTCTCAAAGGGCCAGCCACCTTTTCACAGAATGACGTGCACCCGTACCCTGTGATCTCGATATTGGCTTGGTGAGTGTACGTATGTCCTGATGGGAATCTCAGCATTAACCACCCCTCGTCACATGTTATGTTATTAGGCTCATCCGACTTGCATGCCCTTCCAACAGGAGGAACGGGTAGTCTGGCACCCGATGTCCACCACCCTTTTCGGTCAGTCGTACGACCTGGAAAGGCCTGCGGCCTACGATTGCCTGAGCCTTACGCATGTTCAGTAATTCGACTCACATCACCGGTCCTTTTATTTTGCACACTGCTCCTGGATGTTTCGGTCGAGTCACGAAAGGATCGAAAGCATAGGCTTTTTTTCCGTGATCCTCCGCGTAGTCGTTGTAAAGATGCCAGGCCTGCAGAACCAGGCAGTGCTACTTCGGCAAGGAGGTATTGAGCAATCTCAAGCCGGCAAGCGAAGCTCTGAAGACTCGGCAAAAAGCCCTGAAACCCTGAAAGAAGACGTGCTGGTGCTGATCCAGGCCACGAATGCTGCTGCCAGGAAATATACCACAGGAACCTTTGCTTAACTAAGCGTACAAAGGACACCACTGCAACTCTGGGATGATATTGACATTTTGAGCGCACGACGCTTATGAGCAGCACCAGGCTCCAAACGTCAAACCTTGGCAAAGAAGGCAAACACAGGCTCGCAGACTGGACCACAAATCAAAACGAGATCGCATGTATCCCTGGCACAGCACACTTCGGAATCCTCAAGAAAGCCTGTCTCTGAATTCTCAATTCATGTTCCATATGCTTTCTTATCTGCTGCCGGCCAAGAATCGACAGCACGCCGGTGATTGCCTGAGCTTGCGCGTTCTGTCCCTCTACATCTCAGCACGACTCAAGGATTACATTTATCTTCATACCAACAAATATGCGTGAGCATGCTAGCGTGGCACCAGGTCACTTCGCATAACATCTACGCGAATGCTAGACCAGGTTTCCCGTCGAAAGCAACTCACTCCCAGGCCAGGGTGCTGGAAGCAAGCTGGAGATACAGGTCATGAGCCCTTGGAAAAGGCTTGCGGCTCCCCAGAGACAAATGTATGTGATATTCCTCAGCTGGTCGGGAAGTCCAGTTTCCATATGTTCAGGCATGTTTGCAGCTGGTCATGTCTCACGGATGCATGCAAAGGCTCATATCTTGATACCAAGCATAAAGCCCAATGAGCGCGGTAACAGCCATCCTGCATTGACTGCGCATGGTACAGGGAGCATGTCATCGCTGGCTAGGAGATGACAGCCCATTGAGATCTGAGGCTCTTGCATGATGGACGTCAGCAAAGCACCGCTGAGAATCAGTTGCCTGCAGCGACGGTGCATACTCATGACTTCACAGATTTGTTCCAAGCCTGCTTTCCCGAACACATCATGGCCGTGACTCAGGCTGCCCTCATGCGAACTGAATGTCAACAAGTCCAGTGGCGCCACGGCTTGGCCCACTTGCGTGAGGATGATGAAGGCGAACCAATGCCGAGCACCCCTGTCCGACACATGCCGAGGGAGGAGGGGCGGGGTTCTTGTGAATCTGGACATTACACTCATCAACCACCCACCATACCTGGCTGGAAAGTGGAAGCCTGACTTACAATAATTCCCATTTCAGTAGCCGATGCCTGGCGCACCGTTCTTCCAGCCTTCATCTGCATCTTCTATTCCCCAAGGTGGGGCTCTGTTCTTATGTTATCCAAGCGGCAGATTGATTCTTCTACTTCCTGCTTAGCCTTGGTCTTCCGGCCCCCTGACGACGCATAACATTTCTTGTCATCCTAACATAGCCCATGGTGAAGTGATTCAATGCAGCCCATGGCGAAACTCCGCAAGGAAAGAGATCATATGGGTCCCTGCATCTCTGTCGCTGTATTCTCCACGCGGCAATGCTCTGCCTGGCATATTCTGTGGCCGGGCCAACTTGAATAGGGATGCAAAACAGCCAGTTCCTTGGATGAGCGTCATTGCTCCAGAAAGTGTCTGCGATGTGTAAAGGGAACTGAAACTCCTTGCTTCCGTGCCCAGCGGCTGGTTGATCTCTCCAGAGATGAGTCCTGTGTTTTGCGAGGTAAACAGGTGCTGTTTACACCAGAGACTGCGACGGGAGTGACATCATATCCCATTGTCCGTCAGAGGTTTTCTTTGTAGCCCAGCCAACGACGTCGGTCATGGTCTGTTCGACCTGCCATAAGAGAGGATGTCGGCACGGAAGCCCATGCTGTTTGTGCAGATCTCTTGCCAAGGAGGCAGCCTGTCTTCAGCCACAGTCGGTACCTGCTGCGACGGGAGCCCTGCAGTTGATCGCGCTGGCCGACGAGGTGCAAACCTGAGCGCGAGACGATACCTGGTGGCGCTTCGTGAGCGCAGCAAGGTGGGTTTGAGCCTACGGCTGCCTGACTAATGTCCACCACGGAAGTCTTCGCATCATCAGGGCATGCATTGCAAGCGGTCGAAAGAGGACCCTGCACATCGAACACTCGGCCGAGGTCACATTTCCAGAATCTTTGCCAGCTCGTCTGCTTTCGGAACGGCCTGAAAGCAACGGGAGAGCTGCCTGCACTTTTGAAGAGAACCTTCACGGCGCTGGCCGCTAGCCAAGGTGGACTGCAAGTCTCGGATCTCACAGAGCCGTCCCGGAGAATGTTCTGAGCTACTCACTTTTTCGAGTCGGCATTCTCAGCGGGTCATCTACAAAACTTCGTACCCAAGCCGCTTTTGCAAAGAACGATACTCTGCCAGAACGTCTTCTTGCACGACCGAAGCGAATGCTTCTTGGGTCTTTGCCCTACACTCGTAGTCGGTGGTGTGGCCTTCATCGCTTTCGGGGTGGCGGTGCAGGTCTGCCCACGTCGCCGCTTCGAGCGCCTGCTCCATCTCATCGTTCGAGATGATGTCGCCGACTAAAGCATCCAAAAACTGTTTCACCTCCTGGTCAAACGCCTCAGAAGAAGATGTTGCTTTCTCGTAGTGCAAGAACGCATTACCGTCCTGCTCGTACAAATCTGTCATGTTTTTCACATACTGGAGCATTCGCTCTGCGACGAAGGGGATCCCCAATTCTGGGGGCATTGTTTCTACGTTGACCAAGGGCCATCCTGGAGGCATAAAGACCAAGTTCAATTTCTCTGCACCACCGGCATGGTAGCAGTAAGCAGACACAGCCATGGTAACAGGGTTTCTGAGGAGTCCTGCCACTCGCAAGCCTTTTCCCTTCGCTTTCGCACTGGCCCGTTCACGCTCCACGAGCTCGGGCGACATCATGTCAACCATCCAGAGGATGGGCGCATCGGTGTTCCGGCACATTGTGTAGCAAGGTGTTATGACCATACCCATGTCGTCATCATGAGCACCCAGGACGCCCTGGAACAAGTAGAACCAAATCTTGTGCAAAAGGTAGACGCCAGACTTGTGGTGAACAGCACCAATGAAATCGAACACATCCCATATCTTTCCGTCCCCCAACTTCTTGTTGTTGCTAGAACTCGCCTCAGCGAAGCGTGCCTGTGCCTTCCTCTGCACGAGGTGGGTTGCACAAGCTTCCTCAGCCTGGCTTGCCACCACAGGCACAGCTAGTAGCCATGGCAGGACAACCAATAAGGATCTCATGGATGTTCGCTTCCTGCCCTGTGACAGGAAATTCCGGCTCTCAGGGTTTCGAGCCTCGATGCTGCAGTGTGGGAGGGTGAACAACATCGATGCTTCCATTCCGTTGTCCCTGCAGGTTCAGGCAATCAAGCAAACCGCATGAGTTCCTGCTCACCGCCGCAAATAATATCTCTCGCAGACTTTTGAACCCGGCGAAAGGTGTCCCAGACAACGCATTCAATCTACGCGGGTCCGCAAGTCGAACCAGCTACTACAGCCGAACACTTCGGGAAAGCATGCCAGTCAGGCTCCCGCATACTCACTACGTAGTTGCATACCCAAGCCGCTGCTGGTACGAGCGGTACTGTGAGAGCAGGTCTGGTGGGAGTGTAGGCACGTATTGCCGCACTTCTTCCTCACAGGCTTCGTCATTGCCGTGGTCATCCGCACGCGGATGGCGATGCAAGTCCGCCCACTGCGTCGCATTGAGGACCTCGCTGCGCTCTGCAGCACTTATCTGATCCCCAAACAGAAAGTCTATCATCTGGTTCATCTGTTGGTCGAAAGTCTCGGAAGAGCCAACGACTTTTTCGTAGTCGAGGCGGAAGGTGTCGTTGGATTGGTGCTCGAAGACGCTCGTCAGGTTTTCCATCATTGGTACCATCCGCTCGGCGACGAACTTGAGCCCTTCTTTGGGACCCAGAAGCAACAGCAGTCTCGCCGGAAAGAAGAACCAATTGTTCATCTCCTTTCCACGATGATGATAGCAATATGCAGAGGCAATCATGGAAATTGGATCTCGCACAATTCCCACGACGCGGAGGCCTCTCTTTCCTGCGGCTTCCCGTGTTAATTGAGCTTTTTCCGCTGAGTACATGTCTACCCAGAATTGGATTGGTGCCTTTGGCGAGTAGCAAGCCTGAGGGCTGTAACAGGGCTGCATCCACATTCCCATGTCGCTCTTCTTTGCTCCAAGGGCCATAAAGCTCAAAACCCACAGCTCACTCAAGAGATAAACACCAGCTTTATGGTGGCAGAAGCCCACGTAGTTGTGGAGGTGCCAGGGCTTAGACTTCTTCTGGTTTCCTACGAGCATCGGTGCTTCAGCAAATCGTGGTAGCACCTTGCTTTGCACGAAGTTTAGTGCGATGGACTCCTCGGCGGCTGCCGCGGTTTCCGCATTGTAATTCCCTTCGACTCGCTGAGCCAGTAGCACTAGCGGCAGGCATCCAAAAGTCACCACTATCATGGCTCTGGCCTAGGGCCAAGGAGCCTCACAGGAACACGACATGGATTCAAGGCCAGTGGGGTTCTCTGAGCCTGAAAGTTCCGAGAAGCCGCGGACAGAAGATGCTGCCACGGGCATCAGGCAAATTAAATGTGGTCTGCGAGAGTCTACTGCTCTGGCGTCCTCAGCTGCTGGCCAAGTTCTGTTCTCGCCGAGAAGCGATTAGCCTGCCCGACTGCACTCTGAACAGCCCAGGAACCCCGTAACGTACTTTCCTTTTGCCTGGAGAAGAAGCCCCAAGCAGAGTGAACGGGGGTGTGTGTGTGTGTGTGTGTGTCCCCTTTCCGTCTGATGTTAAAGCACCACGAGTTCTGCTGTCGTTTTGCGTGCGATGCGACGGATCGAGACACAATGATTACCCTGGAGTGTTCATGCTAGGCATTCCTTCAGGTGGTACTCGGCCAGCCCGCCCAGCCCCCGGACCTCCGGTCTCCGCGTTTGACTTCAGCACCTGGGCCCTGGGCCCTCGCCCTTCGCTCCCGAAATCCAATCATCGTATCAGCATCCCTATCTTCGCCACCTTTCGGCGTTTTTTCAGGGACTGTGACTTTCCCTGGCAAGCAGGATCATTCGAGCCCGAAGATTTAGACCAGTGCTACAATGAGTTCCTGTCCTGACAAAAATCTAACTGCCCAATTCTGGCTCAAGATGCAACTGGAACGTGCCCCTGCTAGTCACACTGCAATGTAATTAGTAATTCAACAGACTGCAATGCAGAATGCTTGCAAAATTAGTTGAAAAAGTCTCTCGATATTTGTACACAAACTAAAACATATCATAATGTTGCATGGGATCCCGATGAGAACGCCCATCTTCACACGGTCGCCAGCCTGCTAACATCATCGACCTGAGATTTCGGCATCTTGGCCCTCTTACCGACCATGAGTTTAGGGCCCTGGGGGTAGTAGTAGTTGTCGTCATAGTAGTGTACAGTAGTAGAGTGGTAGTGCCACGAAGGACTGTGCTTCCACCAGTGATTTTTCAGACGGTCTTGTGCATTGGGTCATCTAGCCACCTAGTCTGCCAGGGCTGTTTGGATTACCTGAGTTCTGGCCATCATCAGCCCCTTCCAGCTTTGCGATGTTTGTCTCATACTCCGGGCTACTACAATCTGTTTGGGCACCGGTGACTGTGTCAGCGCCGGGAATTCTTCGGAGGCCAGGGAGTGGTTCGCAAAGCTCAGGCTGGTCCAGGTTCTGCTAGCCATGCTGATCTACAACCCCTTCCGGTGAGTGCATGTGTTCTCGAGCTCAAAACTTTAAATCTCACTGAATTAATGGAGGAGACCAATCATGCCGATGCCAGTGTTACCAGCAGCTGCTCGCATTTAACGGTCGACTCCAAACCAATGCAAGGCGCGGTGGGCAGCGCCACGGAAACCTGACGTTCTGCCGCAGCGCCACCGGGACCAGTCGGCGTCCGGAAAGTCTGGGGAAAGTGCACATGCGAGTATCCCTGCATACTGTCATACAGACGGTCTGTTTCATCCGGCTCACCAACTTTGAGCTCCCAGCCACCCTCCTTCTCTCTGCAGGCAAAGCTTCGCCCAGGAGCATGACCTGTCGTCATGCTCAGTCATACCCCTCAACCGTGCGCCAATGACAAAACGGCAATGAACTGTGAGTCACCTCCATCTCTTCTTCTGCAGCACGCAGTTCATGACCTGAACGAGCACGATGAAAATGGGTTGTCACACTCGGAGTGGAAGTCGTCTAACTTTGAGATGCGAGGCGCTGCCTGAAGATCTCGCCACCTGGCAGGACCTACGACCAGCTCTTGGCCGAGCCCCTGCACTTCTGCAACAGTAACCAGGATGACTAGACGACCTATCCAAAACCTCTAGACTCTAGTCTGAAAGCGCCCTGAGGTCTGAGATCGACGCTAAGTCTTTCTAAGGTGGCGGGGCGATCGACCGGCCTTGAAAGGATGTGACGCAAAGCTCTTCCGTCTCGGCTCGGACTACGGAAGCTGCGGAAGGCCTCTGTCGGTCCCTTCATAAGGCTTCCGTCTCCCGAAGTCTGGGAATCCATTTCTCGGGTTTGCTTCAACTCAAAATGCCGTTGGACATGAGGGGGTGGAACATGGAACAACACAAGGGCACATGCCAATTTCGAGCTGTCATTGCCGATCCTGGCTTCCAAGACTACATCTGAGGTGACCGCGCGTCTGCCTCGGCAACCACTTCCGAGGTCGCCTTAAAAGCAAAGGGCTTCTTTTGTTGCCTCCCCCTCTCCCCCTCCCCTCCTGCTGCCTGGAAAGCACCGCAGACTAAAAGCAACTTGTTGAAGGGTTCACGGCTTTGTGCAACTAGTAACCTATTGCATCTGCACGTCAAAAGCTACACTTGTGGTGCTCGGATGTGCGATGGAACGAGAAACTAAGCTAGGCTCCATTGTTACGATGCCCAGGCAGCAACCATGTGTAAGCACTGTCACGGACGGAGCACACAGTGCGTTTTCTGCTTTTTGAATGGGTAGCAGCCTTTTGTGGCTCTTCAAACTGACGGGTTTCCGATTGTAAGCTCGTTCCGAATACAGTGATAGGACCTCTGGACTACCTCTGGGCTTGGACCACATATCCCTGTGCGGTATTCAGGTGGGGTCTCTTGAAGACTTGCGCCGCCAGGGTGTGCGATGCTCTTGGGATGACAGTTTTTCCCTCTCACATTGCTATGGAGTCTATGCCCGCTCGGGATGACAGTAATTTTAAAGCATAAGCCGCAAAGACAGTTTCTACTAACTCGTTAGCGGTAATTATCCCGGTATCCCCTCTCAAGAGTGGAGGAACCACCGGAAACACACGAAAAGCACCTCGTGGCTTTTCACCGCATCACGCAGGGCCCTCGCAGCGGCACCTGGCAGCGAAAAACGACCCCGCGTGTCGTGTCGGAGCTGCGAATAGAGGCAGCGACCCTTCAACCAAACACTCTGGTCACTGGCAAATCGCCGGCCTAGTGCGCTGGTAGTTGGTTTAGCAGCAGTGGCTGCAGAACGGTAACCTCGCGCTTCAAAGTTTGCTGAAATGGCTGTGGTTGCAATCGGGACTAAGCCACGGCGGTCCCGCGATTTGGCAGCTCTTTTCTCGGCTTCCACTTCCACTGCAGCTTCAGTCGTCTGACCCGCCTGCGGGGGGTCTCGCAGCCAAACACCACAGTACGGCGCATTCTGTCGCACATGTCCTCATGCTGTCTCAGCTTAGTGCGACAGCACGTCCACAAGACCAAGAAGGCGCCGCTGCACATCACTTCACCCCCTCTGGTTCCGTGCATCGCCACGCAAACCAGGAAATACGAGCCGTCCAATTGATAAGCTCGCGACGGTCGCCAAGGTTTTGCTTTCGACAACGGTGCTACTCTGGTTTGCACCAGTCAGTGGACTGCGTGAGCCTGCAGCAATGGAAGGCCAGGTTCATCAGATTCTCTGGGATCAACGATTATGGCACAGTTGTCACTGCTGCGAGCCAGGAGCACAGCAGCTGGATCACTTCGTGTGGTACTCGGCTTGCCGGGCGAGCTGCAAGCACGAGATTTTCTCATGTAGCCGGTCTTCATGCGCTTGACTGAGAGGTTGCTCCGGAGAGGAGAGGGCCGCGTACGAGGCCGGCGAACCAGCGCTGGAAAAGTCGGCGATGGCCAAGCTTTTGAACTTGCCTCAGTCGCAAAATCTCTCACTACCTACCACAAGTGGCAGTGTAAAATGCTACAGTCCGCCAGCCAAATTGAGCGGCTGAGTCCACCGCTCGCTGCAGCCACTGCTCTTGAACTAGTGCGGTACAAGTTACAAGTCCGTAAACAGCTGTTCTGCAAGTTGTGGGGTCTGACCTCCTGGACGTTCTTCAATGTACCTGCAATTCTGGCTGATGCCCTCCTCGCCATTTAGCCCATGAAAAAGCAGAAGGGATCGCAAAAGCGCAGGCGAGGCACTTGTGAACAACATCCCGGGCGGTTCTATGACCCATCGTCAGCAGGGTGGGCAAATAGCACAGCAAGAAGCCGGCAGAGTCAAGCTCGGCCAGCCAATCGATTAGATGCGTCGTTGGGACCCTTTCCGGGATGTCCACTGTCTTCCCAACGTCTTGAAAAGAAGCCGTGGCGGACAGTGCATCGTTCCGAATAGCCGTACACGACAGTGGCAAGCCTTCAGGGCCCTCCTGCGTGCCACCGCTGCCTTGCCTCTGCCGCTCCTGCAGCAAATCAGCAGTCTTTGCTATTCCATGCCTTTTTGCATGGACTGGCGGAACAGTTTGAGGCTGCGGCTGCAGCTTCAGCTGCTTTGCGTCGAGAAGTTCGGCAGTGCCTGGGCAACATGATTCACGATCATCCAAAGGGAGGGGTTTCAACGTGGCCTCACAGATATTGTCCATCCGTCGAGATCCGAGAGGTGCCTGGCAAAACCGAGGTTTCGACTCGCAGCTTTGTGGATCGGTTTGCTTGCAGCCATGGGTGATCGACTTGCCTGCTCGTCTTGGAAAATGCGGTCCACAGTTCTACCCCTCCTGTTAACAGCAACGAGCACGGTCCTCAATTCCACTTGGAAACATTCCCCCACTTTGTGGAGTCAGTTGACTAGCCACAAATAGGGGGCTTGAGATGTGCAACAAACAAACTGTAAACAAGCTCGTCTGCGTCTGTGACGCCAACGGCGCATGCTGCCAGTCACAGGGCATAGAAAGAGAGACCCAAAGTGTCGAGCATGTGTAGCTTCATCTTCAGTTCAAATGAAACAACACCAGCAAGCTCGCTCGCTTCTGCTCACCTGCCCCACAGAACCTGGATCAAGACCATGATCAGAGCGCCACCACCCACATACGTGCTGGAGGGGTGCCATCTGCCAGGCCCGTGCCTGGCTTCATGGGGGTGGGTAGTTGGCAAGCCCGCCTGCACTTTCAAAGGTGGTGCCCGCTGGTCCATTGCCTTCAATTCCTATGTCACCTTTGAAGCGGCCTGCAGATGTGTTACCAACTTGCATGTCCCCTTTTGAATAGTGGGCGGCTTTGTCCTGGAGATTGGATCCACTGACAGCTTCCACAGCTAGCCTGGTGCAGTACACCCTGGCCTGTGGCCAGTCACGCGAAGGACTTGCAGCCGGGTTGTCGAAAGTGATTCGGTCGCAGCTTCCACCTGGGCCACATGCCTGCCCTGGACATAGTCATAGTCTGCAGACCAGAAGGCCCACATTTCCGTCTGGCCCTGTGCAAAGTCAACACCAAACACCAAATCCGCTTTAGGGTAATATGAGAAGTTCACCACACACATTTGATGGTACCTGTCGTCGCCCCAATTGAGACCTGATCCGTTGGATTGTGAAACGCGCAGTACAGCTTCACAGTCATTCACGGTCTCTTCGGGCAGCAGCTTAGTCCACATCCAAGCTCCTTCCCATTCCTGACTACCTGGAGTCGGATTTTGTGGCCGCTCCGGTGCGTATGGAAGTTCACACTTCGGTACACTCTTTGGGCAGTACCCCCACATTTGTGAAGCCTTGTGCGCCTGCCTGCAGGGATGTCCAAGTGCCCCTGCAAAAAGCTCATGGGGCCATGGTGTTTGCAAGCAAGGTCGGTGTATACCAGAGCCGGTTCCTAGTCCCAGAATCAGCCTTTCCAAAAACCGCAGCTGATTTGTAGAAATGGCGCTGGGCCATAGCATGCTGGTGAAAGCCCGTTTCAGGAGAGAAATCCTCCCCATGGCCGCTGTAGCCGCCGCTTAGAAGCAAGGCAAACATTTATGTCAGTGGAAACGTCCGTCAATGGAATGCTGAAGCCTGTGGCGTGCGGGTCCTGAACTGATAAGGTGCCCTCCTCAGCGCTCATAAGTACAGTGTGTGCAACGTTCATCTCAGGGAATGCGTTGAACCGACAGCAACCCAACCATCCGTTTGCGCACCCACTGTGCCGCGGATGATTCTTGCGTCGCTTTCAATTCTCCAATAAAAAGCACATTCTATGCCCCGTCCAGGGCTCTCACTGGTTTGTGGCAAAAGGGTAAAGTGAGCTGGAGCAGCCTCCAACCTGGCGGTTGCGCTGGCACAGCCAACCAGCATTCTTTCCATGCGTCGATAAGAGAACAACATGCCCCGCTCCAGCTCAGCTTCGGCTTGCGACCATGGGATGAGCTGCGGCCGACATGCATGGGCTCATGGTGTTGAGGCGAACCGGGCATTGGATTTGACTGACTCGATCTGTGCTGCATTCAAAGGCCTCCTTGCAAAGGTGTTTGTGGTTTCGGCTTTGGTTTCGTGGTCGACAGGATCAAGTTCCGAGTCCCAAGCCAGGCCTCTGCGTGGCCCGCGAGGCTGCAGCTTCAGAGGCAAACACCAGCTTGCCGATACCCTGCACTGACCGGCAATTCCGTTATTGTGCAAGCGATGTGTGTTGAAAGCTTCCTGCGTCCCGTTGATCCAGCCTTGTGCTGCCCAGTCTTGCGATCATAGAAGACAGTGCACGATACGATGTCCTTTCAACAGGCCAGGAGTTGAACTCTCGCGAACTAGACGACGATCTCTCACACTGCAAACCCGGCACCTGCTCCTTGCAAGTAAGTCGCCCCACAGCTCTCGAAGTGGTGCTTCAGGCCAGTTTCGGTGGTGTTCCAACTGATGCTGTCGACCAACACCTGAAAAAAAAATCAGCCCTTAGACACAGCACAAGCAACCCATCAGAGCACCTCGAAAGATGGTGCATCGCTGCCGCCTCTCAAGCTGTCTGTCCGTAAGCCTATGTGACAGCCTACCGCTGCAGCGGCCCGACAGTATAGTGTCACAACACGCTGCGTCACTATGTCATGCCAGCACCGGCAAGTGGCCTCTGCGTGGAGGGATCGCATCGAAGGGCCGCACTGAGATTGGCCGGCCGTCCAGAAAGGCGTCACGCAGCGAGAGGGCTTTGCTGGCTGCTTCGAGCGATGCGAAGGTGACTTTCCCAAAGCCTGTGACACAGGAGAATATGCACGACGGAGTTGAGGGCTCTTATCTCAGGTTCCTAGACAACTAGTCACGAAGAACAAGATCCGGCAGCCTCGCGAACGGCCTGTGCAGTGGTCCATAAAGACTTCCGCTGACACCACAACGCCACAAGTTCCGAAAAAGTCATAAAGTCTGTCGTCGGTGGTTGCCCAGCAAAGTCCCGCCACAAATACGGACGGACACACCTTTGCAGATGGCTGTTGCAGGGCTCTGTCTCCTTGCAGATGCTGTTGAATTTCCTCCTTTGTGAATTCTCCAGCGAACTCCCTGCTCAATTCGGCGATGGTATAGGCTGTTGCTGACTTGCCATCGTGGCTGGACATCTTCTCCGGACCTCAAAATCCCTCAGCAAGGGCACTGCATGTCAACGAGAATATGCTATGCAGCACCACTGTCCGAGCCGAAGAGCTTCGGGTACACATGCTCACGTGTGTGCTGTCACCGCGTGCAGGACTTAGAGTGTCGATGGCCTGGAAATGGCCCGTACTGTCTGCAGAGAAGCCGCGGAAGTCCTGCAGCTGTCAAAACGGCAAAGTGCTCGTGCTTGGCGCACAGTCACAGCATGTGCAAACCTGAACGGACGGCTGCACGGGCAGCCAGCCCCACTCTGCGCCGCATCGGCCTGCAACAGGGACGCGGGCAACTGTTCTTGGAATGAGGCGCGACCAAGTCAAGCCCCGGCTGCTCGGCCTTCCAACAAAGAATGCAGCGGCCTGAGCAAGGTCGAGCCAAAAGCTGCAGAGGCCGGCCCGAGTTTTTGAGCCATTGGGCTGCAAGTCCAACCCGCCCAAATGCTTTCACGATGGACTTTCCTGTTTCTTCATCGCGGAACCGAAACTGTCGTGTCTATCTTTTCGGTATGGGGATTTATTATCAGATTCGAAAGCCTCGGAGTCCTGCGGGTCGTCCGCTTCGCTTAGCGAGTGGATCCTGACAGGATGATCCTGATGACCAACCGTCACCATCGCTTTTGAGAATATGTACAAAGCCAAACGCAGCACTGCTGTGAAGCACTGAAGGGACAACACATGGTGTCAACCCAAAGTACTACCCAGTTGAAGCCGCATCTCACAAATTGCCTCCTCATGGCAGGAGTGGGTGCCTGCGCAGCAACAACTGCTGGTCTTGATTGCGGTTTAATCCTCGTGCTGTCCTGCATCGGGTGTTTAGGCCGCTTCCCTCATCAGGCTAGTACATCTGCTTCTGATGGAGAGGCGCTAGAGGGTGCTTGTGCATGGAATGATCCCTTTTCCGGCCAAGCGAATGCGCGAGTAGCCAGCCATGGGCCGGGTATTTTCGGCCGTGATTTTACTCTGACCGAGCGGATGCACACTCGTGCAAAGAAGAGATGCACATCGTTCATTAGTGAACCTTACGTCCCTCTTTCTGTTGCTCTTGTGACACGGCTTCCGTAGCGGCAGCTGAGCTCAGCCCCCGAGCTTCGGAACATCCAATTCGAAGCCGTGCTTGCGAAAAGCATAGCGCAATCTTTCACGCTTCTCCCACTTCCTCGAGGCATGCAAACAGACCGCTTTGTAAGCTCGGGCAATTCCGTGCTCCACATACCTTCAAAAATTACGCAGCACGGCTGCCTTTTAAGCTCGATGGGCACCATCTGTCGTGGCCAGTTCTGCTTCGGAATACTGTTGCCACCTTGGCGCAGCGGATGGCAGCAAAAGCCACATGCAACTCCAGGACGCTCAGACCCGCACCAAACGGACCTCGACCGAAACCACTCTTGTAGTTTGCTTTGGGCGGATCGAACTCCAGCCACCACCTCTCCTGGCCCGTGTGGCAGAGCACGGGTTTTCTGATGTTTCCAGACATCACCACCAGCACCTCACTACCTCAAGACCGCCTTTCTGATGCAAGAAATCCAGGCCCAAGATCTACCAACTGAAGTCCTCCAAGCCCTGAGTTTTTCGGTGCTTGTGTGGCGGCCGAGCGCATTGGAGAGGGCCTGAATTCATATCGCAACCAGGCGTGCAAGTGGCCGTCAAAGCTAAGGGATGAGCCCTCTGACTCTAGCATTCATGGGGCAATACCGACAGATCCCCGCATCTGTGGACGTACGCAAAGTTTTCAACCAGCACTTTCAGATTCATGTCCACCACTCAACGTCTAGGCCGCCGACACAGCGGCACGAAGACATCGCCCACAGGAGATATCGAGTTCACGACCCCATCTCCTGCACAAAATCTTGACCTTTGCAAGGCTGGGGACGTAAATCCCTTGAAGTGCTTACAAAGGATTGCTTGTCCTATCGGCGTCTGCAGGATCTTGGCTGAGGGATCCTCAATGTGCCGCACCTGTTGGCAAGGCACTTGCAGCACTACTTGCTTCGCCTTGAACACAGCTCTATCTGAGCATGCAAGCATGACTGAGGTCTGCACGATCAGCGGAACTGGCTCTGCAATCGGTCGAGTCGGAGCGGATGGCGGCAAAATCTGCGTGACATGACTTCTGAACCAATCGCACTACGTTGGCAGTGATTCGATGTGGCAAGTGCTGGCAAGTCTAGCTTTTAAACCATGCTGTTGTCCTGGCAATGACTCCCATCCGTCACCACTCATGCATATCCCGTCCGTCAGCACCAAAACTCTCCAACCCCGCATTTCGTCTCAGACACCGCTGCGGCCGCTCTCCCAAGCATCCAATGTCGCGATGCCGATGGAAGAATACTGGTAAGCCTAAGTTGGATTGCTTCAACCGGTTGCGGCTTGCTTTCGGAACACTCGCGAAGCACCCAATTTCAACATTGAATGCCAAGCAGCATTGCACTGCACAGGGGGGCCGCAAGGACCGGACCCCGTACTACAAACTAGTGACTAGTGCTTCATCTTCAAGGTGTGCCGGCGTGGCGATTCGGCAGGTGTCTGCAAGGCAACCAGGCAAGTCATTTACAGCCACTGTGCAGGAAGGTGGTGATGCACCAGCTGCCAAAGGTCGGATTCGTGGTGGGACGCGGCAACTCCTCATGCAAAAAGAATAGAAAATCTGGAATCCCTACAGATTGGCCTTACCAAACTGACGTCTCACACGGCCGGAGCCTTCAGGTCTCTCAGTCACACTGTAGCTACAGCTCGGGAACTTCTGCAGTCTCCGAACCGATCACATGTCGATCGAGCCTGCGGCATCTCGGATAGTTGACACTCGTGTCCACAGATCCTGTCCGCAGCGAAGGAGGTGAAGCATCAAGGCGGACCATTGAAGTGCAGCAGTGTGCTACCTGCCCTGCAACTCTGCGTAGCGTCACTTTCTTGGCAGGAGTAGCCAAGGCCAAGGAAATCCCCGCCACGCTGCCAGGCTACCGACCCTACATGACCTCTGCGGGCAACTTGTGCACTGCAGACGCATGCAGACGCTGTCTCCTGCATCTGTGAGGCATGAACACCGGGACGTAAATGACCTCTCGAGGCGCAAGTTTGAGCTAAGAGCCTTTCGGCTCCCGGAGATTTCCTCAACCTGTCTTGCATAGAAAAAGAAGCCCCCCCACTCGTTCCGCCTGAAAGGGCTCCGGCGCTCGGCCCTCCTCTGCCTCAGGGCATGTTGGCATTGGGGCTCGGGGGGAAATCGAAAGTAGCAGCCAGGCATAACTGCATAGCTATCCTCAAAAGAGCGCCAGTGAGACGCGACGGAGACCGGAAGACTTCAAGTCCCCTGTCCGGCAAGCACCGAATTTTCCGCATCATGCACGCGAGATTCCGGGAATGCTTGTCTAATTCGGCATACGCCCCGTTATATAAAACATTCCAAGCACCAAAGGCATTGACAACTGCTCCTCAAATGACATATATATATATATATATGTATATATAGAACTCCAATCACCACAGTATGTAGCTTCTGCATAATTTTTTCGAATTCAGCAGATAGTTCGATGCACCGCTTCGCCGCTGATGCTAATGCAAACCGCATCTGACCTTTAGGCGTCGCTGGGGTCTCCAGGCCACGTGGCTTAAGGCAAACTGTAGGGGCGGCCTTGGAAGCACGGCGGACAAGCGGTGGCGACCATTATCAACGCCAGGATGCCAAGGACAGGCCACAGAACTGAGCATCTGGATGAACATCTACACCTTAAACGCTGGTTCAGCAAAGTAATTAGGGTTTATGGGCCCGGCTCCTTTCGAATAATTTCATGGCCCAGCTGTTCTGGGGTGAGTGGGAGTGGACTCTCGAACTTTATGCCGTCGATACGCTTGGAGATCACTCCCACGCAGCGCCATGAACGGTGGTGGAACGGGTTCCGGGAGACAGGAAAATGACCAAAGATGATAACTCCTCCTCTTACGCGTGAACCGTCGATCACTTCATGCAGGGCAATCCGTGGAACCATGGCAATACTTTCGTGAAGTAGCCAAAAGGCATGGGTTGTTCTTGTCAAAGTCATGGCCCATCTCCCGGGGGCTGCACATACCCGTAGCTGTGGTGAAACGTCTCCTTGTAAGTCTTCCGTGACTGCGGACGATACTGCAAGGTAAGTCTTGTGCTGGGCTGTGCGGTGTAGGCCTCAGGTCTGCAGGACCGCGCGCGGCGTTTCCTCGTTAGCTTTGCGTATTTGTAGGTGAAACCGGAACCAAGGCTCAGAGGTTGGCCGCGACCCTGCCAGAAAAAACGGCTCAGAAGCTGTACCATCAATGCAGGAGAACTGGCAAACTCCCGTTGATATCTTCATTAGGAGCCTCTCGAATCACCGCGGCCCTCAGAGGAGGAGACCGCCTTGAACATCAGTCCCTGAGTTTCAGGAAGAAGCCTCGGACGAGCGTCATCCCAGACACACGCCAAGCATTGGAAGAACCATGTGAACACAACCTTCACATGAGATCAGATATGCCAGCCCTCATGGCAGCCAAAAACTGTGTGAATGAACATGTCCAAGCCACGCTTGATCATTCGTGCTTCTTGCGAGACTGTGCGCTTGCTCGCGGCATCTTCATTGGCGGCCTGACCGTTTTCGCGTCTGGCCAGGAGCAACGCCGCAGATGGTAGTCCCATCAGTGGCTCGTTGAACCTACCGTTTGCCTCAAACATCCCGGCAGATCAAGCTGGAGCCTTGAACCCTGACCCCTCCACACTTCGACAATGCGGATGCATGTTGGTGACCTCGACCACATTGATGGTCGTGCCGATGTTTTTCCCAACTTGATCTGCCGAATCTAGGAAGGCGATGATGTCGTCGAAGACTTCGTCGTTCAGCCTCGTTAGACAAGGCTGTGGATACAATGCAACTGCCTGGGCGGAGCAACTCATGTCGTGCTGTCTCAGCCCCCAACACGACCATGTTCTTCGCCAGGGTCTCCGCAAGAGCCAACATACATCGCTTGGCATAATACCTGGGGTTCAGCATCACCGCTGCAAGACCCAACCATGCCCAAAGGAACACAGAAACCGACCGAGCATCCATGCAAAGTGTGCAAAGTATGCTGATGTCTATCTAACTCAGCTCGGACGCCACGTGTCGACGCCGATCTTTTTGTCGTACGGCTCCTGCATGCATCTTACGGCTTTGCTACCTACATCACAAAGCCGGCCTACTTGGTCTTCCCGTTTGTGCGGCAAGGTGCCAGGGACTTGATGATTCGGCTGATACCGAATTCAAAGTTGCCCTTCGTGCAGTAGAGGGTTCCAATCACCTGGACAACCATGGGGCGTATGTGGTCAGGGCAGGGTGATTACTCGTGTCAAGCTCATCTTTCGAGCTTAAGGGTGCCGTGTGCGTCTGAGCCATCCACCAAATTGATAATGCACAGGTGGTAGACCTGAGTCAGTAGCTGAATGGCACTTGCACTGAACCACGAAGCATTCAGTCGTGGAAGTGTGAAATGCTCTCCTCATAAGCAAAGCCTTCCAACTGCAAAGCCGGAAAAGCTCGACACGTACGGCTGGGCGAGGTGCCGGTTTCGACGGGTCCTTCACCTTCTCCTCCTGATATTAGATGATATTAGAAACAAGACAAGGCCGAGCGCACGTGATGCTGCTTTGCCAACGTGACCTCACTCGGACAAAGTTCGCGACTGCATATCTACAGGTATTGCGGCAGGTCCCGAAAGACTTGACCGAGCCCGCCCTGACACACAAGTGGTCTGCATCCTGCTCTGCCGCCCAACCGGTCCTCACGCTCCACCAGTCTCATCAGTTCCTCAGCCTCCTCGTTAGCGGAGGTCATGACCTCATTATGCGTCCAATGGGCCATTGCACGTAAACATGACCCCTGCAGGCTTCATCGTGTTCCTCCGGTCTCTAGGGATGTGGTGGAGCCGATAAAGATGACAGCGAGAAGCATATGCCACACAAAGATTGGCCAGGATGATCGCCGTAACGTTCAAGAGATCGTCGTTGTGCTTTCGCACGAACGGCTCATAGTAGCGGATGCACTCCTTGAATTTTTCCTGCATGAAGAAGATGTGGGCCACGTTCCTCGGCTCAAGGTGTCGGCCCTGCGCTTCGAGGAAAACTGCAATGCACGCAACACCACTGCAGCCGATGGACAGCTTCCAGGACTCATCTTCACTGCAGAATTCAGCAGACTGGCGGAAGATTTTCTCCTTGGTCGTGGTCGTGACTCGATACGCTCACCTTGGGACCTTCCTTGCAATGTATCATGACAAGAGCTGGGCTGGAAGAGTGTGTGCTTGCCGGGAGATGTGGCCCAGGCTCCACCATGGAGTAATTCTCCAACTCCCAATAGATCTTGGCTTGCCCCATGAGCACCTCAGCTGCACGAATCTGGGGCTCTTGATGGGCGCTCTTTATCTTCAGTCGATGATTGCGGAGCAAGCTTCCTAAGGCCTTGTGCTCATCTCTGGGAAGGCTGACGCTCCCTTAAAGGTTACTGAATTCAGCCACAAAGTGCCGGTATGTACTTCGCCAGCGCATCATCGAACTCGGCCAGGTACTTCTTCACCTCATCCCGTTTTCAGGCAGGGAGGCTTGCTTCACAAGACTAGGTTCTGGGCCCATGCAATAGGCAACCGCACAATCGCAGACAAAATGAAGCAACAGCTGCGAATTGGTTACGCTCAGTCCGGCATAGTCCAGCACGTCCGGCATTCAGACGCCTACTTCTCAGCATTTCGTGCCCAAGTGCTCGACGATGTCGATATTCATACTGGGTTTCGGTTTTGGCATGTTTACGTGACATGTGACTATCTGCCGCCACAGCCATCCATACCTCCAAACTCAGGAGTTTGGCTTTATGCTTCATGTTCGGTCTCGTTTTGGACTTCGGGCGTTCCAAAAACACTCACACATTCCTAAACCCCCAAGCCAACCAAGGCTCCAAATGCTTTGAATGCTGAGTGATGCTGAAAGTGTAACTCCAAGAGCCCAAAAGTCAAGTAAGCCAAGACTTTCGAACGTTCTGAGGCTCTGGCCTGGGTTTGATCCCGCTGCCTCCTTGCGTCCTGGATGTTTTTGGTTCCTGGCAGCAGAAAGGTCAAAGTGACCACATACAACTACAGGAAAGTTCACACCCATCTACCGAAAGAGCTCCTCAGCTCTCTTGCTGTGCTGTCTGCATGGTAACTGCGAAATATTGTTCTAGCATGTTTCGGTTGAAGCTCTCTTTCAGTCTACTGTACTGTACCCGGTTTGGAATCAGCTATATTGGCAGTTGCAGTGTGGAGGAGCAAGAAGTGCAAGCTATCGATACTACCTGCACAAGATTTAGCTCATCGCCTGCCACATCCCCGGGGAGTCCTTTCCGCAACATCTCCACATGCTTTGCAGACAGCTCGTCGAAGCGCCGGTACGCTTCTTCAGGTGAAGACTGGCCCAATATCAGCGCATCCAGAAACTCCTTTGAAGCCGAAGAGCACATGCCGTTTGGAGTTGATACAAGTACACACCTGCAGAAACGACTAGCCTCAGAGTTAAGGCTTTCGAGCTGAGATACGTAATCCTCAGGCTTCATATTCTTGTAAGTCAGCTCAGCATTCTCCGCCAGAATGTCAGCGGCTAGGTCATAGTAACCTTCAGCATGTGGCAAGCTTGACCGTTGACAATATACCATGTCGCGGCATGACTGATATTCGGTTTGACGTCCGGGAAGCTGTACTTGCAATACAGCAGGAGGAGGTTTACAAAAGTCTCCTCGGATGCACAACGCACAAGCACATACAGGAAGAACGCTGCCTTAAATCGGCACTAGCTCAAATAAGTCCAGGCTTTCTGCTCGCCCACACTACGGTACTCCTGGCAGTAACACTTGCCGAAGTGCTGGTGGCGATGGCTGCTGGTTAAGCAGAAAGTTAAGCTTGCGGAAGCCCTCGGTCGGCTTCTCGTCCATCTCCTTGGCAGATGGAGTCGCGTTCGACTCTTCAGCCATTATATATTATATATTCTATATTCTATATTATATATTATATATTATATATTATATATTATATACAGATTCCACCCTCTGTGGAACGAACTGGCACAGCGGGCAGACTGGAATCTGAGTCTCGCACGATGAGGGCCTGGTTGTGGAGCGTGACTGGGTCGAGTTCCGACTCATCGCGAGGTGGCATATCAGCTAACGCGTCCTCCGAGCACTGCGACAGCGACCCACCTTCTTTCAAACCTTCATCCCTGCCCCGACTGCATGAAGCACAGCTGTCCTTCGCGGCTTCCATGTTCTTTGTCATGTACCTATCATACATGCTGCGTATGATGCGAGGCCTCAGCCCCTGATTGTCATGATTATCATGTGCTCATCTCATCACCTCATCACATTTCAATGCGCTCGTCTGGCTTCGAGACAGACCGCTCTGTGACTAAAGACATGTCCGGAGTCACAGCTTCATGCTGAATTCTGCCAGGCGTGCTCTATTGCCGACTTCAGGTTGAAAGCTTCAATCAAAGCCGTTTCCCGCAGCACGGACGTGTTGCCGACACTCCTGACGGAGGCTCAGAGCGAAGGAGTTCATAAGTTGACACGCAACTGCAGTGGCTGCTCAACTCGACAGCACGGCAACAGAAAGATTCAGTCTTGGCGCTTCGGCTTCAGTTCAACACTGCCGGGGCTTGGGTGGCTCGTAATATTTGCAGGATTAAACCTTGAGACCAATAAAAGCAAGTGTCGCGTTACCTGAATGCCTGTACAGAGCTCTCCGTTCCTTTGCTTTTAAAGCTCTGGACAAAGGTCAAGTGTTTCTGACCTCGCACTTCGGGCTTCACCCACTTATCGCGCACACCTGCTCAGCTCCAGGTGATTTGTAGTACGAACTTTGATTCTAAGACCGTCTGTCTTCCTCAGAACGGCTTGACTACCAGCGGCTCGAAAGCTGCGGTCCCGTCCCCCTCTCCGCTACAAGACAAGGCTCCGAGCTTTGAGGTCGCCTTCTGACCTGAGATCGACAAGAACAAATGCCCGCGCTACAGATGCCAAACATCATGACTGGCGACTACGGAGATCTGCATGGGAGACGAATACATTTTAAATTCGTTTCACAAGCTCTGCCATCCCCGTCTTTTCCTTACGTGTTTGGACCCTCTTGCTGCAACGGGGCAAAGCTCCCACAGACAGCTCCGGATGATCCCGTACACCACGCTCGATGATCTCGGCGATGTGCTTCAGCGCCGGGCCGTACTGCTTGGAGCCTTAGAGCTCTGCCATCGGAGAAAGCTTAAAGCCTGCGAAGTGCATCTGGGCCCCGGGCTATAGTAGCAAAGGGCGATGTTGTACGCAAGGCTTGCCTGGCAGGGCTTCAATGCTGAGGGCCTCAAGACTTAGGAAAAGCTCTGTGCTGCGAGCGCCTGGTAGCCGGTGCTTGTTATCGCATCATTGAACAGCTTCATAGCTTCTGCGTACCTGCTGGGTGTTTCCAAATTGAATGCCTTGCACGAGACGCTCACCAGGAGAAGGTGTGCAGAACGTAGAGTTAAGGAGTTTTGGCCCGGGCGCCGCTTCTCTTTCCAAAGCAGTGCTCCCTCGAAGACCTGCCTCTCCTGGCAAAGCTGCTGCCTTGCTGCGCATGCACGTACACGGGATGGCACATAGTCCAGAATCAGTCCCTCTCCTCGGAGTCTGGATGGCATTGATCCAGGATGCTGCGAGCCAATTGCGTCTCTTCCTTTTGGCATCCACTCGCACTTTGTCTTGGGACCCTTTTTGCAACAGGCTCGCGACTTCGCCCGGAAGTTGGACCCTGGAAGCCCTTCACAGCACGTACTTACTGTGGAGCCAGTGCCAGTCCCAAGACCCTTTTTGCTGCTGGGCTTGGGGCTAGCCAGATCCTTAGTCCCAAGACCCTTTTTGCAGCTGGGCTCTACGTGTCCGCCAGCAAGTCCGCCCACGTTCTGAAGTCCCAAAACCCCAAACCTTTTCAAAAAGGAAAGTTAAAAGCACCCAGAGCCTGTTCGTAGGAGATCGTGGCCTGTAGCATCAGGACCCGCTCCTCAGATAAGAGCCAGTTGACCCTCAGGCACCCAAGCGCATGAATGGATCCAACGCAATGAACAAGGACCCAGCAAGTAACCACCTCGACATCAGTTCCCGTCAACTAGCTCAGCAAAATCTGCTTTCAGCTCGGGTGCCGTGTACTCCGGCGACTCCACAGAAGTACACGCCTGGCTGGCCTCCTCATACAAGCCTGCCTTGATCAGGCTCTGGACCTCAGCTTACAGCTCCTGACGGTCCCGCAAGTAACGCTTGTGCGGCAAATGGAAACATGGGCACCGTTTTTTCTGCCCGTGATCCCTTTGTCTGTCGAGGCACATGGTAAATCTTGTACTCGTCGATCTCGGGTACGACTTGCACAAGCCTGAGCTTCCGGCCACAGGACGGTCACAGACAGTTTATTGTCACTCGCACTCGGCAAGCAGGCGAGGTTTCGGAGGTTCAGGGTTGTCCTTTACAGCACCGGCTACAGGACGGTCACAGACAGTTAGACTCTTAGACAAGACCAGTCCAGGAGCTGACCGTAGATGTCCGCAGCACTGGCAAAGTCTTGCATGTGGTAGTAGCAGTATCCGAGCAATGACCTCAGCCAACCAGTCTCATGCGCTCACGCCACTATGCATCCACAGGTCCAAGCACCGCGACATGGTGGGAACAAACCAGCGAAAGCCGAGAAACAAAGCGCAGCGGCTCTCCGGGAAGAACTGAAGCTGCTGGTTGAGAATCTTCACGGCCTTGTCATACTTTTGCTCCATGATGTGCGTGTAAATGGTCTTCGTCATCTCCCCCTCTTTGACTTGTACCCGCATCATGCCGGCGCCTGACACACGACAGCACAGTAGGCACAAGCGAGCAAATCAGAATGATGAATTGGCAAGAACTGATCCCTTACTTAAGACCACCAGATTAAGCGACCCTATCCACGATGGACACACGAACATGGCCGCCACTAACAACAACATCTGGTACGATTTGTGTGCTGCTGCGTAGCCCAGACTCGCACCTAGACTGTCACGGAAGCGAAATCCACGGTTCATTGTATTGTTAGCGATTCTGTCCAATCTCTTTTGCGCAGAAGCACGGATCGTCACCCAAGACTGGCCGGCCCGAGAAAAGCTGAAGTTCAATGCTTCGGGCACTAAGTCCTGATAAGAAGCACAGCCCTACTGCAAGAAGAAAAGCTGTGCTCAACTCCGCGAAGCTGCCGGGACAAAGGGGCGAGGCTTCTGCTCGCAGGGCCTCTGCGACACAGACGCTGAAAACTTTGGGTACGTTGGGGGTTTAGGGCCAAAGGCGTTCGGGGGAGGTGTTCGCCAGAATTCCCCAGTTGAACTTTGCGAGGAGCTCACACGGTTTCAGGCGGGTGTTGACAGCTTGAGCTCCCCAAGCTTCGTCAGCTCAATTTTCATTTCTTGCTTGCACCTTTGACCGAGGCACTATGTCAGAGTTCTAGCAACCCACCGCTGATGATTTTCTTCTCGACTCAAAACCCAGCAGCTGACCGGGATATTGCCCACACATGACTCGAAAGTGCCTTGTACCTGAGAGCTCCGGTAACCCTGAGACCGTGGAGATTGGGGGGGTAGCTGAGAAACAGATGATCTGCACACTCCGACAAGTCTGCCCATAGTCTCACTAGTGAGACAATCATCCGCAAAGTCGTCACAGATCAAGCCAGCATTACAGTGAATGAACATTTCGACCCATGGATCACCACCTACTTCGCCTGGTGCCAAAACTTCTGCAAAAAAAGCAGTGCTCTGGGAACTTGCCACATCCTTACAAAAGAAGCTGAGAGCAGCACCGGTGCCGGGGCGGGTTACGCAGCCCTACCTACTTTGAGCCGAAGCAGCAGTTGACATCAAACGTCTCCCAACCCAATTCAACAAATGCGACACTCTCATGTCCGGAGACTCTGCTCCAGGACCGGGTTGACGCTAGTTGCCTTTAGTTCGTTATTCGGTACTGCGACTTCCCCGGCAGATAACACAGCACAGCAGCGCTCGGGTCTCCATGACTTGGAGACCTTGAGACTTAGGGCGAAGGCACGGTAACTCGCGGGAGGCACTGGCTGCCTGGCATGTTACACACAACCCAGCAGCGTGACTGCGACTGCGGCTGGGCATGGACTGGGCATGCTTCTATTCTACCAAGTGCCCCTCCAGCAACGAGCCGTGCTGCCCAAGGATGAAGTTGGCTAAGTTGGCAGTTCAAAGCGGGCACAGGCGACAGGGGCGGCAGCATGAAGCTTCCCTCAGTGCATCTTGCACTCCAAAACATTCGAAGATGTCAGTCCAAGGCACCGGCTGCAGGGCTTGGGCAGAAGTCCGGCGTGCTCGGGAAGAGCGCCTCCACAGCTTTCTGGAGGCAACTCGCTGCAACTTAAGTCACTCAGAACAACAGTAAGTAGAGCACTCCCCACGGCAAGGAGATGCTGATTTCTGGTGCATCACAACGCCAAACTTTCTACCGACTTACACGCTTGAACTATTGGCTGCGTGTCGACTACAGTGTTGACTTGCGCCTGCCAGAGAGTAACACGCATTTGCAATGGCATTCAGAACAGACTGAGCTCTGCACTGCGGGGGTGGCGGATGAGCTGGGCTCCCTTTCGGTTGAGTACGACCTCGGGTGGTGCGCAGCTGCTACGCCCAAGATTGCTCAACTACTCCTCTCACGCCAGGATGACTAGGGGCACGGCTCCATCGACATCTGGCGTGTGAACAAGCTGCCAGAGCTCACGTCGTGACTGGCAACCCTGCGCAGCTGCAAGAGCATTGTCAGCGATGTCTCGTCGTCTGTCGAACACACAAATGACAAATTTTTTTGGCAACATTAGCTACTCTCAATTCCCTTGCAGTTCCTATATCATGTTCGATAGCTGCCTGCGGCGTCCCATGGAGTACGGAAGCGCCTCGCAGAATCACGGAGCATCCAACGTGACCCTCCTCTCCTGCTGCTGCAATGACGTGTCAGCCTCCCCGATGCCAGGCGATGTCAAAACAGAAGGCCTCGCTTGGTCTTGGGGGGCGGACGCTGGCAAATTTGTTCGAAAAAAATTAGATGAGCGTTGCTTGACGTGGTATCCCGATGGTTGACGTGAAAATACACCCTGCGAAAATTCGTTGGACTTGCAAGAATAGAGAGAGCTACAGAGACACCGAGCACATACGCAGTCACTTGGCCACAACTTCCGGGCTTACAGCTTTGATTCGCTCGTCTGGTAGGCGGTTCTCTACGCGAGGGTAGCACAGCCGTAGGGAAAACCAAAGGCCTCAGCCTTTACAACAGTAACCTAGCTGACGCCAGCCGAGCCTGAATTTCACCCATCATAATCAGCAAGGTAGAAGCGGAGTGGAAAACTAGACGAACGACGCGGGAACAATGGAATCATCCCCTGTCTAGCCGCTTAGCCTGAGGACACGACCCTGGTGAAGCAGGCTCCAAACGGCTGGGCAAAGACCTCAAGACAGCAATCACAGCAAGAAAGCACCAGTGACGTATCCACACCACTCTGCGTTCACATGTACCCGTCTGTCGGTCTCTCTATTTAAACTTCATCACCTCGTCTCAAGCAGCCATGAAGGCATAAATGTACATGCGCTTACATAGTTCTGTCCCTACGGAATGCATACGCCCGGACGGTGTCATTTTGATACGCATGTTCATGCCACCCAACCGTGTAGTTTCTCGACCCGCTCCGCGGTGCCGGGCTTGGTCTTATAAATATTCGTTAATCTTATGCCTAACTGTCTCACATTGCCTATGAGAATACTACGTCTTCATGGGTATGTACATGCATACACGGAGTACAACCGACCCGTGTCGCTTTGAGAGACTTAGAAGAAAGAAAGAAACAGAAGACAGAACCAGAGACCGAGGGACACGGCGAGACAGGAAGAGAGAGCCAGAGAGCGAGAAGGAGAGAGGAAGAACGAGAGAAAGAGGAAAGAGACAGAGAGAGAGAGAGAGATAGATAGAGAGAGAGAGAGGGAAGAGAAAGAGAGGCAGAGAGAAAGAGAGAGAGAGAGAGAGAGAGAGCGAGAGCGAGAGCGACGGGAGAGCCCATGACTTAGTCACATGCTGTCCTGAGGCATGCACATGCAACATATTGTAGCAGCACGCGACATGGATGCTGGCCGCATATCTGCTAAAGATCAAAGCAGTTGTCCAGCTCGGCTCGCTGCGGAGTTCGATACACGCTGCAGCCGCCGGTGCCGGCACCTTTGACTACAAGCACTGACTTGCCGCCTCGGCACAATCCTGAGCTGACGTCATGCTTCATGGAACCTGGCCCCGCACGCTGGACCAGTGGAGACTCAAAGGTCTGTGGCCTCAAAAACCAGGTTGAATGTGCGACTTGGAGGCAGCCGTGCACACATTTGTTCACCCAGGCAGTCCAACAAAACAGCATTAAAGGAAGGCAATCCTATTCCACAACAAGGCAAACTCCCGACTGGACCACAATGCGAGGTGGACCACATGAGACAGCAAAGGGAAGTGGAACATTAGATAGATTCCGAGCTGGCCCCTATATCTGACACCGTGTGCAGTCACCAACACGCTGCCAGCTTCGCATTTCAGCGAGAGCGGCAGCCACGAACTGTCCTGTCTCTATCTTTCGCGAGAAATAATCTGAGAACTCCAGCCTCGTCTGCCAGAGTAAGCAACAAAAACAAAATCGGAGGGAAATGGACCGCTACTCTGTCTGCTACGCACTGGGAAGTATGCCAGGTATTGCACGGCACCGATGTGTCTAGGGGTTTCAAAGTGGCATGGCTACAGGCGAAGCACAGTGTTCGGCTCAAGCATTGATGGTTCACGGATGACTTCGTCCGGCTTTGCTGCTAAAGCAGAGAAGTACCAGCAGAAAGAACGTAAGCAAATGAACCCACACACTCTTGGACACAGATGTACGGGCCTCCACATGGATGACTCGTCGGGCACGTCGGCAACCTGGAAGCTTAGATGGAACGAGCCTGGTTTCTGTCGCCCTGTCTGGGGGGGGGGCAACAAGCTCGTGTAACTAGGCAAGACACGATGCAGCAAACCAAAGCAACCAGTCATGATGTGGCCGGAGCAGACTCTGGTCAAAGCACCGGGATGCTCACCGCTGTGCCGATGGGCGCCAAAGGACCTCGTCGTGACGTGTGTGTCATAGCCCGCCGAGGTGCTCCAGCCCCTGCTGATTCCGGAGCCCCGGCTCGACCGTTTCGGTAGCGGAGGGGGAACCGAAGGCGGACAACTCCACCTCAGAGCCATCCCACAACATTGCGCTCCTGGACTCCTGGGCCCCAGGAAAAGCAGGCGGGTCTTCCCTCGAGGCCCCAACATACACGAGGGTCGAGAGTCAGACTCCATCGTCCCAGGCATCTCCTGTGTGGGCGGGTTGGGCTGGCTGATACCTGACAAAGCTGCAAACAGGAGAACTCAACGGTCGCCAATCTCCGAGTTTCCCATATTGTAACTTTCTCAGAGTTCCCGACTTTCCAGGTTTGCATCCGGCACACACACACACACACGCGCGAATCACTGGTCACCGCTCGCAGCTTCTTGGACCCCAATGGCGGCAGCCGCCTCCACAACACCAATTGTCACAGAAAGCCCATTGCAGCTGGCATAGCAAATGTGCAAGAACATTGAGCAAATTGGTCCCCAGCATGTTCGGGAATGCTTAAACTGCTCATCCAGAGATCAATGAATCATAGATTCGGCATGGCAGTTTTGGGGGCAGTGGAGCCCTCGCTGGTGCTTCCTGACCTCGGCCTCGGAGACCGTGCTACGCTCGCTCGTCGAACCTGGCATGACAGGTCTGCCAGGTGAAGCAGGCATACGGGTTGGAACGGAGGTATTAAGTCTTTCAACCGTTCGATAGCCTGCACTTATCTGGCGAAAAACAGAACAAGTGTCTAGAAAACGCATGAGAAAACGACCGAGAGACCGACGGACAGAGCGAGAGAGAGAGGGCGCGAGAGAGTTGCTGGCGGCCTTCGTCCAAACCTTCGAGACCCTCGTTTCCGTCGCCGCGCCGCCTGCGAGGTCCGAGCGAGTTGCTCTTCCAGTGGCGGTGGCGAAGCGCTGCAGCACTGGATTGGCTCAAGCTGGCCCAAAAGCATCAAAATGAGACAGACAGGTTACGGTGGCAACTGGGGCGCTTTTTTCGCTGAGACACTAGCCTTTCATCCTCCAACTCATCCAGCAAGCCTGTCGAAGTGAACAAAAGCCATACTGTACCTTGTAAGAAACGATGAAATAGGCACAGCGTGTGCTTCTTGATCATCAAAGCTTAGCCATGCTCAGCTGCTCGCGAGCTGCTGTCCCGCTTGACACAGTTCGGATGATAGAAATGGACTGCTCCTGAGCAGGGCTTGCAGAAGTGAGTGACATGTGCAACGCGTCCGTTTCTAGGTCGCTGATTGCTCAAAAGGTTGGCAGTTCGAGTCTCCTCCTCTGCAGTTTCGGAGTAGGAGAGGGTCACCGACCTCAGCAAGCCAGCATCTGGAAAACGACTCACAAAAAACATACATCCGGCACGATCGTCTGGGGATATCTCGCGCACCCGACTCTGCTCTACAAAGCATTCTTCTCAGGACTCAAATCATGGCATCGAGGCTGAACTCATGCGGTTTGAACCACATCTGATTGGGAAAGAAGCTTCTCTCGCTCCTCCTTGCTGTCGGAGCCACCTCCAGTTCGTCACAAATACATGCATCTGCTGCCACAACCCTATGGAAATCGGGTAAGCCCTTCTCGCATCTTCTTGCCTTTGCGCCGCGGACACTCTGCCTGAGACCAGCAAGTGTCAAGGAGTTGTTGCTCTTCGTGGGAAGGATAACACTCCTACTGCTTTGAAGCTGTGAACTTGACAGCACACAAGCCGACAGCGAACAAGCAGTGAACTTGACAGAAAACAAGCTGACAGCAAACATGCAATGTGTCGACATGATTCCTCCGGGGTTGCGCCGTCCTTTGCTTTGAGCTGCCAGAGCGCCGATTCGCGACTGACCAGCTGGGAAAGTGCAAAACTCCGTGGACCATAGATCCAGAACAAGATGCATTCTTTGGCATCTTTGCATGCTCCCTCGTGGCATCTACGCCGTCATTGTGCTCGGGCTCCATCTGAACGCTGTAGTCGTGCCCCAGGGGCCTACTAAACACCTCTACGGTCTACAGGATGGCTCATAGCTCCGAGATGCCCAAGACGGCTTGCCAGTTTGTTGCTACACGTCTGTTTGGGTGAGACTTATGTTAGAACAAACTCTTGATGCGAAAGAAGCAGACACAGGCTGCCATTCGCTGTAACACAAGTAAAGCTTCAAAACGTCTCGTCAGTCTTTACAGATTGCGAAGATTTCGGAGATGTTATCTGCTTCGCACCCTTTTGGGATGCTTGAACTTGTTCCCAAGGCTTCTCGGCAACCACAGTGCCAGCACCGCACTTCCAAACGACATCAGTTTGGCTGGCATCCTCCCTCTCGGCTGTGTAGAAGCAAGTCCGTGGCCTTCGACTGTCCCGGGAGTCAGTGGATAGCGCGACTCCTCGGTTGGAGACGTACTCCCTGAGGACGCCCTGTACCAGCTGAGACTCTCGTTCATCGAAGTTCATCAGCGGCTTCTCGAGAATCATAATTTCTGGATTCACAATCAAGGCACGTGCTATGTGCAGCTTCGCCTTTTCCTGGAAGGACAGGGAGTCCTGCCAACCTCGCAGTTCGTACTGCAGTTGCTGCGCTCGCCGGCTACCGTCTGGTGGCAACCATTGTGCATGGGCAGGTAGCGGTTCTACCTTCCCACTTTTGCTGCAACAGCCAGGGTCTACCTCCTCATCATCCGAGAGAGGCTCCTGCAAAATTTCGATCTCCTGTTCAGCAACCTCTCGGGTTCGCATCATCCGGAGCTTATCCAGAATCCACAACGCGCGATGCCGCTCTTCTGGATTTGCGACAGCGAGAGGATCACCAAAGAACAGGTTTTGCAAAGGAGAGGCATCCATCAAAACGACTTGGTGTGTAACCAACAGGCATCGCAGATGTGAGGGCATGATCACTTTGCCAGTAGTGGGAGTAATTCCACCAGCAAGGAGTCGGATCAGCTTCGTCTTTCCTGATCGATGTTCGCCTTGCAAGGCGACCAACTTGCCTTGCTCGACGGACAGATCTACATTGTGAAAAAGCTCTCCACTCGCCCCAGGTTTGTATGACAGGCCTTCCAAGCGAATTGGAATCATGTCTGTGCGCACCATGCCAGGAGGGGTCGGTATGGAAAGTTGCATCAGCCGAGTCCGCTGGTCGCTGGTCTCCTTGATCCGCCTGTTCACTAACTCTTTCAAGTCTCGGACGTCGGTGGGCCGGTTCAAGAAAATAGTGATGTCAACTAGCGGCTCAAATTTGGAGATCACGCTCATCATCACAGAATATCCATCCGCGAAGTTCGATGCGACCTCTTTGAACACACTGATCGTCGCTAGAAACCTGGGTGTATTACAAACTTTTCTTCTGCTGGGCCAGCTACTCTTGTCCCGGTGCTGCTGACACTTCTCCCACCAAGCAATGCCCTCAAGTTCCTGCAGTGCGTTCTATCGGTAAGCCTCGGAGTTCTTAGTGCTGGTGTATCGAGTCTTATGGACGTCCTGTTAACTCGGGCGGTTCATGTTTATGCTTTTGTGCCGTGAGCCTGCTTTTTGCAAGAGTCACTGGTGCCACTGCCGGCACGGTGCTTCTGACAGCTAGGGTGCCGATACTTTTCGAAGAGCTCTTTCCTACGGCCATGGCTCCCAGGACTGCAAAGAGCAATCAAGGCCATTTGCATTGTATGCCTGGTATCTAGAACAGCTGAGTCCACAACGCTCCCAGGGAAAGCGCGCCGTCAATCACTTGCTGAGCATAGAAGCACAAGTAGAAACCGGCAAACGACGGGCCCAGCCATGCGAAAAAGAACTCGCTGCGCATGCTGTAGATCCCCAGAGGCTCTTGTACCTTTGAATCTCCACTGACAAGTTCCCCACCATAATAGATACTATAGTTGTATCCATCTGTCTATCTACCTATCTCGATATTGTATAACCATGCACATACAACAGAAGTTGCTTATCTATCTATCTCGCTGTCCTTTCATCTGTCCATCGATCGACCAATTTGTTATCTACGTGTCTGTCTGTCTGTCTGTCGGTCGGTCGGTCTGAGTGTCTACATATCTATCCCGTTATCTCTTCAAGGTACGATATGATGGATATGATACGGCATGACCAAATACGATACGATATGATATGCTATGGCATGACACCATTGGGTATTGTATTATACCGTGTTCTTAGTATTCTCTTGCAACGTAAGTATTATATTATAGTACACTGTATCATGTTGCAGTCTGTTACTTTCTGCTACATTGTCTTATACTCTGTGCTGTTGTCTTCTGTTGTGATGTATTGCTTGGCCTACTATGCTCCACTAAACCAGTGAAACCCATCGAAACTCCTGTATATACTCTAACATGCGGTTGCACTGAAATATTTTCCGTTGTATTTTATGTTATATCCCGTTGTAGTCCATTGCATTCCAGAAGGTTCTATTGCAATCCATTGCATTCCATTATTTTATATCAATACTACATTCCGTGGAACTGTACTATTATATTGTGTTATGTTGTAGTTAGTTGTATTACACGAAATACAAGGACACATGTGTGCATGCATGTGTGTGCGTGTTTATGTGTGTGTGTGTATGTGTGTGTGTGTATGTGTGTGTGTGTATGTATGTGTGCGGCCGCATGTATGTGTATATATATATATATATGTATTTCTGTGTATAAAAATATGTTTATATATATATACATATACATATATATATATATACCTATGCAAATAAACAATTCAACAGCCAAGCGCGTGTAAGTGTAAGTGTGTGTTAGAGGCTGCTCCGAGGCGCGTCGGCAAGCTTGGTCACACGCGCGGCGAACTTCTCGTTCATGGCAGGTCTTTGGAAGTAGGCTGCGATGAGCGGGTAGTATTCCTTACTTGTCCAGCTTCCTTGAGGGAATAAGGCAGGGTTATCCTTTTGGGAGTACCCCAAAAAAGGCTTAAGGCTACTTTCTCTGCTACGAAGTCTCGCTGATGGAACCCACCAGTTCCATGACTGCCCTCTTGTAGGGGCCGTCTTCCTCAGGCTTTTGCAACCATCTCTGGCGCAGGAGCACCCAGATAGTCATGACCACAGGCATAGTAATCACAGCCCACAGCATGCCAGGATCACTAGAAAGCGCGAAGTAATTCAACATGATCAACCTCCCGAGCGTCTCAAGCATGGAAGAAACGTTGTCGAGGCTGTTCGAAACATCCAAGGCTTTTGCGGTCACGATCTTCTGGACTTCGTTTAGAGACACTGCCGCTCTAGAGTCGTCGCTGAAGTTCATGTATTTCCGCATCAAACTGGTCTGCAAGTAGTAGCCACAACGACCTGCAATGTCCATTCGTGTCTTGGCTTCTTTGTACAGGTGCAAGAGTAGCGGGAGTCCGATGTACAACAAGCCGAGCAACTTGGCGGTCGTCACGGCATCCCCCCGGATGAATAGCTGGTCTGCCGCATCCGCTCCACCAAAGATCACATTTACCATGTAGACGGAAGCCTTAAGCTGAAACCAAACATAGGCATTCTTGAGTTGGTCACAGAGCAAGGTCACCGCAAATCGTGTCGAATTCCCAGGTATTTTCAGCATCAGCCTGCAAAAGTCGACAAAGAGCGGTAGTGGATTGATGTCCTCGATCGCCTCCGGGCCTGCTTTCAAAGGCTCGGCATAGTCCTCGTTGGGGAAAGGATTTCCGTCCAGGACCTTGATGCGGCAAACTTTCAGGTACTTCCCCAACGCACACCCATTCGGATTGCTCAGTACCATCTTGAACTCAAGGGTTGCTGACCATGTTGGTGAATCAAGAATCTCGATGTCAATGCTCTGCTCGAATTGGCCATCAGCGAACACTACCTCACCCTCTATGTGGACAAAGCGTTTTCCTGCTTTGCCAGAGCCGGATTCGGTCTGGAAAAAGCAGCTGACGGTGCCAGCAAGCGACCCCAACCGCATTACCTTGACACTGAATCCTTCACCTTCCTCGGCAACAAAGATCGGGGCCGCAAACTGGACAATGTCCAGTGTGTCTTTCTCGGCGGACAGCGGCCCAAAATCATTGGATTCAAGGGGGCTGTACTGGAACCCGTCGTGAAAGCGGAGCTCTCGGCTTTGCTGTCGCTTGGCTGACTTGCCACCGCATACGCCCATTGCACCTACAACTTGCCGACATCTTTGAGCACAGTCTGGCCCGTTGAGATGAGCTAGGGTTAAAAACGCATGCGTGCAAGCAGCAATCGAAACACGAGTGCAGCTGCACCGCTTCAAACGGAACGGACATGTCTCCTGGCCTGGGACGGCAGCACGGGCTCCTGAAGGAACTAGTCACTGACTAGTCTTAAAGCTGCACGTGGGCCCTTGGTTGCACAAACCGTGTTCGCGGTGGCTTCAACATAGTCGTGTCGCGGCTCAAGTGCCAACACATGGGTCGCATCCAGGCTTGACGAGGAGGCAAAGAGAAAGAGAAGGGAGAACGACCAGAAGCACAAACCGACAGACATGCGGAGAGACACAATCACGGAAATGGACAGAGAGAGCGTGATTCTGCTCTGTTCCCCCAGTCCATACACAGGAATGCCCATCGCTGGGGATGTGAAGCTGGATGCTCCATTGGACTTGACTCAAAAAGCTTTTGGAGGGATTGACAGAGGGACTCACGTACCGTACGTGAGACGAGAATGCTCAAGTTCTCTCGCCTCGTACGTTCGTGCACTGCACCGCAAAGCGGTCTCCTTGCCAACGATGCGCATGCTGCGGAGATGTCCATCCCTTGGTCTGCGAGACTGAGGCCGGCGAGCATCTGCGGCTCACTTCCGTCTTTGCCACATTGTTAGATACCTCTCAGTACCCTGGCACTGGTCCCACGAGCCCATCTTTTGGATTTTTGGTGAAATCTGCGAACATAATCCAATAATCAATAGTGCAAGCAAGTGACGACTCAAGCACATCCCATGTGGTCTCTGTGCCGTTCTTGTAGCTTTTGACCTCTGTCAGCCCATCCAGCTGCAGCCAGGACAGTAAGTTCCGAAGCGCGTGAGCTGCAGTGTGGAACGGAGTTTCTCAAAGGCTTGCCTACAGAACACATCTTCGGTGGGCGATTCCAACCATCTTTCTGTGTGCAATTGTCGCACTCGGTTGAACATGTAACTCCAGCATTCACGAAATTTGGGTAGTTTCAGGCATCTACAGCCTGCACAGCTGTATTTTGCACGCTGGCCTGTCGATCTTTCGGTTCGGTGCTACCTTGCTTTGTCGGACTGTTATGCTCTATGCTACAACCGCACAGGGTGTTTTCAGCATTGCCAACAAGCAACCCGAAAAGGGGGGACATAGAAACGGCCAAGGTTCAAGCATGAATTCTGCGCAGTTGAGTGTTTGGAATCCTTCTAGGCCCGTGTGTTTCCATTCCAACTTGCGCAATTGCCTGCTTTTCGGATCGGCGTATCGTCCTGGTGCCATGCCAATTCAGCCAAGCACTTCAAGACGAGCAGCTGTCCACTTGCAACGGTCTTTGAAGCGAGGCTTTGCGGGCACACTGCCTCGGCAGCTGCTTTTCACTCACACACACACAAGCGCGGAGGGCGGGGGGGGGGGCATGCGCACTTGCACTTTGCCGCAGACTATCGCAGACTGTATACTGGATACCGATGCCCATGCCGCCGCCGAAATACCCCTGAATCCCGAAGCTGACGTGGAAGTGGGAAATCCTGCAGAGCAGTCCCAGCTGGCCTGCGCTCGGAGCCTGCGCTGGCCACTGCAATTCGTCTTGGGCGTTGTAGGAACATACGCACTGACGCGCTGCAGGCATCGCTTCGAGACGAACATTTCCAACATTTCCGACTGGAGACCCAAAAAACGGGGCAAACAATTTTCAACACGGCCAAAGAATGTCCTGTCTGAAAGAAAGCAGAAAGCAGAGTCCTGCCTCCAAGGCCTCCTCCTCGCCCTCCTGTTGCAAGGCGACGAAGCAGTAAAGGAACAGAGAACAGGTCCAAGACGGACACTCGCACTTTGCACCTTGAAATCCTGGAGGGCACTGAAGGGGTTGCTCCGATCATGAACCTGAAACCCGCAAGACGCTTTACAGATGCATCTGTCGGTCTGTATGTCGTTGCTTGCTCGGAGTCTGCCAGAGGCCGCAGCCCTCAAGTCGTCACTGCTGACAGAGGAAGGCCTGGCACCGGCTCGAGGTGATGCCCGAAAGCACTCGCTTTCTGCATGCAGGCGCTTTGAGACATCCGTCGTGATGATGCCGGTCCACTGGGCGAGGCCAAACAAGCAGGTGGTCAGAGGCGTGAGATTTTTCCAGGTGACGAATGCGATTAAAAGCAGCTCTGCACCGGCTGCTCGAGCAAGCGTTGAAAGTGGAGAAGCCTTCAGGTAGCCAGACGAAGGCTTGAAACCCAGTTGACTGGGGATGGAAAAGTCTGACAGGAAGACAGCCTGAGGGAGCTGAGATCTTGAAAACGCAAGCTTCGAACCATGCTTGCTGTATTGCACGTTCTCCTCAACCAGGCGAATCTGTGCACAGCATGAAAAGCCTTTCACAAACCTTTCTTACTCCACTCTTATGCATGAACACTGTAAGCATTGGCAATCTTCAAAACAGAAGCAGCAGCCTTTGGTTCAAGCTGACGCGCTTCTCGCCGCCAGCTCGGGCATTGAGGCACAAACGGCCACTGAAATAATGCCAGCTAGAATCATTCGCAAGGATTGCTCCAGCGGTGTGGACATCTTGTGGCACAAAATGACACAGGACGTTCTAGCCGGACAACTGTTTGACGCTTCTGCAGCAACGTCATCATGGCAGCCCGCCCCAATGCAGCGTTCGCGTTCTTTGGTCAACATATGCTTACGGTGCGAAGAATTTTAACAGTTTCGGGACGGGGCGAAGCAAGGAGGGGCCAGGAAGACCTATTTCGGTGAATACGAACCCGCATTCCAATTCGTGATCGCCGACTTGCCAAACACCTTTGCTTCGATCTTCATCTACCCCGCTCTCGACCATCCTAATTACAGCCGGCTGCAACTGCTAGAGTAGGCCTGAACGAAGCGTCAATCAGCAACATCCTTGTCAGCACGAGTGTGTGTAAACTGCACAGGTGAGACTATGATGCACAGCCCTGTCAGTCATCAATCGGCCCACGTCGTTCGCAGTGATGGTCCTTGCTGCGTAATTCTTTCAAGCAAAGCACACTCCTAGATACCTCTGCTAGTCGCCAGGTCTGAGGGACGATGTTGCCACAACCCTGGCAGCTGCATGTAGCCCCCTGCTCTCGATGCACAAAGAGTAGACTTCCAGAACTCGAGCATGCACACCAAGGAGCTTGACAGCTAGTTCTGCTTCGCATCTTTTGCCTCCGACCGAATCAGTGCATGTGACAAGCGAACTTCAGATTCCGATCGGGTGTGATCCTTAAGGATAGAAGAACGATTGATTGATGTGGCAAGTTACCAACCACATTCTGACAACAGATGCTTGCTCCAGCCAAGCGACTTCCACCTTGCCCACCGCCTGGCACTGAGCCGCAAACTTCAAGGGGCTTCACTGAAGCTGCAAGACAGGCTTGGGTGCTTCAAACTGTTGCGACGCTTCAGTGGCTTTGAGTGTGACTTAATTGTTTGTCGCTGTGTATATATACATATAATTTATGTACATTTATATTTTTTACTATATACCTACATGACACACTGGTTGAACCGAAAGCTTTCCTCCGTCAACTGCTTCAGTTGAGCACAGAGCCCTGCACATGGCCTTGACAGATTTCACCATTCCGCGAGTGAGGGGCACAAACCTCGGCAAGCTGAGTCAGCTGTGCTGCCATTTTCTTGCTACCGCGCTCCTGTGACCTCGGATGCACGTTCCATGCGTCTATGTGGCCTTGGTACCAAGGTTCCGGCCAAGCAATCGACAGCAGCAGCAATACCAGGTTTACACCCGGGTAAAGATACCCTGGGATCAGCCCGTGAATGCGGAACAGGCGGGCAAAAGCAAATCGGCTGGTCATCACAACACGCACGGGACACGAGCACAAAGAAATTATGCTCCCTTGCATGGAGAAGAAGTCAGATCTCGAGTGCAGCACCATTGCCAAGCGTTTTCTCACCTATTGAAGGGTCCAAACCCTTCTTCTGATGGCGGCCGCGATGCTTTCTAAATCTGTAATGACGGCCAAGCTCTTGGACGGAGCTTCTTCCATATCCTTGTAGAACATGTACAACCTTAGCAGCGAGTCGCGGAAAGCTTGTCACTGTGCCTCTGCGGTGCAGTCCATTGACCCCCCACGGCCCGAGGATACGGACGGACGCTTGGCCCAGCCCGTCGTTTGCCAATGATCCGCAAGCCGAGTCTCTGCTCCCATCTGACGCCCAAGCCACATGTACTGAGCTGCGAACCACGTCGGGAAAAGGGCGAGCCTGCGGTTGGTCAGTGGGAAGGCTCATTTCTGAATTCTGAAGTGGTCCCTAGCTGTCGACCATGCACAGCAATGTAGCCAAAACTGGCGTTCACTCTAGGTCTATGTAATATGTAGGGCTTAACCAAGTCAAGACTTGTGTGATCTTGAGTGGAACTTAAGGTCGCGTCAGTGCTTAATTTCTGCTTTTTCGCTCATCGCTCAATTGCCTGAGCTGTCTATCAGAGGATGCGCCTGAAGGCAATGAAGCCCAGCCAAAGGATAATCCCGTTGGCAGCAACAACCCATCGTGGAAAGAATTCCTGCGTGCGAATCACTTGGGATGTTGGTTTACGCCTGTATGCAGCAAACTTGAAGTAGTTCGACTCCGGTCGTTACATCGTCGTTGCGACCATAAGGCCAAAGTCCAAAGCATGGGTTTGAAAGCCCTGCGAGCGTTTTCTCCGCTCAAGTCCTTGAGCCTCCGCCCATCTATTTCCACATCGTTGAGGAGGTACAGATTGTTCCTTGCAGCGTGCAACCACATGAGACAGCAAGTGCCCTTCACCCACCGCTAGCTCAATTTGTCATTATCACACGGCATATTTTACAGACAAGTCACAGGAAGATGGTCGTGAGCTCACAGCATCCATCCAAACAGCCCCAGAAATGACCTTCAACGGGCTGGGATGACACCACAACGACCGATGGCAGCTTGCAAAGGCGATGGCAAACCTGTGGCTTACACTGCTTACACTGAGCAAAGGACAACGCCCGCATCCAAGGCCGATGACATAGGCACCCATGCCTGGAGCAGCAAGCGACTTCACGCATTCGATGCTTCTCAGCAAAGCTTCGGAAGTGTCGATGTGGGGCCGTAAGTTTGTCCGCGCTACCGTTGCGGACTGCATCTGACGACGCAACACAGGCACACTGATTGCGTGGATGCCTGGCAGTCTAGTCAAGTCTTCGGCAAGAGCCTTTGGCAAGCGACCAAAAGTCGCCAGCACAACGCGTGATTGGATGCAAAGCTATATCCTGATGCTTCCAGCCACAAGGTCAGACAATGGAAAAGATGTCAGGCAGCATCCATTCAAGCGCAGCTCGCCGACATCTTGCTCAGAGTGTGCACTGTTTGCAGCCTGCCTGCTGCAATGCAACTCTGCCTAAGAGACTCTAAAGCAAACGCCTGTGCAAATGCACCATCAAGACTAGGGGGTAAAGCAGTCTGGGAAACGACTAGAATTCGCGAAACAGGGTACGCGGCTGCAGCAGCAGGATTTCCCAGGCTGCGGGCGTAGGCCCATCTAAGGTCCCCGAGTCCGCCTACATTACACTTCCCAGCTCAGATGACCGTCTCAATGCCCCCGCAAGTGGTGTCATAGTCTGGGCAACAATCTTTGTGCTCCTCCCCACATGAGAACGTGCCGCACATCGTTAGGTCGGATGAAGTTCAACGACTGTGAGGCTCATGGCCCGAACTATCGCAAGGACAGGGCGGGATAGGGATTGCTCCTTGCAGTAAGAGTTGCACTGGCAGCTCTGCTTGGGGTTAAACCTGTTCAATGCAAATCCAGCGCAAAATCGACGAAACGGGTTTTGGCATGGAGCTCGCACTCACTCCTTCTCTGATAGCTTCCCGCCTGCCGCAGCCAAACTCCTTGCATGAGCCTCTGGATGGCCCAGCACAAGACTTCGAGTAATCAGAGCAGCAATCTGCGTGCTCCTGGTCTGCAGGTCAGTTTGTCGCGGGAAGGTTGCGAAGGCTCTAGCATGCATGCAGCGGTGACTCCTTGCAGAAGGAGTTGCACTGGCAACTGTGGCTGGGATCATACCTCGTCAGGCGGCCCACGGGCAAGTTAAGTGCGTTTAAGGCCCTCCGTCTCCCGAAGCCTTCCGCAGCCATACTTCGAACAGGAGCCTGCACCAGTGCCCAATCTGGGCATGGTTGCCTGCTCATAGTTCCTACTTGTATGGGTTCTTGGGCCTTGCGACGGTGGTGAAGGTGGCGATGGTGGCGATGGCGACGGCCTTCCGATGGTGAGAAAGCGCACCAAAACAGGCGAGAATTGCAACTAAACCGCGCCACGATGGCTCGCTATGGAGCCTCACCTCGCTTGACCTATCGTATCCTGAAGCCCTGCAACGCCGGCCCGGATCCACGCGTCACATTGAAGGAGTGCAGGATGCCGCCGGTGTAAGAAACATAGTCGGTCTTCAACTCCTTCGACGCCGCTTTGATGGCACTTCAAAACTATCCTGAACTGCCCATGCAAACATACGTTGCATCTGCGACTGCTCGTGGTACCTTGAAGTCGGGCGAGAAGGTGTGCAACGTGAAGCCTGCGACCTTCTCCTCCCACACAAGTTGAACCTTTTCGCGGCAAAATCACAAATGTCCGGGTCTCGCTAGGCTGCTACAAGCAACCCCACACTGCTTGCTAGGCTGCCCGGCACCTGCTTCAAACTTGGGCCCCAGGTCCCGGCCTTTTTCGAGCCCTTGCCGACCAGGTGGGACTCCTCGTCCTCTTGATCCTTCCAACAGTCACATGCCCGAACCTCTAAGAGGTGCAAAGTGAGCACGGGTTTGCCTGTCTTTGAAGTCTTTGAAGCTCTGGGAAACCCCCATGAAAAACCGCTAAAAGTGCGATCCCCTGCTGCAGCCTAGCTCCGATCGGAGAGGCATTATGTGCTTCAGGGAGATCCGAGAGGTTTCAGTACTCGACTGCTCCAGTCAGTTATCAGAATCTGCCGTCCTTCGTACGAACCATCGCACCAGCACCGCTTGTGACGTAAGCGCCGCCTCCGTTGATGGTGTAGTGGTTCCTCAGATATGTTGACACCCGCACCCCTCCCCTAGATAGGCTCAGCCATTGACGACCAGCACTGAAAATGCTTGCTTCTAGAGGGCCGAGCGACAGTAGGTGCGTGTGACCGTTCAGATAAAGGTCGAAGCCATGCTGCACCCTGCGACAGCTACAGCATTCCACTCAGCTTGCTGAGATTATGTGTTGCAATGCTTTTGCCGTGAGAGTGACAGACACAATTGCTGCTTCAACCATGGCTCATCGGCGACACGAAATCCTCTACATCCATCTCATCAGCCGGGTGGTGTCCAACCACAATAAGCCAGTCACTCGCTGGCACCTGACACATGCAAAATGCGGCGCTGCACTGCGCTGTCTTTCGCCATTGCTGGCCTTTGCCAGCTCGGCCTTGAACCACTCGAACTGAGTGGTGCAATTTTGCGACCTTGGTTCAGAGTTTAGGGTCGAGTCGAGAGTGTATCAACGAGCACTCCCCATGAAACCACGAATCAAGCAGGGCTGCAGGATGTTCTCGTGGAATCTGCAAGGCCCCTCCACGATGGGCTCGCAGGTCGGGAAGTCGCTGCCGCATGGATCCCAGTGGGACCTCAGCTCCGGAACAAGGCTATTTCCACGAATGCCATGCATGAGCAGCCGCCGATGTGTACCCGCTAACTCTGGCTCTCTCTCTTTCGCCGCTAACTCTCCATTCTGCTTAGTCTCAGCTCTTGCCGCGACAACAAAAAGCCACTTTCAAGGGAGATGCTGGTCGTCAGCCCGGTAGGCTGCCACGCAGGGGGACGTGTCAAGGAAGATGAAGGAGATGAAGTGGCCACTGCCCACTGCAACGCGCTTGGAGAAGTACCGGCTGTCCATGACCCAATTGCTGAGCACACCTAATTCTGGACATCGAACTGGGTCTAAAGTGGTCGGACACAGACAGTGCAAGTGTGCGCCATAAGCAGGCGAGATGCTGGACAACTGACACTGGGCCTCCACGTCATAGCCTCGCTAGCATGTGCGGCCACGATGGGCGCGCGCGCGCAACGGGCGGCCACTTCTCTAGCCTCTGCGCATCTTTAGGATCCGGGCCGTACTCATGGTTGCCCAACACTGAGTACCAGGGAACCTTTCAGAAGCTTTGTGAGTCTGTGACTGACGACACGGCGCCAGGCGCAGGACATGACAGGAAGAAGCGGTGGCTTCTCGAACTGTTCTGTGCAGAAACCACTCTGCCACTCTGAACTGTAAATGCTAAGCAAGCCCTGCCTTCAAAGACTTGTTGCTGTACACATTCGTGAAATCTTCAGCAACTTGATGATCAGCCGTGCCAGTGATGCCACAGTAGTAGAAGTTGTCGCCAGTGTTAACCTCATGGGCTGAGCGGCTCTGGCTTGGTCGCTGGGTTCATGGCCATAAGAGTTACCAGTTTCGACAGTTCTTCACAAAAGCCCTCCCTCTTCCTCTCAGCCATGGCCTAGAGAGCTGAGGGGTGGACTACGAAGGATGCGCCAGTCTGCGTCGCCGTTTTTGCCATCTGCTGTGCCACTGCCGTCACCGTGGTCTGATGGAAGCTCCCGAGAGCATATCCACCCCAGTCTCGGCTTTTGGCACGGGGGAGCAGGCGCTTGGGTTTTCGGGCACGTATTCTTGGCAGTGCTCACGGGAAGGAGCAGGATGGCATGGACAGGTTCCAGTCGGGGTGCTTCCAAGATGTGCATCGCAAAGGATGGCTCGATAGGTGGGCAAAAGTTTTATCAGAGCCTCTCTGAGACGCGAGACCCGGTCGAGAAAAGTCTCGATTCTTCCTTTCAGACAGCTGGCCTCCCAAAGTCAGGAAGGAGACCGAGCCCTCTGCCACTGCGCTAAAAAGCCTGAGCTGGTGTGGGGACTTCGGAGTACAGAATAGGACAACCGCGAGGAACATGGGAAGGGGAAACTTGGTCCGAGATTCACTCCAACTCAACACTGCACTTTGCACGCGGCCTACCTCACTCGCTTATAACCGTAAAAGCCTTGGGGCTGAAGCCTGAGAAAAGCTGAGCCCTACAGGGACGGGGTCTCTTGTCTTTGTCTCCAAAAAAAACACGATACACGCACTCGGATCAACGCTGGGCAAGTAACGAGAAAAAGGCCCACAGTCTTTTCATGGTCAGCGCGAGGCGAGTGGGACTGCGAGTGGTCCGAGATGGCTGCGTGTTCCACAAATGCAACATGTCGGCATGCGAAGCGCACCATGGCTTAGTAGCTTCCTGGGCATACAGAAGCCTAACCACCTCCGCGGTGCAGCCTCTCGGAACATGCAAGAGTCGCTCGCTCATGCTGTCAGGTTGCTGAAAATGTGATGCAGGGTCATCATGATGAGGAGCTGACCTGGGACGTCACGCGTGTCTGCCGAATCTGCCTCCCCTTCCGCACGTACCAGCAGTTTGACGCCAAACAAACTGTTACAAAATGAGCCGCTGGCGACTAATCTGCTCGAACGGCTGCATGAATATGTGAACGAGCCTGAAGTACTGGCGGAAGGCTGTGGTGCAAGAACAATATTCCCTGGCTTTGACACTTATTTCGTACAAGCCATTGCCACAGTAGATGCTGCCAAGTATGGCGTCGCGAGTCGCAAAAAGAGCTCTGAGGCAAGCACGACCTTGAGACGTAGAGTACTAAGTAGAGCTCGGACCAGTGGTTGACGCCCTACCAAGGCAGACTTCACAGTTTTAAGGCTAGCCGGAAGCAAGGAGCACTCAGCAAACACCGAGGTGGAGTAGATAGAAGCCTGCCATCTGGAGTCCGGGTCGTGGTATAATGTCAAAGTTCCTGCCTCGGCGCTGAACAAAGTAGGTGGAATGCCAACATGCACGGTTCAGAACTGGGTTAAAGATCGTTTGTGCCAGCGATCTCACTCGCGAATTGACAACTGCCCGAATGCCGGCACCATTGGCTCTCGATACACATGTCCAAACACTCCGTCGTTTCCTCGCGAAGCGGTGCGTCTGTGACCAGAGACCGCTGAGGCGCGAACCATAGCACAAAAGGCAAGGAAGGTGAAGAATGGTATTGAATAAAGAGTGTCCGCCAAACCGACGGGGTCCTCTCAAGTTTGCGCACCCTTCTTTCCGATCTCAGTGTCTCTTAGCCCGACCTGCCTTGGTTTTCGGGAAGCAGCCTTTGGCAACCGCAAGGCACAGCACAAAGACCACCACCTGCATTGTCAGGAAGTTGGGATGTCTTTTCGACTGTGCTCGAGGTGCTTCCAGCTTCTCGCATCCATCCAGACATTCTCTCGACTGAAAACATGCATCGACAGCCTTGAAGCTTTCATGTATCTAGCATCTAGTATCCAAGTCTTGTTCAACAGCCGCCTGCGCTCCGATACCTTGCGGCCGATGACATGATGACATGACAGCTTCTGAGTAACAAACTTCCGTGTCAATGAATCTTCAGCACCTGTGATGAATCTAGACTGACAAGCTCCCTTCGTGTCAAGAAGCTAATACCGATCCGGAATCCGAACTCCTCGACGGTCTTTGCAACCATTTCCGGAAACGACGCCATGATGGCCAGAATGGGGTTATGCTGCTGATATCTAAATCTGTCTTCGTTGCAGTGACAAGTCAATCAAGCTGGTAAGTAGCTGCAGGGGGTGGGGCACAGTTCAGACCTCCCACTCTCGGTCACGGCTAGACTCCTGATGCTGCAAAGCATCTCCTCGTTGCTCAAAGCTGCAAAACCCGGCGGCCGGCGGGTTGTTTTTCAGCAAGAACCGGGTACATCAAAACTTCCACTTTGCAGTCAAGCTTTGGAACTCCGTGCCAAAGGACTCTATGGCAGTCATGGCTCCAGCATCCAACTGCATGCCCGCAAACAATCACAAGGACGCGCACTGCGACGCAGCATCGTCTGCATCCGCCATCAGCACCTTCGACACACTGGTTCATGCTGGTTAAGCTGTCTGTCTCGGCACGCCTTCAAATTAACTCTTTTCCGCACTGGCCTCAAGATTGCTGAACAACCCAACACAGAACAGCCAGGGGGCTTTGCGTGTGCCGCAACAACCACTCCGACATATCCACCTCTCAAGGCCGAACCCCCGAACAATCCCCCCAAACCCTCCTTTCACAACATATCCCGGGGCCTCCTGCTCAGAGGCGCGACCAGCCTTCGCCGCGCGGCGAGCTGACCGCGAGAGCTGCTCCTCCTTCGGCTTTGGCGGATTGAGTCTGGGGCATGTTCTGTCCCCCCCCCCTCCGTCGCACATAGATGCTAGCACGAACGGCCTCCAAATATGCCAACACACACCTACGCGGAAAACATTGATACAAGATTGCAGGGAAGGCAAGCAAACCCGGCCGCAGCCAAGTGCTGCCACAGGCGAACAAACCGATAAATTGACACTCCCCGGAATGCCGCGCCTCCTCCTGAACCAACTCCTGCGCATGAGTCTCCGCGAGGATCGAAAGTGCCCGTTGCAAAACTTGATGGGGATTCCTGCCGGCAAATCACTCTTTGCTCATACTTGCAGATACAGCGGTGTCGGCCGCGAAAAGCTCCCCCCTCGCCTCGAGGTGGGCTCCGGCCTGTCCTGCGTGGCCTGGGGATGCTGGGGATTAGTACGTTCGGGGGTGCCTGGGGACAAAAAGGCTCCTTGCAATCGAGGGCCATGATTTTGGATTCTCTCACACGATGAGTGGTTTTCTGCGACCCGCGCATGGATTCCCTTCACCTCCCATCAAAACCTTCTGGTCCCACCTCTCGCCTTGACCGAGGATAGGGTACGATCATGGTAACGACGTCCGTGGCAGCGGAAGCAGCAGCAGCAGCAACAGCTGCCATTATCATTTAAATGAAAGTCAATGAGGACAACAGAAAGCAATGACACTAGGAATCATCAAAGATCATGGAGTAATGGAGGCGGTGGTGATGATTCAGATCAACAATGACAGTTATGATTAAGTGATTTGGGTCATCTGAAAAACGTTTTATATATACGCAAGTTATTTAATATATAGTAAGTTCACGTTATAGTTATGATAATCGTGTTGGCGGTTGTGTAGCAATGGTGATACAGGCACTCAAGGCAATTTGCTGCTCGCTTTGCAAATAATCATGCAACCAAGTGATCCAAAAGTCCTGTTCGTGTCACGGCATTTTGACATGCTGCGTAGCCACAGGTTTGCACATCGCGGACTGCCTTTGACATGTCTAAAGGCAAGTGCAAAGCATGCCTGCAAAGGCTGCAGAGATGCAGCCTTCCGAGACATGCCGTGTTCAAAGCTCTGCTACTATAAAAAGCTGGCACAATCACTTCTTAAGGATCACGAGGTCGACTTGGTGAACCTCGCCTTGGTCGATACAAAGCGTAATAAAAGGAACAGGGCCTGAGCCAAAGGCCGTGCGGCCCCGTGCTGTCGAGTTCGTGGCAAAGGGGCTAGCGATGTCAAAGGTCAGGATCTTCAAATACCCGTGAGCATGCTGCACTAAACGCATCATAAATGCGAACCCGAGTCGCGAAGATGCTCCAGAAGTGCTCCGTTGCCAGTGAAGTACTTGTCGCCTAATCCAGGCAAGCTGACTTCGAGCTCAACGCACCGCCGACATAAGGCTGGCCAGCTACACGTGACACAGCGCCGCTCGAACTTTTGCCGATCTGTAGAGTCTGCCGCCGGAAGCCATTTGTGTGATCTCGGGTGCGACGCATCGACGTTGTGCCTGTGCGTGGCATCAGCTGCTGAGAGCTGCTCTCCTAGCTGGGCCTGCTCCTGCATCCTGGGGGTCCGTGGGCATACTGCATGACGAAAGCGAAACCCCCAGTCGGAAACGGCATGGAAGGCACAATTGCGAAATCTAAAGCAAGGAGGCCAGTCTCAGGTCCATTTCCTCTCAGCTTCCGCCTCCCGCGCAAGTGCCCATCAAGGTCTTCCAGCCCTCCTCGACTGGTCCAACCGCAGCCACATTTGTATGGCATGAGGGTCCTAGCCTGAAGATTTCACAGAACAAAAGCTCCGACAGAGATAGAAGAATTACGTCCGGAAGGTTGGCGGGTGCTTAGCATTTTTTCTATGTTAAGGATACCCTAGCCCGCTTCTAAGCGCTGGTCTTGAGCCCAGCGGATTCGGCAAACACCTCCTCTCGTCTGGCAAAAACGGAGCCAAGGGGAGCCGTTCCCGAGGTCACCACCTGGCGCAGACCGGCTTTGCGAGCGGCCTGCAAAGGGTCTTAGAAAGCTGAGCTCGGGAAAAGAAAGCCGTCGCTGGCGCCTCCCAGCAGGTACTGCAGAATGCGTCGATCCGCTCCTCCTGAACTGGAGGCATTCCGACCCTACAGACCTACACCGACCAGGGCCCCAGGGCCCCAGGACCACCAGCAGCCTCCCAGCCGGAGCCTTCCAGGATGGGCCAAAGGGCCTCCGCCGACGGCCGGATCCCCACTTACACGGCTGGGATGTAAAAGTTCTTTTCTATGCCCTCATTGCACCCCTGCTCTCGCCTCGGCCAAGCTGGTCTTCTCGAGCTTTTCTTGAGAGAAGAGCACCTGTGCATGCTCTTCGGGCCATCCACTTGGCTCTGGGATGCTCAGGACAGGGGCCTTTGTGATTGATTCCAGGTGGGAGGACACCTCGATCAGCAGCGGCGCGCCGCCGGTCTGCAGGACAAAACGTGAACTCGTGAGGACGGTCTTGTCTTGAGAAGATCATCGAAGTCCACTCTAATGCGGCTAAGCCCAAACGGCTGAGCCTCCGCATGTATTTCAGAGAGCCCTCTATTGCTCGCCTTGACGTCCATAGCTACGGCTCCCCGGAAGGCTGCCACCTCACCGAGATGCCGCAACAGACGCATGCCCACGGAAAGTGCTTGACATTAGCACTCGACAGGCACTTCTGAGATTTCAGCTGCCACTGCTGGTGCCTGAACCGCATCTCTTGATTTATGTTCTTGGCAAGACATGCTAGCAAGTTTAGCATGGCTTTTTCCCGAACTTAGCCAGGAACCAGCGGACCGCAAATGTGCCTCGGCAAGGTTTACTGAAAAGAAGTTGCACGTCTCGAGCTACCGAAGGATGGACTTGGAGCTGCGGTGTCAGACTTTCTGTCAAGAGTAGAGCCTTGGACATCTGTGAATGCCTAGGCATAGGCTTCAAGCCCCTTCAAGGCAGCATCAGGGCTCTTTGACAGAAGGCTGCTGGAAGTGCTAACCCATCGAAGGATCGTCCATGGTTTTCTTCTGGTCCAGCTTGCACCCTAGACTTGCGAAACAGGGTTCACCTGCAGAATACATGTGCATCCAACATCCTATCATGCACCTGATTCGGGCAGCCCAGGAGGTTGGAGTTCGAAAGGGAAAGTCGCAGTCACCTCTGAGACCTGCGGCTCAGATTCACCATCCGCTGCGGTCGACAACGCCGACCTCGGCAAGCACATCTTTCACTTGAGACTTTTAAGAACTCTAACTATAGCTTCGACGGAAATTCCTACAAAAACACTCATTGCACTGCACGATCGACTGCCAAACTCCAAGGCACAGGCTCTTTGTTCGGCGGTCCTTTCGGTCCTAGCAAGACGACCCTTTCAGCAAGCATATCTCTAGCTTACCGAAAACAAGCTTGTTCTCGTGGGGGAAACTGCCCCCTGTCGAACTTGGGTGGCGAGCCTCGGCGTCTCCGATTGCCAGGCATCCACCTGCCTACGCAAATTGATGGTAACAGGCTGAGGCTCATCAACAGTGCCAGATCTGTCCTGCCTGCTTTGTCGTTCGCTATGATCTCCGAAGTCGCAACCAACGTGCATGGTGCGTGGCCCTGACTTTGAGGAGCCCCTCCATTTTTGCTGCAAGCACCACGATCGGCACGGATACACCGCCTGCTGGCTTAATTCACGGCTGGCTGCCTCATGATGGTTGCTTGTGACATAGATCGGTACAAGTTGCGCAAGTGGAACGATCTTGTAGTGATTGGTAAATGTCCTTGCTCGGCCATAACAGCAAGTCAAGTCCAGCAGCTCGCGACACTGTGCGAATCCTGCCGTATCAAACGTAACAAACTGCACTCTTTGGGACACGGGGTGCGCGTCCAGTGCAACTAACAGTTTTTTCCGAGTATGCACATCGCTCTGGTTGGATCTCTGGAACCAATAGAAAACCTGGGCCGGCAAGGAGACGTGAGCGGTTCCGAAGGTGTCTTGTACCACCGACGAATCAGGCCAGCTGACTGTCGGAGGATGACAGTTTTACTATGACCACATCAGCAGTCGTCTTCTAATCGAACCCACGACCGCTTGCACCTGAGACCGCCACATGGTCAGGGGCCAGGTACAACTCGGAGCCTGCTCGCTCGTGGAAGATTGTTTCCAGGATTCCAGGATGCTCCTGGCGCTTCCAGCTCAGAAACAAAATGACACCTCTCCCTCTTCTATTTTGACACTGGACTACCTCTCCTAGGAGAATACCCCCCAACATCCCCCGCACTTGAACTCATGATTCATCATGCCCATGGCAGGCCCAGCACTTTCACTGCCCAGTCCCAGGAGAAGTCGTGGCCCGCGAGGAGGCCGCCGTCTCCAAGAACAGGGACCCAGGCAGCCAAGTCCCGTCCTGCTCCAAGCATTCTCCACCGAGAAAATGTGCCTACACTATCCGTTCAAAACCGAATGTTTGCAGTTCGAAGGGATGTTTAAGACACCAAACAAGCAAGGACAGCTGCGAAAGAACGACCGAGGACTTCACGAATTCCAGATGCACTGTGATCTCCGTCCAGGAACCTGGCGAATGATGGCTTAAGGCTGGATGAAGGCCTCCGCTTCTGAACGTGTACCACAGGTCGCTCATGTCCGCTGGATTGCTGCACTCGTCAGCAAACGTCAACAGCTTAATCCAGAAGCATCCTACTCAAATCACTCTTTTTTCGGTCTCAAACACACTCAGTGCCTGCAGTTGTTCTGGGCACCCGGCACAACATCAGCTACCAGGCCCGCTTCCCGGAACTGCGTGGGACAAAGCAAGGCAACATCAGCATGCGCTCAAAGTGAGCCGAAGCAAAAGGCTTGCATCGGCATGATTTTGCCGCCTTCTGTGGCAGTTCTGCGCACCAACCCGTCCAGCCTTCGCGGCCGCCTCAACACTGTCCATCGGAAGCAGGTGGGCCTTGCTTGAAGAAAGTCTGAAGCTAACATCTATGGCATGCAATACAGCAACTGCACACCCACCCGGTCTTGTACTGGACGCAAAGCACTCAGCAGCCTCTCCTGCATCGCGGACATGTGGACTGATCCGGTCTGATGCGAACACGGCACATCCAAAAAGCTCGCTTCCTCAGACTGTTCCGGAAGTGAATGTATTTTCCGCCCTCGCTGGAATTTGCATTGGCACAGTGACGACGTGCATGAGTTTCATGCACTATGGTACCAAACAACAGGTGAAAGCTGCTGCCAAGGGAAGCAGAACGCATGGAGCCGGAACGCTGGAACTAGACTGGAGCTATGGGCCAAACCCATACGCGCCGCTTCAACTTTGGCCAACAGCATGACCAAGGTGCTGACTTCAGATGAAAACGAGACATGCCAAGATGAATCAAGCAGGCTCTGCTCTACCCTCGGAACGCTCCATGAACATGTTACCATCTGGGAGTTTCCGAAAATTAGGGTGCCTTATTTTAGGGTCCGTATAATAAGGATCCTATTATTTAGGGTACTGAATTAGGGTCCCACATTTTCGGAAACTCCCATCTGTCATCTTGGCAGTCTTGAAAAGCATCCTTGATCAACGTTTTTCAGTGTCATCCCACATGGATGAAACTAGCTGTCCAGCTGCCCTTTCAAGCCGTCGATGCCTCAGCTCATCGAACAAACATCATCGAGTGGGCTTCTTACCTTGAATCTCCCGGGTTCAAATTTGAAGCAGAAATCGTCACAGTTAGGTCCGGTCAACTGGCAAAGCTCACGTAAAACCTTTGGGAAGCAGATACAGGTTCCCGGAGCAACCACAAACTGCAGGGACACGGTGCTCAGTCCGAACCCGACTTCTTCTTCGTCAGGTTCACCTTGGCCCAGGCCATGTCGACTTTAGTCACTCTAGTCGTGCCATCCCATGTAACTCTGCTGGAGGCATGGTTCACCAGATTGCGGCCTGGTTGCGGTTTCGCGTTTCAGCACCTGGAGAAAGCAATGCTAACGAGTTTGGTCTAAGTTCGACTTGACAACTGATTTTTGCCTGCGAATTCTGCTTTAATGCGGGTTTCGGGCATTGACGGGCATGTCCGCTCCTCATGCATGATATGCACAGAGGGTTTTTGGCTAGGGCCACAGCGTGCAGCAGCGTCTGCGAGGACTCGAGGATCTTCATGTATGCTGCTTCCGTCTCCTACATGCTATTTTCATCATCTCTCTGAGCAGTGTGTCAATCGAAAAGAACGTTACAAACCGAACCGCCGCTGGTCAAGCTCAACACTGGGGCGTGCAAATGCACAAGCACAAACGATGATGGCTTGTGCCCACCGTTCCTGCGCTTCATAAGTAACATGTTCATGGGCCAGGGCCTGTCCTGGATGGTCTTGTCATACTCATTTCTGGCCTGGGTCTTCCGTACCAAGCTCTCATTGATCTTCTGCAAGCGATCCGTGAGGATGGAGAGCTCCTGCACCGGAATCCGAATCATCAGCTTTGAACCCTGGTGTCCTGAGTGACAAATATCGCATGGCGACGGGTAGCCGGCTCGCTTTGCAGTGGTAGGCTCTTGCTGTCTCAAGCCTAGCGCCCTCAACGCACCCAGCAGCTCGCCCAGTAACTCGCCACTAGTCACTGTTAACTTACCAGAAAAGCGCAACCAGTGTCCTTTTGGATCTTGGCCTTGTCCTGTACGGTCGACACCAACTTCATCGGGCGAAGCACCACAGCAGAGTCTGCAACCCTGGAAAGGCCTCCTCCTCCTTCAGGATTTGGCGGTTGAGCTCCTCGCGCTTCTCTCGCAAGTCCTGGACGGGAGCTCTACCGGCCACCTAGGTCGGGGCCCGGCCACCCATCGTTCCAACATCACCCCTGCCATGACTCGTGTGACAGCGCCAAAAAATCCTCGTATGGCCTTGGTTCCACAATGTGCCACATACTCGGCTACGACCAAAGGCACTTCTCCTCGATGGACTTTACCAGCTCGTTGTTGTAGTTCTGAAGAGTTGCACCTGGATCGAACTTTGTTTTCAACGGCTGACCGGACCGATTCCACCAGCTAGTCCTGTTGCAGCCAGGGCACCTTGAGAAGCCATGATGGTGAGAGCGATGAAAAGCAAAACACGACGCCGAATTGACGGTTAGCTGCACAGCTCGAGCCGCTGCAGTCCGACAGCATTGAACAAGGAAGCGAAGCAGCGCGGCAAAGGAATCCCACCATCTAGTAGAGTGTTGGGTTCGAGACCCCGCAACATGCAAGAAATTCGCATGGAGCTCGCGTTTGGCAGAGTCTGGGTGACTTTGCAGAAGATGCCCTTTGCTTCGATTTGGTCTCTCCTTCGGCTGGTTCTCCACGAGGTAGGCATGCAGCCACGGAAGACCTCACGCCGAATCTTACACATTTGCTGGAAAGACAGGCTTCTCCGGCAGTGCAGGATCCTGAGCACGGACGATTCGCGCAACAAGACACTGTCGCGTCAGCATCGGACTCATGCACCGAAGCGATTTATGAACGCCTTCAGCCTTCAATGTAAACTTTCGCGATATCACGAATGAAACCTGTCATGAAGGAGAAGTGGGCTCACTGGGTAAAACCCCTCAACCTCTGACATGCGGGATCCTCAGCATCAAACGCACGATTGAAGCTTCCACATCTTGTCCCTAAAACCTATGTAGTGCCTGCACTACGCTCTGTCAGGTGCTGGACCTATGTGGGATGTGGGATATGCGCCGCTGCGTAAGGGTTCTAACCCTAAGCCGAAGACCCCTTCAACCGCAAACATCTGCACCGGGTTGGTTTGCAAATTGGCGCTGAGAGCTCGAACCGGCCCCCTGTCTGAATCGCCAATGATCAGGTTTCGTATGATTTGGTACTTTAATCGGCGGTGCTCCAAGCGGTGGCGTGCTTGAAGCGCCAGTGCTTGCATCCGCGTTCTCGAATCGGGCGTGCTCTAGTGGTAAGCGCTGGAATCGCAGTGCTTGAAGCTCGGCCAGCGCTCGAATCATGATTTTACGAACAGTCGTGCAATGACTGACTACACTACACTCCAGGGTTACCCAAGGATAACATAGCAGAACTATTGTACAATCTTCCGCTCGACTGCTCCAATCGCAGAGCCATGACGCAAGCGCACTGTTCTCTTTTCTCCGCTCTTGCAGACAAATGATCCAGCACTTGCCCACATTTGCGCAATGCCTGGGCTCAAGCAAGAAGACTAAAGCAAGAAGACTAACTTGCGCTTGACTAGTAACTAGTAACTACGTAGTAATTAATCGGAATCTACAGCCGGTACGCCGAAGCGTACTCTACCGGCTCACTGCCTTCATGGTACTATTTTCAACTAAACAAGATGCAGCAACTTCCCTTCCCATGTTGTAGATGACGAAACATCGGCAACACATTTGACAAAACGAGAGGGTCTGGACTAGGAAGCTGCCCCTTGCCACACTTCCGTACTGGCCCCACTTGCCCCTCCATGCCCCTGGCGATGAAAAAGCCCTTTCTTCTTAATAACCCTCAGACAGCCTTAACCTGCAACAGCCAAAAAGACACATTGGCCTGCCCGACGGTGGCAAAGCCATGGCAAGTCTTGCAAGCATGCTTGGGTGAGGCTTGGGTGCCACTGACTCGTGCACAAGACTCCCCCGAATGCTTGCTGGGGGGGCATCTTCGCGGCGCGACTGCACATGCTGCAGCATCTTGAAGCGGGCATCTTCCAGGCTGGACTGCAAGTCTTGGGATCGCAGCTTGCCTCACGTTCGTCACAGCAAACAGGGAACAATCGAGCCAGCCCCGAATCCGATAACTTCTTATCTCGATATGGGCGATTGGAAGTGCATCTTGATTAGTCACGGCTAGCAAATTCAAGTGTGCCTGTTGTCTCTAAGACTCTTACACAAACATCGAATTTGACATGGCACTGGTCAAGTCGGCAAGGCCATTAAAGGTCATCACGCCAGGGAAATGAAAATAATCGGCTGCTGCAGTCCACCTGAGGACCTTTTGCAGACCGTTGCTGCCAAGATCGAAGGGCGGCAAAGGGTCGTCGTCGTCTTCAGGCCTCAATCGTGTTCGTGGGATCGCCCGACTAAACCAACCGTCGTAGACTCCACTTTCCTCCATGTCGTGAAGTTGCTGCCAAATGTGGGCCAGAAATTCCAGAGTCGGCGTGAAAATGGGCAGCAGCATCGCGTACATGTCATTGAAGTAGTTCTTGTAGGGATGTTCCGGAAAATAAATCGCACAAAAGTGATCCAACATCTCCTGAACATCCTCGAAAGTCGCGAAGCTCCAAGGTGTGTTGTGGGTTTGCTCGACAAATTCGAACCCCGATACCTGTAATAGTGCTGACCTCATGGCAAGGTACACCGCAGATACTTGCATCAGGAAGCTGGATGCAAGTAGCACCTTCCGATTGAGCTCCCAAGTGGCCTTCAAAGCATCACTGGTGAGCGTGGCCCTGAAAAGCGTCAGAGAAGCGACCTGAGAGGCTGCAGGGCCCAAGTGATATGCCAGCAAGTTCCAGGTCACCGTGCTGGTGCAGAAGATCGCATCCCCTTCATCGGCCCGTCGTGCCAAATCGAGCAACAGCATGCCGGACAGGCTCGCCGGGGCACTCTGCAATGGGTTCATGCCGAGAAACTGCAATCTAGGAAGCTTCGGCGAAAGACTGAACATAAAGTGGCAAAAAGCCAGCCCGTAGCAAACAAGCATGTCCGGATTGCCCATTCTGTGAACCACGTCGTCGGCGACCTCATAGAACTGCTGGAAGCTGACATCTGAGGAATGGAAATACTCGCACAGAGCATCGGCTCGGCTAGGTACCTTTCGGTCCTCACACCCAGAAGTTTCCGGACAAAGATAACAAGCCGAAAAGTAAGCGTAGTCAAAAGGCTTAAGTCCTGCCCTCATCGCATAATGGTCGATGTGCTCAGCAAACACGTTAGCCAGTGGGGCGTGGTGGCTGAGCACGGCCACCCTGACAGATGATGCAGGACTTTCCATGGCATCCATTCGTGCTGGTACAGGAAAACTGTGAATGGCAGGTGTACTCGCAGCTGGCTCACCAGGCTCTACCCCGTTGACCAACCACCTGTGCTCACGAAGCACGGTCGTGAAGACATGATCAATTCCAAGATCTCCGGTATCCTTGTATGCCTTTCCATGCTCGTCGAGCAAGGATCGGATTAGCCAGCCTTTGATAGCTGCACAAGGCGTTGAGGCAATCTTCTCGACACCTGCACACTTCGCCGGAACACAGGCCCTGTCGAAGAGGCCGTCGCCGTCGCCATCTCCGGCACCGTCAGCCGAGTCAGGGAGGTCCAGAACCTCGAGACCTGCAAAGAACTCTTGCCCGGCAGCCGTATATCCGAACTGTAGCCTTGCAAAGAGAAGCTCGCCACCACCGTCTCGACAGCGCCGCCATGCTGCGTCTTGTACAGAAGCGCCGCTGGTGCATTCCCGCAACGAGGCCCCGATGCTGAGGAACCAGACAAAAGACCTCGTCTACTGGGAGAGACAGAGGTTTCGGACCCTCAGGCAAAAAGGAAAACAGCTCCGGGCAAAAAAACGGCCCACACACAGGCCCAAACACTGCGAACTGTACTTTGGGCTCCTGGTCACACCGAGCAGCCTGCCGCAAGTGCCTCGCATCTGACCATCGCGCGGCTGTGACTCGCAAGGACATAGATAGATAGATAGATAGATATATAGATGGGTAGATACGTAGATAGGTAGAAAGATAATTAAGTAGGTAGGCAGATATATACACAAATATGCATACACTCATCTATATAACAGTGTAACCTTATTCACTGGTTTTAGTCAGGAGTGGGCTGTGATGTGCCCAGGCCAGGAGCTAGTGAAGTGGTTAGGTCAAGGCGACAGTATCTCTCTGCAAGTCTGAATTTGCAGCTCTCTATGTTCACCGTCTCTAAGACTCTAAGCTTGAGAATACGTTCTGAGCAGCACATCGACGGACAGAAAACTTATGGGCATGTGCTGGACAACGGAGACCCTCTTAGCCTTGCACGGTACCTGGGTGCAACGAATACAAATGGGCACAGCAAAACTAACCACCACTGGCGCACCACTTTCTGCGAAGCTTGACTCCTTGAGCTTGATGGTCCTCTACACATCCCGGCGGTAAACTAACATCCGATCTCGCAGCACACAGCCGCGAGGAGCCTGGCTTTAAGTGTTTCGTCGGCAAGCCATGCTTGCCTTCATAGGCCACAGCCTTTATATCAGTCCTGATAGCACCGATCAGCTATGGCGATATTGGCTTCGACCACCCCAGTTACTGTAACAAGAGATGCCAGGCATAAATCTTGAGGATGTGAAGTGAGCTACAACTATACATGCCGCAAGGAGCGGGAGCAGCCTAAGAGCATCCCAGGGCCGGAGGTGCTTTATCAAAGTCAACTGAACTAGCCAAACTGGAGAGCTGCAGCATATCATTCAACCGCTGGCCGCTGGCGAGAAGAACTACTTGAACTGTTGGCTCCCTTTGGGCGTGCCTCGGCCTGACCCTGCTGTACACGTCGTGCCAACGCTCCCACTCACGAAGCTGTTCCTCTGGACAAAACTCGCCATCCTCCGCACGCTTGCAGCCACAGGCAGCAAGCGCGGCTTGAACTGCTTTCGGGCGGAAGTCACCGACTGTGTCCTCCTCAAGCAATGTGGTCACTAAGATCTCTTCACCACCAAGCGTGACACACTTGACGAGTAGACCGCTGCAGTCTTGCAGCTGCTGCACGACCAAGGAGATGACAATGGTGCGGTCATAGCAGCCTGACAAGCAATACCTGCAGTAGTTTCGGCTCGCCTCCGACATTCGACACTGGGGACACTCGAATCGAATCCGTCCACACTGGACACAGTTGAAGAAATCATCGTCGAAGAACGTCAACCACGTGTGGCCGCAGGCCGGGCATCGAACGTTGTCTGGGTTGCGGTTCCCCTCGCGACATACGCAGCCCCGCGTGCAATCGGCACCGTGCGCGCACCTTACAATAGTTCCACCTTTTCCGGTATTCATGCCGTCTCTGAAGTCAAGATGAAAGTATTGTGGCGCGAATGAATATTCTGCCAGTTCTGTGTTGAGTCCGGCGGCGGCACGCGCTGCTTCGAGGCTGATCGATGGCTCACCGAGCCATCTCTTCTTGCCGAAATTTCCTCTGCTGCATCCCCTTGGCAGGTTCGTCATCCGCCGCAGCTCCGTTCGCAGTGCTTTTGCGTTTTCGTCAACACTTCTCATGACGAGTGACGAGTGCCTAGCCGCTTCTGCACCTTGAGCCGCCTGAAAACCCTGCAGATGCAATTTGCCAGTGCTCTGGATGACTGGGCTCTCAACCCCGGAAGCCGAGTAACTCGGCCCCCGCACGCAGCAGAAATAGTGCCGTCAGCCCGTCTGCCTCGGGGAATCTTCCTTCAACCGCGAACTTCAAACCCTATTGCTTCCAGCAACAGAGACTGTCTGCAAGCCCGAAAGGTTCATAAGAACAGGGCAACGCCCACCTCAACGTACACCAGCTTCGTCTTCCCAAGATCCTCACCGGCACTTCCACACCACTTTAACACCAATTCTGCTTGCAGTGGGGCCAGTGTTACAAGCATGCCAATGAACTCGTTGCCACTACCACCTGGTTGGCACGAATCTCCTGCTGACTCCAGCTGTCTAGCGGCATGCAGCGACCCCAGTGCTCCTGGCGCAGTCGCTCCAAAAGCCCACTGAGGATTCGGTAGCGCTCGCCTGGCACCACGAATCAACGAAGCGCAGCTTCAACTCTGCAGTTGTGGGACGAAAAAGACCGTTGAGCAGAGCTATCTTCGACTGAATGTAAGACAATGCCGATCGACACCCACTCTCTACTACATTTGAGGACCGAACAGCATCCAGAATGGACCGGCACATCGGCGAGTCGAAACTGCGGTCCTGTCGTGAAAGTTGGCAGAATGCTGACCTGAGAATTAAATCCAGAAATGTTTCTGCGTTGCTGCAACGAATTCAATGCAACCCACATCACCCACATCCACCCTGTTTCTTCCCTCTCCTGGACGATTCAGCGAGCGACGCCTCAGCGAGAAAGCTCTTGGCTTGGGGCCGGGTCCCAAACGCTCACCGGGCCCGTTGCAAGTCCAAGGTCGTCAGAAAAAGCACCAAGCCTGCGGGCATGTGGTCTTGCTTCGGTGTAGGCAAGGCATCCATGCTGCTTGGAGTTAGACTGACTAACTCGGCCGCTAAACATGCTAAGGGATCTCCCTAGCTACATGTGAAGGGCCATGAAAAGACTTTGCTGCGCAGATGCAGCGTAGATGCACCCCAAGGCCGCGACTTTGGGAGAGCAGTGTCATCTCCCGGCTGAGCTCCCAAACCTTGCAGGCAATGTGGTGCTGGTTCACATGCCAATAAAGACGACTCAGTGACGACAAGGTCGTGGAAGTCGAGCCACTGTTTTGAGCGGTTCGTAACTCCCTCCCAGCAGCTGCTGCACACGCCAAACCTGGGCCAATCTCGTCAAACATCATTCAAGGACTAGCTATATTGGATGGCGCGAGGTGGCATGACATCTCTGTATCAGAAACATGCCACAAGGAGGCAAAGGAACTCACAGTTTCCCCCCAGGAGCTACCTCGCTGAGAACTCAGGCATGCCGCTGCAGCAGAGACGCGATGCTCAAAGGGGGATCCTTGGGCCGACTTCGAGTCTGGCGGCTTCCCTTGGAAGCTTTAGGACTTTGGTGTCTAGACTTCTTAGATTCTTCAGGCTTCCGACCTGCCGCGCACTGCAAAGCATGAAGTGGTACAGCATTCTAGCTTGGCTTCGTGTTCGGGACGAGCCTTTTACCACAAAGTCGCCATCACTTCGAAGCTCGCAGGCTCTTTGGCCCTTGCGAGCTGTACAGGACATGAATCACAGCTACTTTCTCTTAAAACCGATTGCCACCAAATACCTTCAATTCACGGCGTCAACGAACCGCGACAGAAGGCTTGCCGGTTTGCGATTGTCTATTGTCTCCGGCTGCAGCACAGGCGCCGTCCTAGGCCATGCAGGCATGAAGGCATGAGGCATTGGAGTTGGGGTGACAGTTGAGGCCGAGTCGAATAGACCGCTGCAGCCAAGTTTCGCTTGCGCGGAGGAAGACTACCTGCAAGGATCGCCACAGCTCTGTCGGGATGGTTAGTGATGATCCCGTCCACCCCAATAGCAACTGCCGCTTCTATATCGTCGACAGCATCGACAGTCCAAACAAAAACCTTCCCCTGCGCCACATGCAGCCGCTGAAGCGCAGATGCAGTTAGCGAAGAATGTCTCACAGCCACACCTGCAAAGCCAAGTCCAACATGCTGTAGATTTTCCTTCTCCAGCATTCCAGTTGCCGAGCTCAGGGACAAGTACATGACTGGCAGAGAGGGCAGCAAATGTCGCAACTCATGTAGGTACGGTTGATGGAAGGACTGTGCCATGATGAAGCCTTCCTCGACTTGCTGCGAAAAGGGAGCCAAAGCCTCCGCGACCAACCGCGCCAAATTCGGGTAGGACGGTTCAGGCTCCTTCTTTAGCAATCCCACGCGGCGTAGTGTTGCCTGAACCCACTCCGGCACGCCGGAAAAACCACCTTTCAGCTCGATGAGAACTTTCCTGCGACCCTGGGGCCAGTTCATGGCCAGGTCAAGGACCTCGCGGTGCAGGGACTTTCTCATGGTGCGACAGGGAAAGTGTAAACTTGGACGGGCAAGGGGCAGAACTAAACCCGCCGGTGTCGGCAAACACTGTCTTCGGCATCTCGGCTGCCTCGCCCAGAAGGGGCACCTGCTCTCCCCGAAAGGCTGCGGAGTGCTTGGAGCCAGCATCAAGGCGCCGGATTTCTTCCAGGGGCGCTTGGCAAATCAAACCCCTTCCCTCAGTTGTTCGGTCCTGGCTTCCAGGGGCTTACCACATTGCTGTAGGCATCTGAGACAGGGCAAACACCACATGCTGTCCTGGGTAGCGTCATGGATCACCACCACGTGTCCATCCAGCGTAGGGTGAACATCAAGCTCGACTCCATCTGCTCCAGCAGCCAGTCCTCCCGAACTGGAACTGCGTCAGTGATGCTTCTGCAAGGCAAACAGCACGTGAGGCATTCGTGCTGTGTCTGTTTAGACTTGATTAAAAAAACCTGCGCGGAACGCGGCCATAGTGTTCTCTGGACATGTCTTGGACGCACCGCGATGCGCCCACACCAGCGGCCGGGCACGAGACATGGCAGAGAAAAACGGTCTTACTGGAGTCCCGTTCGTAAGTCTAAGCTGCAAGACTGTTCTGTGCAAGGCTCCACCCGAGAGTTCGAATCTGCAGGCTGCAGGCAGGGCAGGCAGGGAAGAGAATGCTTAGCAGTGCTGAGGGCCGAACCCACAGCTTGGAGTCAAGGCCATGGCTCGTTACGTCCTGAACTCTCAGACGGAGCTGGAGCGGTGGACTCAACCACGCTGAATGCATTCCCGCGCACCGGCCTCGGCACTGATGGGGATCGTGGCCTCTCTCCGCACTGGAGAGCAGCTGTAAGATGTGATATGTCGCACTGCAGGGCGAGCCAGCGACAGCTGATGAGGAGGAGGCTGCAGCTCCACCTGAGCATGCCGAGCACGACATGTTGCACCGGCTGCCCGCTGCACCTCACCACACAAAAAAAAACGAGGGAGACGCCATGAGTATCTCCCATCCAGGCCTGGGCTAAACAAAAACTCCCACCAGCCCGTCCAAGTCTCTTTGACATTCCTCGGGCTGAGGCTCCACCCGCCAGGGATGTATGGAGGCTGGTGCAGCAAGGTCCTGCCCCCCCCCTCCTCCTCAGCCCGCCATCCCGATGGCATGACAGCGAAACGAATCAGCAAACGTCGGATGCTGCCCCCAGTCCAGCGAATGGCTCGTGGTGTGGTCGCCGCAAGGACTATGTGTTTGGTTCCGTACTGCTCAACAGTGCAGCTGACCGCCAAAAGCGTCACAATTCACGTGCAGGAAGTTTCCATGCAGCACCATCTGTCCTCTCATCTACCGACTCCAGCATTATGAAGATTTCAAAGTGATATCATCTTTCGAAGCCCGGATGCATCGTCTCATGACTCATCACCACCATGCAAAAATGACTGGCACGATGCTCCCGGTCCACGAGTGTGCCTGGTTGTTGAAGCCGTGTGCCCCACCCGCCAACCCTTCCCAGTGCCCTGCCTCGAAACTTTGATTCCATCGCCCTAACAGGACCATAACTGTCGTGATCATTGAGTCTCAAAAATTGCCGGCCTGGGCCACTGGAGGATGCCACTGAAGCCTGTCTCCACTTTGCTTTCTCTTGCAACAACGTTGCCACGGCATGATTCGCTGGCCCCTGCATCATCCATCCACTTGAGCATCTCGAGTGCGAGCCTGCGGCTGCACGCCCAAGCCCGCTATCCGAGCTTTTTGTGAAGCTCTCCGTGCTGCACTCTTTTCCGCCATGGAAACTGAGAGCACAGGTCCTGGCACCTCACCACCCGAGGCGGTAGTTCGACGAAGGCCGGGTGAGAGACTTGCCCTCATAACGCTGCATCCCCTTCAACAACAAGGTGGCGGTTGGTGATGCGACGATCGACAGCGACTATGGCACTTGCCCGGTGCTGCGCACCCATGATTCCACACATAATCGCATGTCGGGAGTCATCTCCCTGCTCAGTGCCAGCACATCGAACACAAATGTCGGTAAGGCCATCCCGTATGCAGCACGGCACCACCAGCCAGGCGGCAAGTTTCTCCTTTGCCCGCCGAAGCACTGCAAAATTCAGCTCGTTGCAGCCGTGCACGCAAACGTAGGCAATCCCACTGGCGGAGCCTTCACTCAGATCCTCGAACTTGCCGACTACGAACGACAGATTGGCCAAACAAGTCTTCTTGCCCTCCACACACGAGCCAAAGCTGTTCACAGCCTTTACATAATGCTCAAAACCAGCTCTTTTCTCTAGATCGAGGGCAATCACTTCCGTGTGCGGGAAGCGGTATGCCAGCAAAACAGCCAACAGCCCATGTCCGCTTGCTACATCGTAGATGCGGTCGAGGACGGGCAAACCACGATCTTTCCGCGTAGCGTTACAGCGTTGTAGGTGTGAAACCACCTTCTTCCAAACTTCGATGGTCTCAAAGACCTCCTTTATTCGTAAGTGATCGGAAGAGTGTTGCAACAGGACATTGAAAGCCCTGAGAAGCTCCTCCTCGCCGTTGAAACTGCTGACGAGGTACCTGAGGAAAGGTGTTTGCGACTGTGACTCTGACAAGCGGCATGCAAGAGCCTACGGGCACCTTATTTCCTACGTTCGATGTGAGAGCAAGCCTGCTACAACGGGCTTCTTGGCAAGATGCAGCTTCAGAAGCTCCTTCTCGGACTCGGACAGATCAAAGAACTTTGTAGAAACGTCCAGGGTGCCGGCGCGGCGGCAAGGAAACTGCGCTAGCGCCGACATGCCCCTCGACCAAGGATTCGCAGAATCCGCTGGCCCTGATGGGGCCTGGACCTCCGAGCCGCAACCGCCGGAGCGTTCCGCAAGAAGTCTTCGTCTGCGTTGATGATGCTGGCTGGCGAAGTGCTGCTTCCACGCCGTCGCCGAGGAACAGTGGGCATTGCAGACTTCGCACCAGTATCCTGCATGCCCGCTGCCTCGAGAAGCAGCTCCATTGGAGTCATTGGAGTGCAAACGTGCGGCAGCAGCTGCCGCTTTTTCGGCAGCCATAGCCAGATCGTGGTTGCCACTCCAAGCATCTGGTTCAGCCTTGTCCTGACTTCTTACCCTCAGCTGGAATGCATCGTTTTCTCTGAGACCTCGCCCCAAAGAGATCAGCTTGGAGATCTTTTTGCCGCTCGTCAGCAACTCCAGGTTGCAGTCGGCCACAATCTCCGGGAGGTCGCCACTTTCGCGCAGGCTATAGAGCTCTAAGCGTCCGACAGAGACCTTCTCAAGACCTGGCGCAAAGGCTGCCTTCACGGCACGAAGCCATCGACCGATGTCCGAAAACCCGTCCACGGGAACCTCAGCAGGACACTTCGTCCGCGGTTTGCAGCTGAAACAAGATCAGAACACCGCGCCTGCTTGGACGTAGTCCGAAACTGTACCCACAGAGCCTGGGCTGCGCCCTGGTCATCGCCCATGGCGACCGAGGCTCCCTTGCCGTCTCTTTGACATCAAATGAGTATGTCACGGTGGAAGGGTTCGAAAGGGAAAAGCCACCTCTTCGTGCATTCCCTAAACTGGTGATGCAGTAGTGACGGATTGCAAAGTGGTTACTTCGGATGGGCGTTGCGTGGCATATTTCAAGCTGCAGGATGAGCTTGAGAGCCAGCGCATCATTTAAGCGTGGGCCGACGCTTTCCTTCATTGCTCGTCCAACCTGGCGGTAGCTCCAAGGTGAGCCCAGACCTTGCAGCGTCTCTCGGAATGAAACTGCCACTTCGCTGACGAAGCCCTCTTTGAGAAGAAGACCACCGGCAGCGCCATCACCAGCTGAAGTAGCACCCCCCTTGGTTCTGAAACTTGGTCTCTCTTTTTCCGCTGCCAAAGATGCATCCCTTCCTGTCCCGAGCACACCGCGCATCTTTGGCATGATAGGCGCTGTGGAGGGGTCCGAAACCTCGCTCCGGAGTGTCACGCAGTGTCACGCTTCGATGTCATGAAGCCTCCAGCCAGGTCCTCGAGCAACGCCGGCGGACTCAGCAGTCCTCAGGGTTGCAGGGGCTGATATGTGTAGCCTGATATGATTGAGCAAGCACAATCGAATAGTTGCTCCGGTGGCCTCTTCCAGGTGATATTGACCATCGGTCAGCAAGCAACTCGCGTGCCTCCCGTACGAGAAGCGGAAGCGTTTCTTCGTTGCTGTTCAGAAACTGAAGACATACCAACTCAACAATCGAAACGAAACTGAAAGCGCCCAAAGCTGATGCAAATCATCGTCCTTATGAACTCCTCGCTCCAGTGGCCTTCACGGTGGCAGCGTGCCTTGTCTCAAAAAGCTGCCAGGAAGGGATGAACTCACCCTCTGAGCCAAGTTGCTCCACAGAGAGGCAACAGAGCAGGAAGGCCACCCCGATCAAGGCCTCCGGCCAGCATCGACCTTGGACCTGCTACGAGTAAAGTCAGCGACTATGAGCCCCAAATGCAGGAAGGCACATGTCCACACGAACGGCCTGGACTGAGGTGGCTTCGGCCCGGAAGCAGCAAGCCTTGCAAATGAAGGCCCAGCTCATCAAATATCCCTTCTATGAATGAACTCCGGACACCTGGACGTCGGTGTCTGAATCTAACGACTCAGATAAGCCTTAGAACATCGCTTTGAACTCTTTCACCCTGCACCATGTGCGCTAGAAGAAGAATATGGACAATCCCCAAGTCCTTTTGCTTCTAAACCATAGGCCAAACATGCCATCTGAATGAGTAACCCCTGGAGAACACGTGGGAATTGAAATGCCATGGAGTTGTCGTCTTCCTTTTTGCGTGCACTGGCTTTTGCAAACCGCGCTCTGGACGACGACAATCATGGTTGGGCTTGATGCGACCCAAACCCCCCCCCCCCTCCCAATCCCCACAGCTTCCCGCACCGGTCGACTCGCATCGAACCAAATCGCAAACATACAGCTTCCGACCCCTGGCTGGCCTCGGCAGAAGCAAAGGGAAAGGACCAGCACCAGTCTTTGTGTCCTCACACGGGGCAACTGTTTGGCAAGGGGGCTGGTCGTGTTGCGGGTCCCGCCCTCGATCGGGGGCAGCTCAAAGGCTTGTGACAGCGCGTACGGCTGCCTCGTGCGAACACTGCGAGGTGCTGTGCTGCTGCTGGCAGCGTGCGATGCATCCCTGCAAGGTTCAAACGATGTCATCCCTTTTTTGCTCCGCATGGCAGGGCGTGAACAATCTTCATTCGATCAGACTCGCGAAGGCTCCTGGCTGAGGGGCGTGGCACCTCCAAACATGCTGAGGCTTTTCCAGGCCTTGCTGAGGGGCTCCGTCTCCCTCAGCTTATCCTTCTCGGACTGCTCTCGGATCTTCAAGTTGCCCCACAGGGCCTGAGCAATGCTGTGCTGCTCTGGGGTCTCTAGGAACAGAGACGGTCACAAGCTGGCACGACCAGAGAGAGCGATAGCAACATCTTGGGCCACAGCAATGCCCGTCCTCAGATAGTCATTGCGTCTGCGTCTCTGTCTGCGTCTGTGCGCATGTATGTATGTATGAATGCATGCATGTATGTGTATACTGTATGTGTGTGTGCACATGTGTATATATATATATATATATACTTATTTATTTATTTACTTATCTATTTACATATATATATATATACATACATACGCACATACCTGTGCATTGTACATATATACATACGTACATACATACATATAAATGAATTGGCATCTACATCTGCACGTGCATGTGTACATGCATGTATGTGTGTATATATATATAAATACATGTGTACATCTGTATATATATATATGTATGTATGTGCGCATGCATATTTGCAAATGTGTTTGTATGCATGCTTGTATGCATGCATGCATGGATGTATGTAGTGTATGTGTGTACCCGAGGGGTGAGGCTCAAGCCTCCCTCCACTCAGAAGAACGTCCACCCCCTGAGAAGGCAGAGGCCACTCTCTGCCAACTCGGGGGGCCGTCTTCGAGTGCCACCCACAAGGAAGGAGCGGCAGGTCGACTTGAGCCAAAATGGCTACTGTCTGTCTTCGTCTGTCTCTGTCTGTCCGCTTGCCTTGTGCGGATGTAAGTTTTGCTCGCATTGTGTAGGTAGGTGACGTATACATGCGTTTATGTGTGCGCCTGTTTGTTTGCTGGTTTGTGTGCTCTCTCCGATTTCTGCCTGTCTACCCGTCTCGCCCCGTGTCTCTGTCAGTTCTCGGTTTGCGAATAGCACACGTACCGACTAGAGGTTTCCACAGCTCGAAAGCCGTGCAGGCCAGCTGGATAGACAAGTCCAGGCGAGAAGCATGATCACAACGAAACCGATCTGCTGCTGCGTCGAGATGTGCTCGCCGAACACGAAAGAGGATGTTGCCACAATGACAGAGTCCTGCTCAAGTCCGAGGAGACTCAAAAGCATCGCATGCACAACCTCTCGATGTCGGTCCTTGACAATACCAATGATCACGAAGGCAACTGCAGAGAGCCGCTTGAGAGCTGTAGCGATGATAAGGTTGAGCGCCTGAGAAGCGACACTCAAGCTCGGCTGTGCAGGAGGGCAGGGTGGGACCGGGTGGGACCGAGTGCCCAGCGAATGCATTGAGGGCATTCAGCATGATCCTTGCAGGCGAGGTCAGGCATGGTTGTGAAGCTTCTCAACGTGAAGCTTCTGTTAGTTGCGGTCTGAGAATCATAGGCCAATGTGACGAGAAGTCCGTCCAAACTACAGGCTCCCATGAAATCACAACGCTGATCCTTGGCATGCACACGGCATCAGACCGCATGGATTAACGAAGGCGGGTTGGTTACTCGACGGCAGCCAAGAGACAACAAGGGCACCAACGAGCAAGGTGCTTGGAACATGACAAAGGTAAGCACGTCCAGCCTGTGAGCAGATGCGGCCACTTACACATCGTTTGGCATAACTTGGACGCGCCCTTGCACTACAGTGTCGTGCAGGGTGAAAACTGCCGCGGCCAAGCAGCTTCATCCCCGCTCCAGTCATCACGACTTCTCCAATCAGATTCTTGGAACATTCTGCGAACTGCGAGGTGATCTGGAGCATGAAGCCTGAACTCCCGAGCGCTGTGCATTCTGGAAACCGCCAGCACCAACACAAGTGCTGAACATCTCTCCCTGTTTCATCTCGTGTGTAGCTGCGGAGCCCATCCAAACGAAGTTGATCTCACCTTTGACAAGTCTTCGCATGATACAGGCAGCTGGAACCAACGCCCAGCAATTTCTTGAAAAGCACGTACCCCACATATTGCCAGAGCTCCGTGTGCACATAATGAACATCCCATCACAACGATGCTTAGGATTGCGACCTTTGTCCAGCTGAAGGCCTGCGGGAGGGAACCGATGGATTCTCATTTTCCGGCCAGGTCTGGCCCAACTGCATGGGTTCCCAAGATGGGCAACCATACGCGAAAGGCAACAACATTGGGACATTGGGCTCTTGCTTCAGCTACTCGCCTGAAGGCCGAGTGCACAGGACATGGCGAAGATCAGCGCCACGTTTCCCTCCTTGCCTCAACTCTTCGCTGTACTCTGAGTGCTGCTACCGTGTGCGGAGGCGGTGTAAAAGCAACACACCAGACAGCTCAGGCCAGGAGGCAGAACTGCAGAAAGGCAACCTGCAGAGCTGGCTTTGTTCAGGGCTTCGAAACTCGATGTCAGCGACATTCAGAAAAGGCCAGCGAAGGATCTTAGCATTATGCGTCTGCCCGACACGGATTTACCGCCCCTGGGCCATGCAAACGACAGAACAGGACTAGGAATGACGGCAATGTCCGTCATGTCCAATATGATCCAACGATCGGAGACCATCTGCAAGAAACAGCAATAGCTGGCTCTGTGCGTCTCGGGAGCACTCGAGTAGAGGTAGGCGCGGTTCGAACAATACAAGGCCAGGGCGAACAGCATTCCCAGCGGCAAGATGTACTGCAACCTGCTTGGAATGCCAGTATAGTCTATCTATCCCTTTCGTTTCTGGAGCTTAGAAGATGGCGGCAGCCTCAGTCATTTGCCGGTCTCTCTCTCTTGCTTGCTTGCTTGCGAGGCATCTCACATCCCCTGCGCGCGAGCGCTATGAACAGTCCCTCTCTCTCTCTCCCTCTCTTAGCTGCGATTCTCGAAGCAAGCGCCCAGCTAAGGCCCACCTACTGCAATGCTTCAGATCATGTCCTACCGATAGTGAGCACATCAGGCAAAGCTAGGGTTCAGACAGCGCCCGCCAGTTCTCGCGCGCTTTTCCCATCGTTGGATAGAGGCTTGGCGCGGCAGTGTAGAGCAGCAGAGACATGACCGAGGTCATCAGCATGTGCATTGCCGTCATGGCTTTTGGATGAGGGAAACGCTCCACATTCCTTGCTGTTGACTCCCACATGCACTCTTAGGTTCAAGACAACACGCTAGTAAAGAATCATGCGCAGCCTACACAACGAAAAGAGCGTTGATCTTCTCTCGTGGGTCATCAAATACTTGTTGAAGGCGATCAGGCTGGCACTAATCAGGATGTAGCTGCCTCCAATAATGCACGTCTCCGCAATTAGCTTCATCTCCTCCGGCTCATACAATCGACAGCTGGCTTCCGTTTTGCAAGGCTGTAGCCTCAAGCCACAGCAACTACTACAATCCGTGTACGCACCCGAAGCTCGTACACGATTGCGGGATGCGCACGTGCACATGCCCAGTTGATATTTATTGCGATTTCTGTGCAGCCAGTCCTTCATGCCAAGCATGCTTGGCGAAAAGCTTCGCTGTCGTATGAAAGGTACGGGCACTTCGTTGGATCAGGACATCTGGCCAAAATGGCTACCAAGACGCATCTGCATTGCCCATGCAACCAATATCAAAGCAGTGCTACATTCCTAGACCCTCAGCCCTGCACGCGACCAGCAGCCATGTTATTGCTGGCATGCGGTGGCTCGGCTGAGCAGCCCCAGGGTGCCACTCGAATGTCCAGTTGCCGCAACCCACCTCCTCGTTTCTGAGCCAACTAACTTCCTAACCGATTCAAACTGGAGTTGAAAGCTCTGACTTGAGCAAAGGAAGCTTGACGGCCAAGGAACGCAACAGGACTGGTACACACAAGCGTCATTGCTGCTGCGATGAAGCTCAATGTGGCCGGCAAACCTTTTCTGTCTTCCACAGAATGTAGACATGTTTCTTGGCTTAGCTGAAACTCGCACTCAGCAAGCAAGCTGGGTGCAGCTGCGTGGATCTTTCATTAGATGATAAAGATCACAGGGCATCTAAGCCAGCAAACAGCATCCGGGATGCCGGTCCACTTTGGATGGAAACAATCAGGTGTTGTCTTCCAGCCCGGCTCAGGAGCTCGATTCTCTTTTGACCAGGCGCTGCAAATAGCATCAACTCCTGGCCAGCCTATCCGCCGCGACTGAAACGTCAGCTCCCTCGCGCCAAGATCGGTCCGGCCTAGGCAGAAGCAGGTCTGCGAGTCAACCAGACGATGGCTCAGTGCCGCGCAACTTCCACGTTGAACGTGAAGCTGCCTCAGCGACCCGACTAAGCATCAAAACATCATGAGAGACGGTGTGCTTCAGGAGCCTGGGAGCCTGGGAGCCTCCGACCAGCTTGAGAGGCCATGTATTCCCAGTCGTGCTTCAGGAAGGCCCAGGACTCGGGAGAGGAGGAAGAACTGGCCCTGAGGCCCTTGTAACACTGACTATAGCAGACCAAGGCAGGCACGACGACGGCCCCCAGCAAGCAAATCACCTTGAACCAGGCACAGGATGGTCTTGCACCGAGGGTCACACACCGTCATCACCCGTCCAAGCGAAACACCGCTTGGAGCCAAAGCACGCCCGTCACGCCGAAAGGGCCTGTTCAAAGAACGTAGCTTGCCCCGCAGTCATGTCCGTTGAGGAGCTTGTCTTCGTTTGTCTTGCAGCACATCTGCATGTGCGGTGCTATTGCATTCTAGGCCGATCCTGTGCTGATGGGCGGAAAGATCAAAGCGCCCGCCTCAGGGCGATCTGAGTACACATGCCGGGCACACATGGCGGGAGAGCAACCATGCCCCGTTCCCACGAGCAAAATCGGCTCGGCACCGCACAACAGCACCAACCTTGCCACCTGCGCTGGATACGCCGTGGCCTGCACAACAGTCGAATCTGGCCGCAGACATTCTTGAGCCGTCTACATGCCAGCGAAGTCAGTGACTAAGTGTCCATCATGTGCTTCGGATAACCGCAGGGAAGCAGATGACAGGGAGAACCTGGAGTGCCAAAGTAGCCTATAAGGCAAAGTGCCGTGATAGGTGGGTGAAGCCTGAGCTGCCCACATACGTGCCAAGGTTAGGACCCCAACTGAGCAGAAAAGTCAGAACGCAAAATAGCACCTTCGCAGCGGCATTTTGAAGAAGCTGCCCAAACCCTGGCCATTCCAGTGCAGCGTGCTGAGGAGGAGGCGAAGTGCAGTAAGTGCCTCGGCAGGCTCAGCCCACCGGATCCGTCTTCAGTGAGGCTTTCAATGGCGTTGCCTTCAAGAGCTGAGCGAGCCACTGCTGTGGTGCCAGCATCCAAGCCAAAGCCAGCGCGGCGAAAGACACCGCGAGAGCCTGGGAAACGAGAAGAGTGCAAGCTGGAGGAAGCCGGAGCAACTTTGTGAACTAAGTTTGGGCGAGAGTCCAGGAAGCCGTAGGCATTCAGACGTTTGCAACCCATCCTGGCTCGATATGAACATGCTGGCACTTGCTCTGTTGCTTCTTGTGCTGTCTGGAAATGTCAATGTCGAATGGGCAAGTCAGTGTGTTGTCTCGACGAGACGATGTCCTGTCGATCATCATCATAGCAGCATAGCAGCCTGGGATGCCTTGCATGGGTGTCGGCATGCGCGGTGAAAAAAGACAAAGCTTCTCAGGAGGAAACCCATCGCTGTTATGATGGCGGACTGCAGCGAGGTCTGCTGCAGCGACTGCTGACCTTCAATCGGGATACCCCGAAACTCGGAGATCCGGTCTGCCTCCTTCAGTCAGGTGGCACCGCCCATCCTCCATGGAACCTGTGAGGCACATTCGCTCGAGGATCGTCGGCCTCAGACTCTTTGAGTGACCCGGGTATTACCACTAAGCTCAAGCGGAGCCCCCGACGCGAAGATCGTGGTGCCGTAGAAGGCAGTATCATAGAAAACTGGGCTCTCAGAACTACTCAAGGCTCTCGACCACCACGAACATCTGGCTTCAGCACTTGCCATGCATGTCTTTCCATTATGCCAAGCATCCATCTACGTCTACGGATGTCAGATTACGCGGGCAATATGCTGCCAGGTCGCACCAGGAACCGGCCGTGCCTAGACACTGAAATCATTCAAAGACGCCGGACGAAGTTCGCAAATACAGTACAAAGCTTGGCAGCAGGTGGCCGGAAAACCGCTGGGCTGACTGCTCAACATGGCCATCGAAACCACTTCAAGTCGCAAACTCAAAACCTGAACACCCCATTGATTTATACATTGGAGTCCACAAGCTGCCACACCTCCACAGTTGCATGTGTGACCAGTACATTGCTTCAACCAGTGCATTCTTTCGAGGATGCGTGTGTGCGAAGTGCTCGGTTGCATTTCTACATTGTTTCTCGGCCACAGCCCTTCCCTCCCTCCCCGCCGCCTAGCAGCGTGGAGGCGAGGCCTGCATGGCGCAGCCGCCGGCTGCCTTGGGCTTGCGCCACTTGTGCTTCCGTGAACTCCTCCGAGTCCTGCCAATTCGGATGTAGTCCTCATGTTTGCATCCTGGCTTGCCTATGATGATCTGGACACACGAAACAGCTGCTCCGACACCCCGTGCACCTGCTCGTTGAAGGAGGACACCAAAACCACAAGAGCGGGAACCTGAAGAACGCAACCAGGACTCGCTGCACCTACGAGCTGCATGCTGAAAGCACGGCAGTTTGCTCTTTTTGGCGACTGCGCATCTCGTCTGGACTGCAGCTGTTGGTTCATGTTGCTTAGGGGTGGGAAGTGCGCAGTCACACAGTGATTCTACCACTTGGCAGAGGCCGTGCCGCGTCTCAGACACGGCACGAAAAGCGCAATGAAGATCTGCTCGAGCTTGGAGGTCCAAAGCTTCCACGAGTTTCTCACTGCCACCCACCAAAGGCAGACGGCCCTTGCAATGGCAGCACAGCCTCGGTGTCCAAGGACCAGTGGCACCGTGTAGCGGTCTTAAGGGACGCTTCCGGCTACTTGGAGTCGAGCAGAGCAAGCCAAGGATCCCCAGCCTGAGGCTCGAAACTCTGCAACATCTCTGTCTCTGACCCTTCCCCGTGTCTTCCGTATTTTCAAGCTCGGGACATTGGCCCATGTTGTCCTGAAGACCAGTTGGCCGCGCCTGACTGAGCATCTACAAAAGCACACTTTCCCTGCTTCCCTCTATCTCCCGAAATGTGCCTCCCGAGGTTGGTTTTGAGGAGTGCGGCCTCACGTGGCCATGCCTGCAGGTCGGAGCTGAGTACAGGTTGCTTGAGACACTATGTCACCGTGTCGGGTGCAAAGGCACAAGCATGGGCCTCTTGCTGTGGTGCTTCGTGTGATGGTGCATAGACCGGCTATGTGCTTCCTGATGCGGCTGTGAGGAAGCGGCTGAATTCCAATATGCGAAGAGGGATGTGAGGCCATGCTTGCCCCACACGAGAGCTTCCAGCATTGCAGCAGGTCTCTGTTCCTACCTAGTCCAGCCCAGCGGCTCGGTGCTTACGATGCCGCCGCTGATGAGACCTTCAGAAACGACCAGCATTGCTGAATGCGAGTCTGCCAGGGGCAGATTCGCTGCGTCTGGGCCTTGTCCTTTGCAGCAGCGATCTTTTTGGTGCCGCCTTCATCGCTTGTCTACCATGCAGATGGGCTGCATGCCCATTTTTTGCAGCTTGCCGGCCCATGGCAGAGTGGTGTCCTGGGTACAGAACCGCAGACGGCGTGCCGCGTACTTATATATTCGGCTCAGTATTTCCGACGGTGCTGCCGGGTCTCGGGCAGCATCACCTATGGCTGGACGGGTGCAAGAACCACTGCTGAACAACACTGGGATCAGAAGAAGGGCGCCACCTCAGGTTGGCTGAGCATTGACAGGCATAAACTGCATGACCTGTCAGCGATATAGTAGTCGGTGAGCACAGACGTATTTCCTGAACCAGCAGACAATGTCTGCACCAAGTTCAGACAAGGAGCTGCTCCAGAAAACCATAGGCAGCGAATGACAGAACGCCACTCGATCTTTCCAGCTTTCTCACGCCTCTCCAGCCACGGAAAAGATTCCTGTCAAGCGGGACCTGGCCACCGACAGGAAAATATGGAGGCCTGAAGCCGAAACATCTGCAGCGTCACAATGCTAAACTGCAACAACTGCAACTACCGTACGGCACCTGACAGAGTTGTAAAGAGTTCCGGCTTGGGCACCGGCTGCTCCAAGTGCAAACAGCAGTCGAAACTGCAGCTGGGGAACCTCAGTGCTCACTTTGTCGTTGCCGCTGCGACAGCTTACAGTATGCACGGCAGCGCTGCTCGATCTGGCAACCGAGGATGCTACCCACTCAGCCGGAGTAGAAGGCTGGAACAACGCTAGCAGGAGCATAGCCACCAACTCAGCTCGTGAGATCTCTCAACAAAAAGCAACCTCGGAAATGCGAGTGGCAGATTGAAGAATTACTTGGGCCCATAGCGTATGGAGCGAGCTGGCCAAATTGCTGCAGGAAGAAAGCCTGCCGGGAGAGAAACACGCAGCCAAGAATCGACCAGGCGAGGTTCACCGTTCCGCGTACCCCACACACCTGAGAACAAGCTGGTCACAGGCCTGGCCCACATGCTTTCCTCGCGAAAGTGACTCCTGTCGGCGCCACAGCATCACTTGTCATAAGCCACGAGATCATGACTCTGTTGAGAGCCTCACAGCCCTCAGCGGAGCTGACCGCAGACAGGGGATAGGTTCCACCTTTTGGCGACTTGCAGGCGGCAGTTCTTCCCGACGTCAACTGACGTGCAGTGCCTACACCAATTCCCAGGACCAGCCGGCCAATGCATACGACTGCATACCTGTAACGGACAAGACCAGGATGCATGAGAACAAGGACAGCATGGCGGCCAGCAACGCGCACGTAGTGTTGCTACTCCCGAAAGCACATGCTGGGATCAATGAGCCAAGCACAGTGAATGCCAGGGTCACCTCGGCATTGCTGAGCACTGGCAGGCATGCGGCCGAACCGCGATACTCGCAGCAATTCAATGCTTCATGATCGGAAATGAACCTACCTTGCGTCAGGTGAGCCTTGCCAGATGTCGCAAGTGCAAATCTAGGGTCCTTGTGCCAGCTTTGGATTGCAGCATGCGCACGTCACGTGTCTACAGAATGTCTTTCACATGCTTCTTCCCAGCACGGGCATTCTTGACACTGTTGCTCGGGATGCGACAACTTTCAAACAGGATCCCTGTTTTAAAACCCGTACTGAGGCCGATACGTGTGACGGGAGAGAGAGCGTTTTCCGAACAGCTCACAGCTTTCTTCGCGCAGCTCACAGAAAATAGGGTCCCTCTTTAGACAAACAAAACTAACAAAACCAAGGACTACATCCTCGTAGTATACGATAGCTACTGGTGCGAGGCAAGTGTTCTTTGCAAAATCGGAGTCTGGAAACGAGAGCTTTTCGCAACTGTTGCAGGTCGAGAATCACAGAGATTCGCAGACAGCAGCGAAAGCCCACGCTACCTTATCTGTGTCAGACGACACCGTATAGTATAGTAGAGGCCACATAGAAAGGTAAACAGCGAAGTCAAAGCGACCCCACATGCGACCCCAGTGCACCTGCATCGCACGAGCTCTGCCCACCATGTCGCCAAGGCCTGGGTTCCACTGTCGCATCATGTCGAATCCTTCCTGGTTCCTTGCATGCTCAACGAGCGCGGAACGTCCCATGACCAACATGCCGACCATCGCCCCAAGGAACACCGTCGCCAAAGTCAGGTCCTCAGCTTGGATCGCGCACTGGGCAACCTCAGCTATCGATTCTTGGATCCCCGGCAGCAGCCCACTTCGGCTCCTGACAGCCACACGTCTGGAAAAACTCTCAGTGAGCATGCAGGCCGGCTCCTCGCGAAGAGCATGGCCAAGGTATCCTGCGTCAAAGATCACGAGTCCGATCTTCACAAGAGTAATTTCTGCACTCAATCCGAAACACTCTGCGTGCTTGAAGAACAGTTCAAACTCTCGAGAAAGGGGTTGAGGTGGCTAAACAGCAAACGGGCAACGGTTGTACATGCCTTCGTGCCTGGGTCACTGAGAATATGCACAGCGATTGATGCGGAAGTGAAGTTGTACTGAACCTGCAGGTTCAACTGCTGGCATGCCAATGGGACTTCCCACTCCCACAACCAGAAAGCCATCTCGGCTGGGTGCACTGAAGTTGCCGACCTTCTGCAGCGGAGCGGCACAGAGCTGCTGGTGGAAGCGACTTGCACGAATGCGCGTCCCTAAGGCCGCAGCCATGGGCACGAAGTTGCTTGCCGACTGTTGTCGCGCCTTCACAGCGCAACGTCTTCACTCGTTATCCAGAACCCCTACAAGGCTTGGGTACGGTGTGATGGCGTGAAGCGCCCCGCATCTATGCAGACTACAGTCGCACATGCTCCGCTGCCTGCGAACCCTGCGCGCGTGGAGACATGGCTCGGAAAATGACACGTGCAGCACTAAAGCTTTTTAGTTCGACACCAGCTCTCAACCCAAACGTGACGCGGCAACAATCTATCCTGCAGAGTTTGTGCTCAGACTCTCTCAAGAAACCGAAATCCGAAGCTTCAGGTGACTTCCTTTTGGATCCCCTGCTCCTAGAACGACTGGACGTGAACCCTACGCAAACCTTTCGACAGTCTTTCTAATCTGCTAATGCTTGATCGGGGAAGCAGATGCAAGACTGCATTGCCATGGTGGCATGCACCTGCACTGACACACGCCTAAAAGGAAGAAAGAAAGAAACCAACAAGCGAGCAAGTACACAAGCAAGCAAGCAAACAAACAATACAACAGAGCAGACTACTGTGACAACTAACTTACTTACTAACTGACTGGCGAACTAACTAACTCACTAGCTAACTGACGAACTAACTAACTAACTAACTAACTGACTGACTGACTAACTAACTAGCTGAACAGGTCGCTAGCTGACTAACAAGCGAACTGACCAACGAACTTAGGAAAGCATTCATCAAATAAATGAACGAAACCAACCAACCAACCAATGTTCAACCAACCAATCTACCTACCTACTCATCTTTCTTTCCCCAGGCTTGAGGGCCCCCTACTCATCTCTCTCTCTTTCTTTCTCCAGGCTTGAGGGCATCTCTCTCTCTCTCTCTCTCTCTCTCTTTCTCTCTCAATCAATCGCGCCCACAGAGAGCCATTGAAGGCAGTGGCCTGCCGTTTTGCTTCCCTTTAGTTTCCGGCACATCAACCCCCTTGGCACCTATGGTGCTTGTTGAAGCTCGAGGGCTGTTGGTGGCATAGCACCCAGCACTTGTGACTTCAGCCCCCAAGATCGAACCTCTTCGGCGGTCATGTACATCCACAATCGGAACGCGCATGCAGCGGCAGTTGAACTTTTAGGTCACTGTAGGTTCCTCAGAGGCTGACGCTGACCTCCAAGATCCTGTCCGGCAGCCAAAAGTCTATAACCTAGGACCTAGGGCCTATGGACTCAAATTGCCCCAGCAAGAGGTGCGAATGCTAGATGTTGGATGCCACTTCGACCATCCCTGCCTCGGGTTGTTGACGTACATCGGGAAGTTTTCTGGGAAGGGCCGCGAGGAGGAGGCAGCATTGTAGGCATCACACTCGTCAGCCATGACCCGCAGCTCTTCTTGGAACCTGGGTACAAATCAGGAGCTATCTGAGACTGTTCCTTGTGGCTCTTCAAGCTTCAGCCAAGTCACTTCTGAAAGGCGGCAGTTGGACTTTTGCCAGAATTCGCGGGTGGAGTCGGGAACAGATGCGTCCAATCATCGTCCAAGAGCCTCTGTTGCTTGAGTGCAGCTCAACTCGTTGCTCCAACTAGGTTCATCAGAGCTGCTGCCGGCGCCGGGCTTACCAAGACTTCACTAAGGCAAAGTGGCAAAGACAATCGACCACCACGACAAGTACACAGGCGAAGCTCCCCTAAGACTAGAAGATTTGTTTTGGGAACCGATTCTGTTACATGCCTTGGACAGCCCGATGGCTTCCCACGTCAAGTGTACCTCCCGGACTGGCTACCGTCTACCTGATATCAGGGTAAAAGCTTGTCTTACCCAAGCGGAGCTCTACCGAGATTGCCGATATGGTAGGCATTGCTTTAAGCTCTCCACACTGCGACAGGCAAGACCGTAACTGCAACATTACCGGAATACAGTGTGGCAAGGGATCTCCCTCTCTCTTCTTCTGCAGGGCTTGAAGGGCTGGTTAGGCCCCCCGGCCCCATGGGCCCCCCCGTTTGTTACGGGGCTTTCGGTCTCTCTCTCTCTCTCTCTCTCTCGCAAGACCTCGTGCATCATCAAGCCTTTCCCATTTGTCTGTGTATAGGGAATGGGCTCCGATCATCGTCAAAGGCTTGGCTCCCAGGAAAAATCTTCAAAAGACGAAACACAGAAACCCAGGATGCCTGCGCGTCAGGCCGGCAAGCTACGCGATTGCAACAGCATTTTCGCTGTTGCAGACATCCCGGACTCAACTGTCACTCGCCGCAGCGTACACGGACTTCCCACAAAGCCCTCTTTCTGCTCGTCTCTCGCCCCCTCTTCCAGTCCCACGCACCCCCGGGCTTCAACCCCTGTCTGTTGCAGCTGTGAGAACTTCGGCATCGGCTGACTGGTGAACGACATGAGCAAGGCCGTAGCGGTCGCAGACCTGTCAGGGTCTTTTTCTACTTCATGCCCAAGACTTCCATGCAGGTCGCAAGCAACTTTCAAACAAATGCTTTCGATCTGATGGAAGTGCCGAGACGCTGTTTGGTTCCCACAGTGGCTCCATCAACCCACCGAAAGGCACACCACGATGCATCCTGCGCATAGACCTCCACTGCACCTGCTCGGCTGAACATAGCCAATGTGTACCGATAAAACAGAACCACAACAACCGCACAAACAGTACAGCACAACAGCCATTCGTCAAAATGACGCAACGAAAACCGTGGTTGCAGCAATGAGGAGCAGTTGCTGTAGCAGCCGAATAGCCACAAGAACAAAGCAGACACCAAAGCCCATCACTATCAATACGATGGGCATCATCACCAACATCATCACATCTGCACTCAACTTGAAGGCTAAAGAGCTGAAGACAAGTTTCACTTACGCGCACACAGAGAATGGAGACAGCTCTGTCAGCACTCAGTCCAACGTCTTAATCATCGTCGTCATCACAAGGCGTGCCAATCGAAGTGGCAATGACACCTGCAGACTGTACTTAGTTCGACACGACTTGCGCCTGCTTGCTCATGGCCAGCGGTTACCTCACGTGCTCATGGGGCAGTTTGCATTTTGGTTTGGTGGCGCTCAGTCTCGTACCTGACTGCCAGTGCTACTCTTGTGCTTACTACTTATTGCTTACCAGGATTACTGGCACAACTCCTACAACTGACCGAAGTGAGAAGCTGGGGAGACCATCGCCCTAGGTACCGAGAAGACCAACGATTCGGCGACGTTTCTCGTGGTGATTTCGGCAAAGCAAGCTGAACCATGGATTATGTCATGTTCTGCCGCGGACAGTCAGTCACTAAGGAACTAGCCATCTAGAAATCCCACCATCACCCTCAAGGATTTATAAATTACACCACGCTGCCCAGAACATGATCTCGGCCAAGAACATGGCATAGAACATGTACTTCTCGTCGATTTTGCCGCTGGATTGCGGCATTGTGAAGTCTACTTTCTGGCTTAGTGTGTTTGGCCCAGCCGTCTCCAGCTGGTAGAAGTATTGTCTGACCACAGCCAGCATTTCAGGATCATTCGCGAAATCCTCCTTCTTGGGATAGTAGCACTCCAAGTAGGCAAGGACGAAACGCAAGTAGAGTTGGAAAAGTTGGGATACTTGTCTCCAGTAAGCGGTGTCGATACCTTTACTCTTCAGGTAGTCCACATAGTCTGCGCGAAACAGAATCGGGCCACCGGCATCTGCAGGAACTTCTGTTCCATCGAGCAAAAGGGATGGGCCGGCTGCCACCGCAAGCCCGAAGCCATTTTCCGTGAACGCAAAGCAGCGCGGAGCCATGCCGTTCTTTGTCAGCAGATTGTGGAAAGCGTTGTCATTCACGGTGATCGTGCGGTACATGAACGGCGTCATGAATCGTCGTACCGGATGGTCAGAAGACATCTGCTCTCTCATCGCGGTGACAAATAGGTTCGACTTCTGGAGATGGACATCGTATAGGTGATCCACCAAGGTGACCAGAGTGAAAACGGAGGAGCGAAATCGGAACTTAGCTCGCTCCCAGCCTGCATCTCCAGGCTTCGTCGTCACCATCTCTTGAATTCCATCTTGTCGCAGCGGGCCTTGGCCTGCATCGATGATCATCACCGGCTTCCAGTCTTTGTCAAAGTACATGTCACCACCGTATCTCTCGAAGCCTTCCCGCACAGGAAGGCCAGACAGAGCGTTGGTCTTCACAACCTCGGTGCCGTGGCACTGGTTCGGCAAAGGATTGCAGTCTCTGACAGACAAGTGCAATGGCTTGTTCGCGCATGCAGTTTCGTCAACACATAGACATGTAACAGCACAGCATTTACACAACCTGCCAACATCATCCAAAAAGGTTTCAGTGGCCAACAAGTTGCGAATAGCTTCTTTCCATCTCCTGAGCGAGGCACGGACATCAAAACAGGAAAATCGCAAAAAAAGCGCAAGCCTGTAGTCGAGATGGTGGAATGTAAGCCCAAATGGCAAACGAGGTACGCATCTCCACGCCCAAACGGTGTGCACCCAGGCCGTGGAGGCAAAAGCGGACCAAGGCCGTGTCGCTCAACTTGTCCGACCACTCCTGATAGCTGCGCTCAGCTGCGCTCAGCTTCGGTCTTCGTCGGGGACGTCATCGGTTCTTCATGATTAAGCTTCAGTTCCAGTCAGGGCTGCGAGTCTGCAGGCAGGCTTGTTGCCTTGAAGTTCCGTAGCTGGAGTTCCATCTACACTAGCGTGCGCCCACACGCTCATCAAGTAAACTAGGCGTAACAGGGCTGAACCACTGATGAAGTCGCATATCTGCAGCTGCAACGTGTTTCTATGCTTCTTCCTGCCACCGCGTCGCCTGGTAGATCGGCGGGTATATTGAGGACAGCTGATTCATGACAAACTCCACCGGGTTCTCGTCCGGACCAAAAGTTTCCAAATGCTGAGACTGAGGAAGGAACGTCAAGGATTGCTCGATGACAGTCTCGCTTGACAACTCGAACTCGTCTGATGAGCCGTACGGCACCTGCAAGAAAAGCGCGTAGTCCAGCAGGCCCTTTGGCAGCTGCTCTCGTGGACGCAAACCAGATACGGGCAGGAACCTGGCACAAGTATCCAGCTACGACTTTTCCTTTGTCTCCGGAGAACAAAGACCCCCGTAGCCTTTGAAATCGCTATCAGCTTGAGTGAGGCTGACCACGTCTTCATCAAAGCTGTTCGGAAATCGTGCTGCCAAGACGCTCAGGACCAGCATTTGGGACCGGGGAGTTGATGGTCATCAGCTGACAGGGACAAACTTCCGGAATCGAGAACAGTGTTGCCCCAAGTCAGCTCTGCCAGGCGGTCGCGATATTCAGATATCGATCTCCCTACAGTCACCTCGTCTTCCCTATGACGCAGGTCAAAAACCTCTACGACTAGACACATTTCGGCCTAGGATGCGGCTACCAATCGCTGTTCAGTCATCCCGTCGCACCATATGCACCATGTATATCACCTTCTCGTAGAGGTCTGTTGGCCAATACCCTGCCAGGCAGTCAGAAATCACTTCACACCATCTGAAGAGGAGCAGTGGCCAGCACTTTGTCTGCCAGCCCATTAGCAACACATCCACAAAAGCCGCAAGGTTGCGCGACCCTCCGTGACATGTTGTACCCATCGTGACCACTACGCGGCCAGCACCCTTGCGCTGGGCCCTGGGGAATGGCTTGCAGCGGAACTTGAACGGAAGAGGCACGAGGTAAATAAGAGGATCATCTACCACAACAAAAACACCCAAGAGGCCCGCCTGGGCAACATCGCCTCGGGAAGCAAACGTGGGCAGCAAACATGACATGATAATTTCGAAGGTGAGCATGAACATGACCCTTATGAGCACTTCCAGCTCCTGCACGTCTGGGGATTGAACTCAGCTGGCTTCACGTGCAAGCAAGCACTTGCCACGGCGTCTTTATGTTGCACTTGTCAAAGATGCAACAGCCCTGATCACCCCAATAATACTAGTGAAATTCACAAACCATAGTGAAGCCCACTCTCGAGGACCACTCACAACGAACGACGGGGTCGCCAACTCTCTTTGCAGGTCCCGAGGCGCCAGAACCAGAAGTAGACCAGCGCAAAAGACACCGGCACACCCACGATCAGCCCTGCGACATTGCACATCCCAGTGTTCACGCGTCTAAGGCCACACCCAGCAGTAACTGGACTTCAATTCGTTTCGGTTCCGCTGCTGGGAGACATCGTCCAGCCAACGATTCATGTAGATCTCGCAAGCTAAAGCGGCGACTCTCTTGCACAAAGCACGAGCCAAGTCGACAGGAAACCGGCCTGCGACCCACGCGAGGTTCAAGATAAGCCAAAGGCCAATCGCAACGACCGCGAAGAAGACCTGAACTAGGGCAGGAGTAGCCTCTGACCCGCTAAGCTTTCTGCCCTGTAGATGCCACCCCTTGTATTTTGCCAATGCATCTCAGGCACGATGCCCACAATGGGGACAAATATAATCCACGGACAACAGAAGAGATAGTTTGGCGATGTGGAAGGCCTTGTGAACCAAGAAGGAAGTGGTAATGGCTGAAGTTGCGCATGGCAAGATAACGAAACTTGTGATAGTACCCATGCCATGTGTCTGTTGCTTCACCTACATGAGAAGATTCAGCTGCAGTGTAGAACAGAATGAGGAGTCTCAATGCAGAAGATTTGTTCGCATGGTCGCTGCTGAGGGGCTGCTGCACTGGCCAGCCGCTGCCAGCAGCACCTTCTTTGGATTTGCTGCAAGGGGAAATTGGACAGCTGGGCGCTGCAATCCGATTTGCACTGCACGTTTCTCTAGCACACGCCGACACAAGAAATAGCATCAAACTCACACATCACGGTGCCGAAAGGATGCTTGTAAACCGACCCGCGAGTCTTTTGCTGCCAAGGCTCCTTCTTCCAATAGTCGTTCTGCTTCTTCTGTTTTCGGCATGTGTCGGTCCTTTGCTGCTTCGTTTGGAGAATCCATCGGTGTGATCAAATCTGTGCTGCTTGGCGTTATGTTTTGTCCTGGCGAGCATCGGGATTTGCTAGAGGCTTTGTGAGCACCATGCTCGCAAGACAAGTCGGAAAGTAGGTCTGCATGCAACTAATGGAAAGAAACAGCATGCACTAGAAGACATGAGCAGCACATGAGCTATGCAAAAACATGCTGTTGACATAGGTGATGCGCTATGCACCGCATGCATGAAAGGCGAAGCGCATGCAATGACAAGATATGAAGACGAAGAAGCATCACTAAGACTGCACCGTATTCTGTAGAACCTGCGTGTTGCCCTAAGATGTGAACAGCGCGAATTGTAAAGCATTGTGAGTCGAAGCTTAACATTTGAACAAGTGCACCAAAGCAGCTGTTCAATTATACATGTATGTACGTAAGTATGTATGTACATCCGTATGCATGCAGGCATGTGTTTAGGTATGTACGTAAGTTATAGGTATGTATGTATGTATGTGTGCATGTATGTCTTCACGCAAGTGCGCATGCATGCATTTACATATGCAAGTGCAGGCGCAGATGCAAGTGCACATGCATGAATGGTTGGCTGGCTGGCTGGATGGATGGATGGATGGAGGATGGAGGCATGCCGCGGTGGATGGGTCTGCCTGTATGCATGTACGTGTGTACGTGTATATGTACGTATTTAGAGATATGTATATAAAAGCATATCTATATATATATATATATATATATATATATACATGTGTATAAACCTGTCCATGTTGTGTTTCTATCATTTACAGACACGTACCAAAAGCATGAAAAGAACATGCAGCTAAAGTCTGGATGCAACTTCTAGATTTGCCAAAACCTCTCCACGACGTCAGAGTAAAGGCCTCGTGGGATCCTATGGCATGCGCCACAAATACACTAGTGCAACTAGATACAATCCTACCTCGCTGCCTGTGCCGACAAGGCACTCAAAGGTCGCTGGCTGTGATGCACGGACAATAGATCTTGCAACGCCCCAGTTCTGCGCAGCAAAGACCAGGATCGAAATACTTTCAACCCCTAATTGAAGCCTATCGAGCCAACGTGACGGCGGACTCGGCTGATCGTCTCTCAGCACGGCTTGAGACTCAGGTCACAAGATTTCAGAAGCACACTGGTGCCCAAACAGATATGCCGCCCGGCACAGACCCAACCTAACCGGCCCATGAACAGCCCACACCTCATACTTTATCACTCTGCATGCATCACGAGCTCTGGTGTGTGGTACTTCCCTCCTCGTCAGAGGCTATTCCTGCCAGTGCCGGAGCAATGCTGGTCACATGTACAGAATGGTAATCGGCCTTCCCTTCCCATGTCGATGCATGGTAACTTCTTTCGACACAAACCCCAGTGGTATGGCGTGTCCCTGCACGGAAACATACGTAAGCCTTCGCTTGGTCACCGAACGACATCGGCCGTGCCATCCAGCAAGCGAACAGTCTGCAGCATGGTGGCTTCGGAGGTGGTAGTCCGAGTAGTGTACATAGTTCGAGAAGTTTTGGCCAAGGGTTTAGGATTGTTCGTTACGTCTCGTATGTACTCTCCCTCCACTGTCTCACTCGAAGGCGGTCACATATCCACGATGAGGCTGCACCGTTCTTTTGTCTCATTATTCTCTCGTGCTGTTCGCCACATGCACACTGCGTCCTCACACACACACAACTGGAAAGGCTCCCACTGACCCGGCCTTCTGGATGTTCTGATCGTCCAATGCAGATACTCTCATGGACATGCTCAAACAGATTGCAGCAACCGTGCAAAGCTTCAAAGCAAATAAAGGCATGGTCAAATCTGCATGCCTGCCTTGTTCGAAAAATGCAAGAAACATGTCAGAGTTTTCAGCGAGAGTCAAACTGCGTGAAAACAACATGTTTTGAAAACACATGTTGTGGCCACCAGCTGGAGTACTTCTCCCCAAGTGCACCACTGCAGGCACGTTTTCACTGCATTCACAGAAGCGTCTTCGTTGGCTGGAGACTTCTGTGATGCACTCCAGCCCCCTGCAAACTTAAAAGCGAAAAGAGCATGAAAACAAGAAAAATTCATGGGTCAAAGCATGTACCTACAAAGATTTTCAACCAGAAACGCCGAGGAAGAGTGGACATGTGAATGCAGGTTTTTCGCATGTACAGCAGAATAACACAAACAGGCCCCCGAAGGGGCACGAAGCATCAAGGTGCAGGTCTTTTGCGATTGTTCCCAATCATCGTGTGAGCAGCAAGCCTATTCACGTCTACGCTTCTTGATGGCTCTCTCACTGCGGTCAATAACCTGGTGGTAATAGCATCGGCAATGATTGTGACCTTGGTCTGCTCGAGCACATACACGACCACAGTTCGTATGAGAGCACAATCCGGAGCATCGTGACATCCTTTGTTGAAAATCCGAAGAATCACGTAGGATTTCGACAACTCGAAGCATCAACCGAATAAGGTCTTGTGGGTGGATGTCATTAGAGCGAAGAGCATCGAGGGCATCGGCAGCTGATGTTTGCACAATATCCTCCAAATTGTCATCGCTGGCTCGCCTCGACCCTGGTTCATAACGAAGAGTACGACGACCACTGGACGACATGATTACGCACTGAGACTTCAAAAAAGCTTGAGCACTGCACATCAGCACGATAGAAGGCAATCCTAGGGCCACATGTCAAGACTCGCATGACCAAGGACACCATTTATACTCATGTGGCGTGATCCACTCAAGTCCAGGTCGATTCTACACTTTACAGTGGGTGAACAATGCGGCGCACATTAAGATCATCGATGAAAGCCGACCCAATACGCACTCGGTCTTCATTGGAGTGATGAATCCATTCCACATTGGCATGGCGCACTTGGGCAAGACGCCAAAGCTGCTGAATATTGAAGAATGTGCGATCGCCAACCAATCGGATGATAGTGTAATACCAGTCTTTGCACACGGACGCATACACCACAATATGAGGTAAAGCGGGAGCTTCACACGTAATCGGCGTGTACACACTGGGTCCTTGCATAAAGAACTCCCATACTTCGGCACGAAGATCCATCCCTTCTGTTCTGCATTGTGTGACAAACTGTTCAAGATCATACATCGTATGGAATCCATGTCTGCGAAGAGTAACATCCAGAGTCTCAAGTGGATCTAATGCTGGGAAAGTGAAGAAGAAAATTATATGGCGTCGGGTGCTGATAAAAGTCAGCACTTTCTCGGTCAGAACAGTAAGTTCCCACATGGCGTCGAGG